CAGTCTTCATTTCTCATAATCATTCCAACTGTTGATTATTCTTTGCATAAAAAATTCTTCCTGGTGTCTGTCCTGAAATTGTGATTCACAATCCTAAAAATGTGACCTCTTGTCCTGTCACATTGTACCTCTTAAAGTATACTTTATCTAATTTAACATCTTATCTAGCCTTTCATTATAGTTCATACCTTTAACACTGAGGATCAGACACATGTCTGTCCTTTATAAGGTTTCCAGAGCTTGGGTATTTTCTATGCATGTTGCTTAACTTACACAAATTTCGACACAGATTTTATATCAGCAGCAAATTGCATGGATCATGAGAATGCATTTACACAGTCAATGAAAATAAGGTAATGACCTCCTTGGCTAGAAGCAGTCAGATTATTTAGTAATACATAGTCATTTAAAGGTTGCCAAAGGTTGGACAATTTTCTCTTATTTCTGGATTGTGTATCGTGGAGTCCTGTAGTGTATTGATTGGAGCGCTCACCTCGCAAATATTAGGCAAATTTCCTTACTCCACACATGTTTGTTTACCTAGCAGTAGGAAGGAACCCAGTTGTTTGTCGATAGACAGGTCACTTTTCCGGGGGTAATAATCCCTTCAAAAATTATGATTTGATCACTCAATCCATGACTGTTTGTGGGATACTGCTGTGCGCAGTTGGCTGCCGCATTTTTTCCACAAACCTCACCTTACAGTATGTTCTGCGAAGCGCTTTGAGACATCTCAGAAGATAGGATAAGGCTCTATATCAAATACAAGGATTTTTATTATTATTGTTATTTGAGTGTTGTTTTACTGGATACCAGTTGAGTTAGTTTCGAATACTATTTTTAGCACATGACCACCACTTTGTAATCAGGAGGCATCAAATCTTCGGGCCCTACCGTCCTTTTACTAACCCTGGGAGCTGGTTTATTCTTCCCCTCTCCTGTCCTCAGCGTAATGTGTGGAATCGGAGGTTCAAAACAGAATGTAACCTTGTACATTAATTAAGGAACGCAACATGTTTAGGAATACCCCAATTTTTTCGACTCCTGAATGTAAAGGTTTGTTTTGGTGATTTGGGATAAATTTACAAAGTTTTGCATTAACAACGCTTCTGATTAAAATCTGCATTCAATTGTGCTTGTCTGAAATGGTTGTGTGATTTACATTCTGGATTTGAATGTTGAGGAGCAAAGGCAGGTGAAATGGTTTGATTTCTCAGGCTGCCTTTCTCACATTCGTGGCCTGTTTCCTTACCGCCCAGCACATATGGATGCCAAGGTCTCTGAGGCATTGATTGCAGTTATCGAGCCTCAGTGGCTGTGGGCCGGCCTGCCTGCTTGAGTGATGACGTCGGATCTTTCTAGCAAGCAGCAGCAGTGTGTTTGCGCAGTCTACTGCATTGCAATAAGCTGCTGCCTAACAAAAAGCTGCTCTACCAGAAAATGGAAATGCCAGCTTAAAAGAAAGCCGAGCGTTACTGGAGATAATTGAAAGATGAAAGATAATTTATCTGTGAAGAAATTTTGAAAGAAGAGGAGATCGTGGGCAGAAGGTAGGGCAGGGTGGAGACATACTTCCTCCCCCTTCCAGTGTTTTAATCGTTGTCTAATATTTTCTAGAGGTTAACCTATGGCAATTAGAGGAATGCTCTGAAGCAATTTAAATGAATCCAACAGATTAAATTTCTGTAATATTTTATGAACCATGGTATAAATAAATGGTGTCCTTATTACTGAGATGATATGATCCACTCCTTTATGTGTTGCTGTCATCGTTCCATGATGGAGAACGGTTTTGTACAGGAGCTGCCATGCTGTACCTCTGGGTGTCAGTGCTGTTCACCACAGTACCATTCTGTCATGGCTATTGTTTGTTTATTGTCAGAAGATATTATGGGGATTTTAGTTCACCCAGGATATTTTTTTGCTCAGTGACTCAACTCAAACTGTGCTTTGGAGATTGTTACAATTCCTGATGTTAAATCTCCGTGCCTTCAGAAGGGTCTGTCAATGATAACAATCTGGAGATGCAAAAATACGATGCTTTGATTATTTTCATTCACAATGAGCGATCTGAAATGATCTGTTATGTTTAGATCTACTGTGCAGAGGATAGCAGGTGCCCTCTGGTGATGTTAAAGTGTTGTGGGCTGATATTTGACTGCCTTCATTGGTGTTGTGGATGTTTCTCATGTGAGGCTGCCATGCTGTATCACTGGGTGGAGCTTTAAAACAATATTCAGTCAGCTCCTTACTGACTGCATCATTAAATTCCCAAGAATAAATCTCAAGCATTTTATAAGCCAAAGGAAAACACAGGGATTAAATTACTGTCAATTATCTTTGTAATGTGACTAGTCTTTTTAAATTTAAAAATAGGCTTTGTCCTACCTATTCGTGTGTGGCAAATGTGCCGAGCACAACAAAGGCGTTGTGCTGAAGGGTAATATGGAAGCTGAAGGGATGTGGCAATTTGTGATGGTATTGCTGGGTACAAGCAATTCTGTATTATCCATTTTCCAAAATGGTCTTTAACTATTTTCTTATGTTGCTTGTGTTAAACCTGTTTTGTTAACCAATATTTGTAGTGCTGCAATTTGCAATCTAAACATAGTGATAGATGACCGTGGAGTATATTATATCTCAATATCTTAATATTAGGCTTTTGTATACAGTGGAGGTGTGAACTACTGTGTCTCTTTGTATGTTTTTTAATTTGCACAGAGTCAGTAATATTGCTTGGTGAGATGTGAGCATTATAATCAAATTATAATTTCGCCCATAAAACATAGTCAATTCACTTTACAGTGTATTTTGTGAAGCGCTTTGAGACATTGAGAAGACATAATAAAGCACGACATCAATATGCAAGGATTATTAAGTATCCCACATACAAATGCTGCGTGATATTATGGTATCTTATTTATGTCTATACCTTTTGATTTGGAAGTAAATGTAATGACCTTTCCCCCCAAAAAAAAATTGAATTCCAAGATTGGGACGCAACTAAACTAAATGGAAAAACACTGATATTGTTCCTGCATTTTGGTGGTAATTCTGATTAAACAGAAATACACTGCTCCTTATGGTTTCAATTGAAACTACTGTTACTGCGTTCAATGGTAATTTGTCTGCTATTTCCTATGATGAAGGTGCTATATTGCACTGCATGTATGCACTGCAAATCCTCCAGTAAGAATGCAGACAGGCAATCTCAATATGATTTGTATGAAAAACAATTAAGAGAATTGAGTAGGAATGTGCAGAAGTGTTATTTTGAAAGGTTGGGATAACATGAAGTATTCACTCAGTTTGAGAATCAGTATCAAATGTGTATGAAACAGAATGATGCATGGACAGAAAAGGTAGCAATATTTTTTAAAAACAGTAAAATATTAAAAAAACTTAACTACAAGCTAACAGAAGCCCTTCACTTTGAGCCAGCTGACATTTGCATACAAAAGCCCACAATCCCTAATGCAAATATGCAGCAAAAATAGATGAGAAAGGACGATGAAAATTCCTAAAGTACTGTGAAGTCTCTTCTTGCTGGATATTGGTTTCAGCACCTTTGAACCTGTACAGTGCTGAAGCAAAAGTGCTCGGCGTTGAGCTCCACCACTGTCAAATGCTCTGGGACGCTAGCCTGCATGAGCAGCGCTATATAAATGCAAGTTATTGTTGGTAATACAATGGGAGTGTGAGACCCTTAGGACTAAAATCATTTCTAGAATTTCATGCCCAATAACATCACAAGCCATTATGTGTGTTTCTTCACATTCATTTGCTTATTGTACCCCCACTGAACCCGATGTTTTGAACATTTTTATTTTTGATCTGAAGAAGACCCTGATTTGCTTTGTATCTGAATTCACATTTTTTAAAAAACATAAATCCCAATGGGGCCTGTTTACATATCCAAAATATTTATTTTATTTTATGCAAAACCAAACATTTGCCATTGTGCCTATTGGTAATGTATAATTGATCAGATATCAATTATATGATATCAGATATCAATTATATGAGGCAAGTCGCACCAAAAAGGGCCAGGAAAAGCTGCAATTGCACAACAAAGAAATTTCTTTCTCTTAGGCAGCTGCAGATAGGCATGTAGCTTAGATCAGGCAGATAAATACCATCTGTACAAAAAAGAGGGGAAACAAAAAGCCACAGTCTCTTTCGCGATCATTGCCCCTGCTATGTAGGTGTCCAGTAATAATCGTTATTTATATTGTACAGAAAATAAAAACAAACTAATTTGAATGCACTGCCCCAGCAGGCTGTAGATGCCAAATCGATTGCAAACTTTAAATAATAATAATAATAATCCTGGCATTTGATATAGTGCTTTTCACGTCTTCTAGACTCTCAAAGCGCTTCACAGAATATACTGTAAAGTGAATTGACTGTATATTTGTGGGCGAAACGTGGCAGCCAATTGCGCACAGCAGTGTCCCACAAACAGTCGTGGATTGAAGTGACCAATTTTATTTTATTTTTTCTTGAGGGATTATTATCAGGAGTGGGAGATTAATTGATACTTGGAAAAAAATTATACTTTCTTGAATAGGGTGAATAGGATTAAAAGATCCACCTTGATCTAATAAAATGGTAGAATAGGCTTATGGAGTTGAATGACCTACTTCAGTTTCTGTAGGGTGAAAATCATAGGATGACGAAGGTGTGAATAAGGCAATTGGGCAATACTTCAAGTAATGATATTAAGGGTCAGGGAGAAAAAGTGGGGTAATGGGATTTGTGTGGTCAATGCACCAGTTGATAACTAATGACAATTGACAAATGACTACAGGTGGACGTGATTTACCCTGTCCTATATTGGTAGGAGAGGTCTTGGGATGTCCTCCGGTGTGAAAGGCACTATATAAACGCAAGTTGTTGTTATTGTGTATTGTTGTTTTGGCTGCTACCCATAAGATACTATTTACATGTAATGCAAGGGCTCACATTTTTCTGTTTTGTGTATTCCTTTTTCAGGCTTCCAATCTACACCATGAATTGTATGTTAATGACGGTCTGTATGACCACAAAAGGTTCTGTATATTCTGTCCAGCTCGGCTGATGACCTAAGACAGCATGGACAGCCCGCCCAAACTAACAGGGGAAACGCTGATTGTACATCACATTCCCCTTGTTCATTGCCAGATTCCAGACAGACAGTGCTGTAGTATGGGCAAACGATCAAACCCTTTCTGCCATACTGATCTAGGAATCACAAGGACTACTTCTCTACCAGAGAAAGACCTACTTCAGAAGGAGACATTAGTTTATAGCAGCTTAATTCAGGCCTCATGTTTACCCTTTGGTGCTTCAGATGAAATTGAAGTCCGGCATCCTGACTTAAAAGGAACAGGCGGTGAACAGCACAATTCATTCATTCTCAATGAGTACATTGGCCCAGAAAACTCCAGTCACAGTTCCTTCCATCTTCAGAAGAATAGGAACATGAATAAACCACCATTTCCTCTGCATGAACAACCATTTCACCTACATGGCATTGAAAACATCACAAAGCAATGGAGCCTGGCCAGCAGACAAGGGATTGCGGAGGGTCAAGAAGAGCAGAATGGTATAGCTGACGGCAAGACGTCAAATCAAATCATCATGTCAAGACCACCTTCAGATGATCAATTGGAGCTACCAATGTGCAATTATAATAACGGTAGCAGTTCATCCTTATTCTTTGATTGTGATCAAGGCTTGGACAGCAGCCCAGATGGATCATTCAGAAAGCAAGATTTACTAGAGAGTAGAACATGTAGCAGTTCTAGCCTAGATATCCAACAAAACAGAGGTATCTTTTCAGATCAATCTGAGATAATAGACAATCAGCATATGACTTACAACAGTGATTCATCATGTAACAGTTCTGATGGTGTGCTGGTCAACTTTACTGCAATCTACAATAAGATGAAAAGCCAGTCAAAGTCTAACTTGAGCTTGGGTAATGTGTCCCATGACTCTTCTTATTGTGGTCATCCAGAGATGGGAGCATTCTACTTGGATCTACATTCATCGCCCAATGAACCAAAGAATTCATGTGAGATTCACAATGAAGACAGTGTTATGACAACCTGTTCATGCCATCAGCGATGTTCGCCAGCTCTTGATGCCAACTGCAATTCATATCATCTACCGTGTGAAAATATGCCCTGTTCTTCAGAAAATTCTGATTTCACTGCATGCTTTCAAAGTCACGCAAGACTGGTTGTTGCAACACAAAACTATTATAAATTAGTGACTTGTGACTTGTCTTCTCAGTCTACCCCCAGCCCAGTAGAGTCTTCAATTACAAGCTGCTCAGAGGAACACACAAAAAGTACAAGTCCTGGCCAACCTACAGAGTATTATCTCTTCCAGAAACCAGAAGATATGAAAAAGGATAACAGAATTGAGGAGTGTGTTGAGGAGACAGCAATGGTGGAAACTACTGAAGATCTCATTGAAGGTCAAGTGTATGTGAATGTTGCTGCATCGAACACTGCTGGCAGGCAGAGATCAAGGAGTTACGATCGCAATCTAGATAAGAGCCCTTCTCCTCGGCTAGGATCGTTGGAACGCATGTATAGCTGCCCGGGCAAGCTTAGTGATGGTCAATCTGGGACATCTCAGAGATCACCACCGAGACGAGTCACTTCATTTGCTGAAATAGCTCGAACCAGGAAGCGGAGCGGGAACTCACCACCGTTGAAATCCAGTGGAGAGTCGTCTCTGGAGTTTTCTCCAATATTGGAAAATCAGAAAGAAAATCATGTATTTCTTAATCTAGACGAAGACCATTACCACAGTCTGCCTGGGATCTCATCCACAAGGGTGGATTTGACAGCCTCATGTGGCGCACCTTTTATTCATCGTTTCAACAAAAAGGGCAGCAAAAATGTGTATGAAACAGATCACCTGGAAAATAAGATGTCCTGCAGAACCCAACATTCTGAAGAAGCCACTCAGAAACTGGAACCAATAAATACATTCCATAACCAGATGGCAAACGGTGCTTCTTTTGATGGTGGAGTGAAAGCAGAAGGTAAGATAGATCTTCTAAACGTGTGTGTGTCTCTCTCTTAATATGGTCAAAAGCAACTGCTATTGTGCATTTGTTTTCTCGTCATAGCCTCTTTACAGCAAAGTTTTTCCTATAAAATAAAAAAGTGTTATATTTTAACCAATTGTGTCTGCTTTTCTGCTAAAGGCTCTGAGCCTCTTATTGGGGTGCTGGCAGACTCCAGTATCTCATCCGAATGGCCATTCGTAGGGTGTGTGTCAAGACACTTTGTTCAGATATGGAGGACCTCATAGACAGAGAGTAAAACCTCTTTCTATGCTAGTGCAATTTTTGCATTTCCAACACCATGATTCCATGTGACTTATCTGAGGTTGTCCATTTAAAGAAAGCTTTGTGCTTTGAATCATAGAAGATACAAGAGTCTATTCAGCTCATCAAGCCTAATTGATGCCACCTTATCCACTGGAGCTAACAACTCTGATACTAATATCTGCTCTTAACAAGTTATTATACCAATCCGTTTAGGAGTGAAATTAGGAGGCAATTTTTTACCCAAAAGGTAGTGTAAATCTGGAACTCTCTCCTCCAAAGGGCTGTGGATCCTGGATCCATTCACATTTTCAAGACTGGGGTGGATAGATATTTGTTAGGGTATTAAAGGATAAGGGACAAGGGCGGATAATTAGACTTGAGGTACAGATCAGCCATGATCCTATAGAATGGCAGAACAAGTTCGAAGGGCTGAATGGCCTACTCCTGTTCCTATATTTCTTTACCTGTATCCTTTTATATTTTTCCTTTCCAAAGATTTATCCAATTACTGTACTTTTTAAAAGCTGTAATGGCTTCAGCATCAATAGCCACTTGTGGTAAAGTATTTCATGTTGTAATAACCAATGCTTTGCACCAATGCCACTATAAATTGGTTTGAGATTGCCCAAATGTATTTCACAAAGCATCCTTTTACAGTAGTTGCCACCAGAAACTTCTAACTCATCACTCTTAGCTGGATTTGTGCCCAGGTAGTTGAGGGAGACAGAACTGTATACTTTTGTTCCTTAACAGCAATATCCTTTGTGGATATTTTGTACTTTACATGCAGGACTTAATTGTTTTATTAGAACTCGAGATTAACAAGACAGAAAATGGTGACGAGCAATATTAATGACCTTAACAAACTCTTACTTTGACTCTAACATGAATGAGCTAATTCAATTGTTTCTAAATGGGGCAGTTTGGTATTCTAAAGTAAAACAACAACTTGTATTTATATAGCGATCTTCACATGGGATAGCGTCTAAAACAAACACACTTTTCTTACCTTATTAACATTTTAGAGGCTTTAGTTTCCCAAGATGCAGCTGAAATGGGGCAAAATAGCTATGTCATTCTCCATTTTTCTTATGTTAAAAGTGGTAGGATTCATATAGATGTTCCAAAGCAACGTTCCAGGATCCTTGAGCTAAGTCATTACAGGAATATGTTATCTTACATAGTATTAAACTAGTTTCTTGCTACACAATATATTAAAGAATTTATGATTCAAGATGGAAGCTCTTTAGTAAGATCAAAAAAGAGGTTTTGATGAAGACTTTTGGGGTTATTTGATCTCCATCTTCCATAAGAGCAACCCTGTCATCTACCCATTATAGCTTCAAGCCATATCCTAAATATGTTCAATGTTTTGTTCCGGCAATGCTTAGAGTACTGCTTATATTTCTGGTTGCCTACTCCCTAGAGGCAGTGCAGAGAACAACAAGGATAACCCCATTAGAGGGATGAGTTGTGAGCTTGTAAAAAAGATAGGGTTCTTCAGCCAGGAAAAGGAGACCTCAGAGAGTAGGTTTTGGAAAAATATAGGATATTAAATAGGATTAATAAAGTAAATCACTATAATAGTTTCAGATATGCCATTTACACAGGACAAGAGAGCATATGCTTACAGTTGTGAAGGGCAATTTCAGGACAGATACAAAGAATTATCCAGTTATACAATAATAATCTTTGCACTTGATGCAGCACCTTATCATGTCGTTGAGACTTCTCAAAGCGCTTCACAGAATATACTGTAAAGTGAATTGAATGTATATTTTGTGGGCAAAACGCGTCAACCAATTGCGCACAGCAGTGTCCCTCAAACAGTCGTGCATTTTTAACAAATTTATATATAGAGAGTAATTAACTACTAAATGGGGTTTCAAGAAGGAATGCTAAGGCCAGGATGCTGGGCTCTTAGGTAACAGCCTGATGCTTTCATGGGAAAACCTTTTAACCATCTTTTGTAGTCAGTATAAACATAGAAGCATAGAAATTGTAACACAGAAGAAAGCAATTTCATAGCTGTACCACTGATATGAGCATTATTCTTTTGTGGAACGATGTGTTCTTCATGAGCGTTCTTCATCCAAACCTCTTTTGTGATAACCCTTTCCAATTTTTGAATGTCCTGGGACACTGCTGTGTGCAATTGGCTGTCGCATTTCGCCCTCAAAATACACAGTCAATTCGCTTTACAATATATTCTGTGAAGTGCTTTGAGACATCTCAACATTGTAATAAGGCGCTATATCAAATGCAAGGATTATTATTATTATTTTTACTTCTTGGGACCTGTCAAAAATTGCTCTTCACAACCCTGATATGTACCTTCTATCTTTCAATCAGACATCTTAATTTTATCCAGTTTCAGATCTGAAGCTGTACTTAGCTTCAGGTATGTTTGTAGCAGTGCCTCCTTGCGCAAAAGCCATCACTTTTCCACATTCCTTGTATTCAGTTTCAGCTGACACAGGGCCTCACCTGGGCAAGTCCTATATCTGTTTTTCCAGATCTATAAATTCTGAATAGAGATAGCGTGGGGAAAAGAGCACACAACCTAGCAAATGTTATCTGCCAACTTCCATTTACTGCCAAAACATTTTCTGTTTCCGGGTAATGAAACAAATACAGAAAGTTCATATCCACAGCCAGAGACACCACCCTTCTATGTTGATCCTACTGAAGATAAAAGTGGCAAACATTTTTAACAACCTGAACAATTGTCTATTTTTAACTGTAGTGCTATGAACCATTTTCAACAAGCTACAAAGCCAAAATGTATAATACAAATATTTCTACTCAAATATTCCCTGCCGTTTATATCAGCAGGGAAAGTAATGACAACAGTTGTCAGCAATTCCATTTAGGTGCGTACTTGCCTCTGGCATGTACTAGCGGACAGACACAAGTGACAAAAGCTGAAACTACTGCTTTTGCAACGATAGTAAAATGTTTTGAGTAGGAAATTCTCTTTTACTTTACAACACTTCAGTTGATTTCAGCCAGCCAGCAATGGCAAAATGGTAAACAAAATGTAGCATTCAGAGACGGTGATTATTTCATAAAATGTATAATATGAAACAAAGTATTATACTTGTGGGAATAATTAGAATTTATCATACAAAATTTTGATTACAAAGCGGAAATCTATGCTGTAAATGGTCTCTTCCTAGGCTCCACTCTTCACTAACTTCAGTCCACCCTAAGTCCTGCCCTGTAAATTTTCTTGCATTTCTATCATCCTGTGTTTACCATGCTGTACTGGCTTACTGTTCCCCAAAGTTTGACTTCAAGAACCTTATTTTCAAATCTCTGCATGGTCTCACTCCTCCCCCTCTGTGTAATCCTCTCCTATTCCACATCTTCTTTGAACTCTTCCATAGACTTACATAGAATGCACAGCAAGGAAACAACAACAACAATTTGCACGTATATCACATCCCTCACGCAGAGTAGAGTCCCAGAGGCCATTCGTCCGTGACAGTATTCATATATTCCACATGAGTCTCCACCCTTTGCTTACTTCCTCCCATAAACTTCTATTTCCTCCTCCCTCATGTGTATATTTTGCTTCCTCCTAAATGCAACAACTCTTGTGTTCCACAGCTTCCATTGTTTGGCATTTTGTGTCGCGCTTCTACATTATTGGGGCTATATAGTATAAGTTGTTCTAATAAAACAATTTATTTGGAGTGGTGTTTACGTCTGTTTTGACACAAAACATTTTTCAGCCTGTCTGCTCCATTCTCTGGAGCTCAAAATCCAGAATCCCTTCACCTCGCCCCTTCTCTTACCTCCTTCAAGATCTGTCTCAAGACTGCCCTCTTTGACTGCACCTTCTGTCGTCCACACCCCCTTGGCTCTTACCCCTCTCAAATCCATCCATCAGCTTGGGTGACAATCTTCAATTGTCCAGCACCTTGGGATGTGAATGGCACTTTATGAATACAATTTGTTGTTTTCTGAATGTATGACTCATGATCTGTGGGATTTTTGTAGAATGTGAAATGTGTGACTACAAAGTCAGGAGTAGAACAGAGGAATTTAATGGACCAGAAAAGACTATTGCCATCAATCTGGATGGTCCCAAAGTAAAACTTTTTATATTAAAAAAAATTCCATACAACTTTATCTTTCATACAATTCTCTTGAATTTTTAACCAACTAGCTGTCTAATTCCGTCTTGAAATTGCTGACATAAATTACAGTATTTGTAAAGGAGGTGGTTTTACACTACAGGGAATATTCTGACTATCCAATTTTGCAGATAATGGCTCAAATCCTGTGTGGGTGTTCCTGGCCTTTACTCGCTACCTCCCCCGATGGTACATTTCAGTTTGGAAATTCATCATATTGGAAATTATGACTAGCTTCTTAAACAATAAAATTAACAAAAGATCAGGGTGCTATTGTTTAGCATTTTGAGCTTTACTTTAAAACTAATCACTGGAAACAATTTTGTCATGAAACTGTTCCATCCATGTTTCTGTTTCACTTTCCTATCTGTAATTTCTGTCAAATAACGTTTTAATGCTTGGGAAAAGTAATCTGTCCTTTGCTGCCTTTTTCTATTGCTTCTGGCCTTATTTATTTCTTTCTTTCCTCTGTCCTTTGTCTACTTTGCTGTTGTAGGTGGTGGAGCAGAAGCCAAGGGAGTTATCCGTTACAGTAAGGAGCAGCGGCCAACTACTTTGCCTATTCAACCTTTCATCCTTCATCATCCGTTGAGCAAGCAGCTTCCCAGGATTCGCCCAGTCCAAAATCACAGTGCATCTTCTGTCTCGTACATGTACAGTATTCCAAATAGTCAACTGACAACAAATGAACATTCAACTTGCACTTCTAGTTCTTCTGCTGGTACGGCATCGCTTGAGAATATTGCAGGTCAGGCACAAAAAGGCTTTGAAGATGAAACACAGGGAAGCTCTCTACCGATAAATGATTACGGTTTGAGGAGACCTGCTCCAGATGCAATTAGGCCATCACCACTGGGCAGTTACTCACCAGTCAGGAGCAATCCAGTTGTCTTACAGAGTGGAGATTCGTCCTCTTCTATTCTCTCACCAGAAAGAAATGATGTTAGCCACCCTCCACGAAGCAAATCTTGCCCCTTATCTGCTAGTCTTCTTCCAGGGCGGTCTTCCCCACCACGAAGTGTTGCTTCACCTCATAAAGGTCAACTTGGACAGACCAGTGATGTAGGTAGGCAGGGAAGAAAGAGTCCCAAGGAAACGCAGAAGAAGGAACAAGGATACTTTCAGACTGCACAGATGTCCAGTTATTGTCCACATCAAAATGTGTTCCTACCATCTACTAGCTTAACATCAAGTAGTGTCAGGAGGCCTCTAGATTACCAGAGAGATAACCGAGGTCAAGGTGGAAAATCAGGGCAGATAAACAGCTTGGCATCAAGCTCCATTGCTGGTATATGTCTTATTTATTTTCTTCAAAATAATTATAGCATCCCAGTTGTAATTTATAACAACACAATTCGGAGTAGTAGCTGCAATTACCATGTTAAATTAACTTATTATGTAACTCGTACCAGAGTGTGTAAGTCAATGGTTTGACAAGAAACCAGGCTACTTTCTTCACTGAAACGGTGACAGCAATGCTTTCTTTACCAAAATGTTAGAGTAAAAATGCAAGCTGAGTAATAGGATTGATTAAAGGTTCAGAAAAACAGTGTATCAAATCCTGTCAACAACGCAGGCCTGTGAGAATTTGGCTCCAAGAATTTGGATCAAAGAAGACTGGTAGGAGAGTGTTGGAAAGGCATTCTCTCTTAAGTTGACGTGACGCTCATCTGATTGGCTTCAGCATTCAATTTTACAAATCCTATTAAATATCTGCATATTTGACCACAAAATCACTGGAAATGCATCTGTAAAGACATTTGAAGGTGATCTTTACCAACCAAAACTACCCAAAAGGAGGGTGACAATCAGCACGTTAAACATTTTTTTCAGAAAATAATGTTACTTTATGCATAATTTCAATCACAAAGTTTCTGAATTGATGTGAAGATTTAATATTCTATAATCATTCATAATTTGTTCATTCTGTTAGATAACTTACTTTTGAGTGAGTGATACTCAAAAGCTTTGTGTTAAATACCATCGATTGTGAGCATTAGCTAAGCACTCTTGGGGAGAAATTTTACCTGGGTCGAGATTCTTCTATGTAGCATTTTTGAGCATCCACAGTTTCGCAAATTGTTAAATTCAGTCAGTTTTCTGCAGTACTTACAAGAATTTACACAAACCCAGCTTCAAAGTTAAGGCTGTATGAATTTCTCACCATCTGATGATAAATATTCAGTGGAATGTTTACTAGATTTACTCTTTAATTCACTAAATCTCTCTTGCTTCTTCTATCTTTTTCATCTGCTGTGTGTTCCAGCTAACCACCTTTCACCTCAGACATTAAAGTGGAGGGAATATCGGAGAAGAAATCCTCTCACTCATGGTCGTGTGACTGGATTTGTCAATAATTTGGATCCTAAACTGTCAGGTGCTGGGATGACTAGGAAGAATGCCTATCTGGAATTCTCTGGCCTAAGTGGTGTTAACCATTTACGTTCAAAGTTATATGGTGCAGTTTTTTTTTATGCATTTAGAACGTTATACAATATAGTGTGTGGATGTTGTTAAAATTGAATGTATTTAGATCTGCTGACCGAGGCACGCTTTTCTTTGCTTAATATATTAATATTCTGTTCTTCTTTCTCTTTACTAATTCTTCTGTTTAACAAATAGTTTCCGAAAGCAGTTACGTTTACCATATGCAAATTGACGCTGTTTTATAACATGTTTGGAACTAGGCAATTTAAAATAATCGAGAAATTAAATTTTTAAATATTAGGAAGACATAATCTTATTTAGGAACTTGATGTAGATGGCACTTCGAGCAGTAATTGTTACTTGTTTTAATTTCTCTAAGGGTTAACAATATGATAATAGTGAGGTCAAACAGTTGGATAATGTAAGCTTATGCAGACAAGTCTATGCTGCTTGTGGCATAGGTTCACACAGCTACAATTGCATCAATAGGTAGATCTTCATGTGGGTGCACAGAGACCTTACCTCAGGGAAAAGGAGTCAAGTCACTCCAGGCTGTTCCTGTGTGATCTTTGTGACAAGGTATAGAATAATATTGCCCAGAGGTCTGCAAACAAAATGCAAAAGAGAGGGAATTTTAAGAATCACTGTGTCTTTGAAAAAAACAGCCGCAAACTGCAGCTACTGAAGTTTAAATAACAATGAATAGTTGAGCAATGTGTAGTTATATGCTATTATATTAAATTGTGATTAACTTCATTGGTATTTTTTGTTGCGATAATCCTGTACATAAAAAGTTTTTATAAGGGGTAATATAAAGTGTAATAAGTTGAATCTATCTCTGTATTTCCCTCAGATCTGAGGATAAAATAAGGAACACAATGTTATACTCTGAGAAGGCATTTTTTAAAAAAAATTTAATATTTTGTTGCAGAGTATTTTGTTTGAATAGCATCTACATATGAATTTGGAGTTATCCCTGGTTTAGATAATGCACTCTCCTCTCTCTTGTTCTAGGCCAGTCAGTCAAGCAGCTCCAGAGCTATTACAACGATTTCTTTCCAGATTACTTCTCCCTGGCTGAGAAACCTCCGGCTGAATTCTGCTTATCCCCTGATGGAAACACTGAAAGTGTCTCCATTGACTTGTTACAGAAGAAAGGTAAAACACACCTTTGTTTTGAACAATATGATATGTACATCAAAACAGGTACTTGGCGTTTGAATATATAAAAAGATACTTTTTAAAATAAAATATTGTCTTTTTAAGATATTTTGAGATGTTGTTAGAATGTTGAAAGAGAGAGAGAGATTGGGAAATGAAGAGATCAAGGAATATGGAGCAAAGACAAGAGAAATGGGATTAAAATTCCTGCGATAATGTAATAAAATAGTGGACATTTTGAGTGGGGGATTGGGGGCTCAACAAGATGAATGGTATACTCCTGTTTTAATGTTATTAGTTTCAATGCTAACCCTATTCAAATCATGCAAATCACTATCAAGGTGGTTGTCTGAAAAGAGTAATGGGTTGGGCCAATAGAAAAATGCGGAAATCTTTGCCCCAAATCGTGGGGGAGTTTTTGTTGCATTTTGCAGAAAATGGCGAGGAGTTGATTGGTGCTATTGAGGTACATTTTACTGCCAACCTACATTTTTTCACTTTATTGATAAAAACTAAACATGAGGAAATAACACATATTAGATTGTTGCAAAAAAAATATTAATTGCTTCTTTAACAAAAAATGGGTGGCCCTTTTTTTGAGAGGTGGGAGGGGGGACCAGCGAGGCTACAGGAGCTCTCAGGGCCCAGCACCGCACAGACCCAGAGACAGACACACACGCACACTCAGAGACACAGACACTCACAGACACAGAGAGACACACACGCAAACATACAGAGAAAGACACACAGACAATCAGAACGGTAGGGCTTCCGAGTGAAGCTCATTTGCCGCTTGCACCGCACTGTGCATGCATGTCCAGAGCCCACAATGAAGGCAGGTAAACAGCCGGGAGGGCCAGGGGCCATAAACCACATTTGTAGGGGTTTGTAGAAGGGGGTTGAGTGTTTGAGACAGATTTTGTGGGAAAAGTGCGCTCGCACGTTTTTATTGGCCCAGGTAATGGGCAACAAAACCAGTAATACTAATAATAATCTTTATACTTGATATAAGCGTCTTCACATTGAGAGGACATCTCAAAGCACTTTACTGGATGCTGTAAAGTGTAGGGACTGTGTATTTTGTAGCCGAACGCGGCAGTCCATTTGTGCACAGTAGTATCCGACAAACAGCCAATTTTACCTGGGGGATTGTTGGCCAGAAGAAACTCCCTTCTCTTTTTAGAATAGTGCCTTGGGATCTTAAGTGTCCACCTAAGTGAGCAAATGGGATCTCAGTTTAACATCGTGTCCAGAGAACAGCATCTCCAACAATGCAGCACACCCCAACACCGCATTGCATTGTCAGTATAGACTGTGTTCAGAGTCCTGACACTATCTCATGTGAAGGGCGCTATATAAATACTTTTCTGGTTGTTATTAATGTGTTTTAGGTTATTAATGTTATTATTTTTTTGTTAAAAAATCTACTGCATTCCAAGTCCTGTATCATTTGTCTTATTTTATTATTATAGGTCTTGTTAAGGCTGTGAACACTGCTGTTGATCTAATTGTAGCACACTTCGGGACAAGTAGAGAGCCTGGCGTGAAGGTACAACAAAACATGAAATGTTACCACAGCTCTGGTCTGTGTGTATGAACTGATTTGTGTGCGGTTTGTCATTACCTGCACATCAGTGTGCCATTTGGTAATTTGTATTGAATGCAATTCTTTCCTTTAAAAAAACTAAAGCAGTAATAGTAATCATTTTTGATTTGTTTGCAGTTTTTAAAATCGAATGGTTAAGTAATAGTTTCCTATAGTGAATTCACCTTTTTAATTTTAGTGGTGTGACTTATTACATTACATATGACATACATAATAAATCTAAACTCAAGTGGAATGTTACCCCATATGTGACTCCACCAATTTGTAGGATTATTGCCCTGCTACCGATTTTGAGAGTGAGAAAATAGGATTATTTATTGTGAGTGCATTATTTGTGCTGTTTCCAGTAATAAATATGGTCCTCGCTGACACAGTTAGCTTTTGAAACACTGTTGAATATTAAGGTTAATTATTGAAAATAAACCTACTGTATATCGTACTGTAGCAGACATAAAAGTAGATGAACTGTAGAGGCTTGTTACTTTTCAGGCCAAGCTCGGCAACAGTTCAGTAAGTCCGAATGTGGGTCATCTGATACTTAAATACCTGTGTCCAGCCATGAGAAACATTCTTCAGGATGGGTTGAAGGCATATGTTCTGGACGTGATTGTGGGACAAAGGAAGAACCTGCCATGGACTGTGATTGAGGCCTCCACTCAGCTTGGTATGACCAGCAGTTTCAATCATTGTTATATAAAATCTTCAGTGTTCAGAATTAAAGTGAGGATTAAGGTAGAGGTTCCACCCCAAAAATGCCAAATAACAGCTAGAAAAGGATACACGACCACCCTACCTGCTAGGACTTTGGCCTGCAGGATCAACTGGAGTGGAATGTGAAGAATCTCTACCCTCAAATAATTGGTCTGCCCTTAAAGTTTAAGAAACGAGCCAGGCTGGCTCATAATGTTGTTTGTTCTGATGCACAGTGAATCAATGAATGTAAAGTGCATTTTAAATTGGGGATCTTTGTGCCAAAACTCAAATCCATTGATTGAGTTGTCAGGGAATGGAAACACTTGGTTAACTAATTACAGCATAAAATGTAATGTTTTTTCAAAAGGAAATTGGATATTTAGTTGAAAGGAAAAAAAATTACAAGACTATGGGGAGTGGGATGAATTGGATAGCACAATGGACCGAATGGTCTCCATCTGTGTTGAAGGATTCTATGATTCTATGATTTTGTGATTGCTTTCATGACCATGAGCTTGGTTAAAACTCAAAAACCTGGAGGTAAAAGAATAGTTTGCTAACCCATTGAACCATATGGAAAGTTGAAGGATTTACAGCTTTATTTTGATGTTAAAAGTTTTTTTCTTTTACAGGTCCTTCGACCAAGGCACTCAACAATCTGTTTTGCAAGATAAGTCAGTACACTGAATTAACTAATCACAGCATTAGATTTAATGCTTTCATCTTTGGTCTTCTCAAGTAAGTTACAGCTAATTCATAACTTAACAATGGATCACGTTAGCATAAAGAAGACTGTTGCATTATTTAACAAAAGGTTTCAGTTCAGAAGTTGGCTGATCACACGGCTGGATATAATAATAATAATAATAATCCTTGCATTTGATAGAGCGCTTTTCACGTCTTCTAGATGTCTCAAAGCTCTTCACAGAATATGCTATAAATTGAATTGACTGCATATTTATGGGCGAAACGTGGCAGCCAATTGCGCACAGCAGTGTCCCACAAACAGTCGTGGATTGAAAATGACCAATTGATTATATGGACTAATGCCATTCATGCCCTCTAAACTAACTTCACTAGAATTCAACTCCTCCTCCTCCTCTTCTACATCCATCTGCAGAATGAGATGTGGCCAGTTCAAAATCCAACACAAAACACACCTCACATTCTATCCGACCTGTAGGATGAATGATGATGATGGCATAGGGCCACGCTCTCACACACATTCTGCTTCATGTCCCTGCCTCTAGCTTTCTGTCCTGGGAGCAATAAGAAGCTGCCCTCGTAAACTCCCAGCTGTAGCCACACATCTATTCAGCCTAGAAAAGGGGCTCCAAAAGTACTCAGGCTGATCTTGTCCTCACTGCATCCCCAGCTGTGTTACAACCCGACACTCTCCACAGCAAACCGAACAAAATAGCTATAAGACAATCATTGGTGCTTACTGAGATGGTATTGAACTGACTGCATCCAGAGTAAAGCAAGCACCTGGATGTGGAATTGCTTCCTTTAGACTTCCTCCCTATTTACAATTAGTGCATATTTAGTCACCTTCCTCCTACACCCCATCTCCTAACCAGCTCAACAACAACAAGATTTCATTTATAGAGCGCCTTTCACATCGGGAGGACGTCCCAAGGTGCTGGACAGTTGGGTCGAGACCCGAGCAGGGGGGAAATGGCCAGGGTGAGGGGAGGAAAGGGAGGGAGCGAGGAGGGGCTAGAGAGTCGAGAGGGGAGCTGAAGGCACGGTTGAAGCTCTGCCTCCTACTCCATCTCAGTAATATGCTTTGAGACATTTTCCTATGTGAAAGAAGGTTCACATTATAAACTAAATAATAATCCTTAAGTAATCTCTTCCCTTCACACTTAAAGCTTACCTTAAGTAAGCCTCTTCCCTTCACATACCAGTCTCCATGACTCCATCACTCTCACCCTTGCCCGACTCCACTGGCTCCCCATCCCCCAGAGGATCGAGTTCAAGATCCTCATCCTCACTTTCAAGTCCATCCATAGCCTTGCCCCCTCCTACCTCTCTGACCTGCTGACTCCCTACCAACATGCCCGTTCCCTCCGTTCAGCGGGCTCTGGTCTGCTCCACGCCTCCCGCCCGACCCGCCCTACCATTGGTAGTCAGGCTTTCAGCCTTTCTGCCCCCACACTCTGGAATTCCATCTCATGTTCCCTTCGCCTCACTTCCTCCCTTGCCTCCTTCAAGGCCGGTCTCAAGACCCTTCTATTTGATCGTGCCTTTGGTCACCTTCCCACCTCTCTGCCTACCCTCACCCCTACACCACCCCTCCCCTATGCTGACTGTTCAGCGCTTTGGGATGTCTTCCCGATGTGAAAGGCACTCTATAAATGTAATTTTGATGTTGTTGTAATCCTTGCATTGGATATGATGCCTTTCATGTCAGTAGAATGTCTCAAAGCCCTTCACGGGATTTTCACTTAAAGTGTAGGGTCTACATTTAAAGTATTTTGTAGGTGAATGAGGCAGCCAATTTATGCACAGTAATTCTGGTATGCAGGAGGTTGGCAAACCCTTCTCAAACCCTTTCACTATCTTAAACACCTCTATGATATCAACCCTCAACCTTCTCTGCTTCATTGCAAAGAATCCTTAACTTGACTCTCTTCATAGCTCTAATCATCTCACCTCCAGTAGCATCCTTATAAATATATGAATGTACCCTCCTTGTTATGCTCCTTAATCTGTTCTGTTCGACCCTGAGCTGTCCTTTCTTCCTCATATCCGCGCCATAACTGGCACCGCCTTCCACCACCTCCGGAATATCACCAGACTAGGGCACTACCTCACCCCTCACTGCTGAAACACTGGTCCATGCCTTTATCACCTCAAGGCTGGACTATGGGAACTCTCTCCTCGCCGGCTTTCCTGGCACCTCCCTCCACAAGCTGCAGGTCATTCAGAACTCTGCAGCTCGTGTACTGTCACGCACCAGGCTTCGGGACCACATCACTCCCACCCTCGCTCGCCTCCACTGGCTCCCCATCCCCCAGAGGATTGATTTCAAGATCCTCATCCTCACCTACAAGGCCATTCACGGCCTTGCTCCCTCCTACCTCTCCGACCTACTATCCCCCTACTTACCTGCCCGTACCCTCCGTTCCTCTGGCTCCGGTCTGCTCCACATCCCCCGCCGCCCTAACCGCCCTACCATCGGTGGTCGGGCCTTCAGCCTCTCAGCCCCGAGGCTCTGGAACTCCATCCCCCAGTGCCTTCGCCTTGCTTCCTCCCTTTCCTCCTTCAAGGCCGGTCTCAAGACCTTTCTCTTCGACCGTGCCTTCAGCTCCCCTCTCGACTCCCTACCCCCTCCTCACTCACTCCCTTCCCTCCCCTCCTCCTGACCAGTTCCCCCCTGCTCGGGTCCCGACCCAACTGTCCAGCACCTTGGGATGTCCTCCCGACGTGAAAGGCGCTCTATAAATTAAATCTTGTTGTTGTTGTTGTTAATCTAAAATTGTTTAAATCCCTTCCAAAATTCCTTTTTAACAAAAAAATTGTCTGTTTATATAATTAGATGAGGAGTAGCAAAAAATGAAAGATTGACGAACTAAGAGTTTCACATTTTTCTGCCCTGTTTTTTAAAAAAAACTCCCTGTGGGTTTAATACTTTTTTTGTACTCAATATCTTTCTGTTCTTTTGTTGCAGTATTAGGTCCTTGGAATTTTGGTTTAACCACTTAAACAATCATGAAGGTAAGAAAAAATAAAGCACAATTGCTGTTGTAGCCCTTGCATCCTTGTATTTTAAACGTAACTGTGGCAACACTGATGATGTGTGCAGCTGCCAGAATTGCAGACGTAATTAAAAAAAAACAATTTTCATAGTTTATTTTCTCTTTAAGTGACCCAAGAAATCTGCGTTGTTGGTTATGCCGACTCCCAATAATGTTTCTCCTCAATCTGTTTTAAGAGTCGGTTGTTCCAGTCAGAGTGAAGTGTGATGAACTGTACTTCCTTTAGCAGGAGGAATCCCCACTCAGATTTCTTCATTGAGAAATCCTGTTTGGAAATAATAATAGGCAATCCCTCGATAATGACAATCCCTCGATCATTTAGAAATACGCCCAAATTGAACTACTATGTCAAAGTTGCATAAGTTCAAAATCTTTTTTAAAAAATCTTTATTTTCCTTCTGTTAGATATTATTGGTGTCCACTATCTGCCCACTGGCTTCCTGGCACTATCGCACAGTGTTTGCCAACCGCTGTTTGAGGAGCTGCTTCTTTTACTGCAGCCTCTTTCATTGCTTCCCTTCGATCTGGATTTGATGTTTGAGCACCAAGTTATGCAAATGAACAAGGAGCAACTGAAGAAGAAGGAGCAACTGCGGGTGAAGCAGGACCTGCTGCAGTCTGTGCACTCCACCTTCCAGCTGATGAGAACCAAAGGCGATGGCGTTAGCTTCAGTTCTGGGCCTGAAACAAACAGAGAGAGCAGATCGGAAGGAATTGCACAAAGTGAAGATGCAAAGGTTGCAACAGCAAGAGATGGAATATTCGTGGATGAACCAGATGAAGATGTACAGACTATGGAGAGAAAGAGTAAAGAGAAAGTGATTGCGATGAAGAAGGATAAGCAGGCAGGGTGGTGGTACCAGCTCATGCAGAGCTCCCAGGTGTATATTGAAGGGTCTGGGGATGGATCAAATTTTGTAAAATGGGAGAAGAGAAAGAAGCAAAGTACAGCTGCAGCACCTCAATGGCAAAGGGGAGGAATAGAGAAGGTGCCCCTGCGAGAAGGTGTTGCAGAAGGAGCGGAGAATGGGTCCGTTTGTGGACTGGAAAAATCAAACATTACAAGTGTTCCATGTCGTCACTCCAGAGAGGGAGCAGCAGCTAAGGAACATCGGGGGGAAGCTCAGACCAAGGGCCCTAAAAAGGAAGCTAAGCCCTCCTGGATGGGCAGCCCTCCAGAGTCTATGCTCCACGAACTTAAACCCAGTAAAGCAAATGGAAACATGGTGACACGTGAACAAGCTGCAGAAGGAAAGCCAAGCCAAGAGCTTGCCGCGGGCAGGCCAGGGATGTGGTGGGGTCGCTTGTTTGGTGCAAGTGTAAATCAGACTAGAAAGGAAGAACCATGTCTGGGGAAATCCCAGAGAAGCAGGTGAGAACTATTGGGGCACCATTTGTTCTGATTGTATACTATTGTTCTGAATATTGGACAGTTTGCTCTTTGTGTCAGATTTAGATGTGACCCATTTTTCAAGTTTCGAAAGCACCCTTCACATAGAATAATGTGTCTGAACACTTCACAGAGGTAGGGGTTGGAGTAAGGGGGAGGGAAAGTGACCCTAGGTGTGGTTGCAGAGATAGGTTTAAAAGCGGGATTGATAAGCAGAGTGGGTGAGGTAGCGGGATAGAAGCAGGTAATTGCAGAGTCAGGGTTTAACAGATGTTTCAATTTAAATGTTTACTTTCCAAATGATGGGTATAAAATGTGCCAGTTGCCAACCGGATTTGAGTTGCTAATTGCAATCCACTGCGAATATCAGATTGTGAGATTCGGAAAAGGCAAATCTTGAATCCAAAGGCAGCAGAATCTAAAGAACGGCTGGTGACTATTCATTGTTTTAATCAAAGGGCCTTTTGCCAAAGCTTTCTGATTTGTGATTCACCATTTTACGAATCTGGCGTCAAACATTTCGGCAATTTAGTATCTCATGTGTAACCCAATATTATTTTTGAAGAATATTAAAAAGCAAAATATATTTCCTCTTCCCTCCAGATTTAAGTTTTTTTTCCTTCCCATAAACTCCCCCCCCCCCCCCCACCCCAATCCCAATAGATTGCTATAGTCCTACAATTATCATGTTCCAATTCAGAGGTTGATGAAACAACTTCATGAGATGACAAATAAAGTTTGGATGCAGAAGACTCTTCAGCCTAATTAATCTAATCCTTCCAGAATATCAATCCTGCCTTTTCCCATTACAGCATCAAGCTGTTTTTTGAATGCTTCAATACAGTGCCTCTACCCTGGCAACACTTTCCAGTCATTAATTATCTTCTGTGTAAAAATGACCTGTATAAACTGCTTGGATCTCTACCAAATCTTATTTTAGCATAATTTTTGGCAAGGATTGCCTGTGCTGGAAAATAGATTTTTCTTCCTCACATTTTGTGCACATTGTCTTCGCTTCCAGGTCAAGCATTGTACAATTAGACATCGACCTCAGACTATCATTGTAGCTTCGGAGAGAGAACCTTACTGGACCAGTACTTGCTTTCTGTTTTTCTCAGTAGCCGTCCTTTCCATCTCTAACTGACCAAATTAGTGGCTTAATTATAGTGTACATTTTACACTGAATTGATACAAAAGTTAAGTATATATCGAAGGTCACAATCTTGAAACTGACTGCACTGGGGTCATTTTGCTGAAACAAATTTAAGTAGGAGGTTTCACCAGGTGAGATTAAATGTGGACTTTGTGAATTGCTTTGGTCTGCTCTCTCGAAGTAACCCTCAAAATGTTTGTGGATTGCATTTATGTGTTATTGAGTATTAATTACACTCCTGTCTCTTTAATAAAAAGATAAAACTAACTGTTGTTTGACAATAATTGGATTGATTATATTTGATCCCACCTGAGTTAGAAGTACATTCATACATACATTTAAGTACGTTTTATCTATCCTGTGTGTGAACACCTTGATAATTTTAAAATGCTTCTCTAGATTTGGACCAAATAATTCAAGACCTAATTCATGAAGTAATTAGTTGCTTATATTAAACAAAAATCAACAATGTATAGGGTGCAAATCCTTGACTGTCCAGTGCCTTGGGACATCCTCCTGAGGTGAAAGGTGTGATACATGTGTAATTTGTCGTCATTGTGTTAATAGTTTCAAAGGTTGCCAAAGATGAAAGAATCTCACTCAATGAGTTACCAATTGGAAGTTCCCACCTCTGACCTGTAGAACAGCACCGTGAGTCCATTTGATTATTTGTAGTATGTTAGGATATTAATTTATTGTTTTCTTTGGTTTTCAGGTTGCCCTCTGGCTGGTTGGGACTTGATCAATCAGTGTATGATCTAATGGTGCAAACTATGGGAACTGGGAAATGGAGAGGACCTCCACCCACAGTAGAACAAACCCCACAACAGTCTGGAGGTAGTCAGCCTGAATCTCAAGAAACAAAAGCTCAGCATGAGCGGTAGTAGTTTTTACATTGTTTCCCTGATCCTGGGGCACTTGTTATATATTCTGTGTGAAATGGTTTCAGTTGAATTGACGGTATATTTTGTGGGTGAAACGCGGCAGCCAATTGCGCACAGCAGTGTCCTACAACAATCGTAGATTGAGTGACCAATTTATTTATTTTTTTGAAGGAATTATTGCCCCCGGAAAAGCAATGTACTAATCGACTAACAAACGGGTTCCTATGTACTGCTAGGTAAACAGAGGCGTGTGGAGTAAGGAAACCTGTCCAACATTTCATCCTGCCGGGAATCAAACCCAGGTCTCTCGTTTGCGAGGCGAGTGCCCTAACCAATGAACTACAGGACTTTCTGTTTGTTTCCAAGATGGAAACATACGAAAAAGAAAAAGACCGCTGTAATCCACCTGGCCAGTTCCAAAGTTAAACAAGATAATCCTACATGATTCTATCTCTTATATCCCTCAATCAATTAAATTCTTCATCAAGTAGCTACTGAATTCCCCCTTGAATTAGTTGGCACAATCTACCTCTACTGTCTACCTGCCTAGTCTATTCCATATTGTTATCACTCTAAGAGTCAAATCTGAACTGACCATTCAACTTCCTTCTTCTGAGTTAATAATAATAATAATAATCCTTGCTTTACACATCAGAAGGACATCTCAAAGCGCTTCACAGGAAATATTGTGAAATGGAGTGACTGTGTATTTGCTGGCTAAAACGGCAGCACATTTGCACATAGCAAAGTTGCACGAACAACCAGAGTGACAAATTTTTGGGGGGATTATTTGCCGAAATTATGATCGCTTGCGACATACTGGCCTTGTTGGCTAGAACACCAGGAGAACCTCACTTCTCTTTTTGAATAATGTCATTGGATCTTTAATGGCCACCTGAACAGATAGACGGGACCTCGGTTTAATGTCCCATCTGAGTTGTGTACTTTCTTGTTGTTGATCATGTTAAATTTATTATTTATTGGGAGATTACTTTTCAAGTTTAACCCAAAAAATGATGCAGTTGGGTATTTCATATATTAAAAGAAAATGCAGGAGGATATCAAGAAAAATATCAGTTGGGAATTGGGTGGTGGGAGTTGACATGAAAAAGCAATTAATATTGAACCCTGCGTGTTGCATTCAGCATTTCAGACACATTTTCCTTTTTTTCCCCTTGAAGAACAGTGAAAGCACTTTGTCATCACATAGCAACCGAGAAGGGACAGCTGAGCTTTAAGAAAGGCGACATTCTGAGGGTGGTATCCAAAGTCGATGCAGATTGGCTGCTGTGTGGCCTTGGTGCTGAGTGTGGATTGGTACCCATTATGTACGTGACTCATCCAGAAGATGAAGACTATTAATCTGAATGCTCAAAGAACTGTGCAAAATGAATGGTGGTGGGTGGGAGAGAACGGAGAGAAAGTGAACAAATTAACTTCCAACAAGATCAAATCAAGCAAAAGAAACACAAAATTGCCAATATTTATTTGCTTATTCCTTTAATCGTCATTGAGTGCATTCAGTAAACAATAACAAATAGGAAATATTTCTCCTCACTCAATTCTCGTTCTAGTGTTAGTGACTATATGCATGCATGGCACACAACCCCATTTGTTCTAATTTTCACATGCCTTGAATAGTATATGAGCAGCTTTAAATTTGACAGCCTTTCCTGTAAGTGGTACAGAATTAGTATATGTTACAGTTTTTATTATTTAATAATGTACATCAAAGTTTTATTTGAGATTGTGTAAATTGCATGAATTTGTGACGTGCAGACAACAGGCAGTATTTCTGTTTGTGAAAGACAGTATTGGTGCCTTGATTGGATGCTGGAGGGTGACTTTGCTGCCTACCCTTGCAAACCATTCGATGAGAATGTTTCATGTTTCAGCTAGCAGAGGAATCAATGAAAATATAACAATTTGTAGTAATATATACCTCCTGCTTGTACATATGCAGTCAAAGAAGGTGCACCACATTTAGTTTTATTTTGACATTCTTTCAACATGTATTGTATTATTTATTTTGCATATTAATAAAAAGTGCCGAAATTATGATTGCTTGGGACACACTGGGTATTTATAGTCCTTTGCATATCGTTATTTTTTGTGAAGCGAAGGACCTAGTTACTCTAACCAATTTTATATCTTTCAGAATTGATCATTTTACGCTTGCTAGTCACTGAATTTTTAAAAATATATATTTCTATGTGCCATAAGAATCTACTATGTAGATCCACTTTGTTGCCTCTAACGGTTTCTCCTCCAGCTCCCGCACTGTCACTCTGGCATCCCCCAGGGCTCTGTCCTTGGCCCTCTCCTCTTTAATATCTACACGCTCTCCCTTGGTGACATCATCCGCAGACATGGGGTCAACTTCCACATGTATGCGGATGACACCCAACTCTATCTTTCTGCCTCCACCCTCAACTCCAGGACCACTGCTGTCCTGACAGACTGCCTGTAGGATATCAAGTCCTGGATGAGGGCAAATTTCCTACAGTTGAATGTGAACAAGACTGAGGCCCTCCTGATTGGCTCACACCAGCGCCTCAGCACCTCAGGCTCTGGCAACATCAACCTCCATATTGCACACTACAACTCACAAAGCCAGTCAGGAACCTAGGTGTCTCGTTCAACCCTCAACTGTCTTTTCTCCCCCATATTCAAGCCATGACCCACTCTGCCTTCCCTCACCTCCGTAACATCACCCGACTCCGCCACTACCTCACCCCTCAGGCCGCTGAAACTCTTGTTCATGTCTTCATCACCTCCAGACTCGACTATGCAAACGCCCTGCTTGTCGGCCTTCCCAACTCCCCCCTCCACAGGCTGCAGATAATCCAGAACTCTGCAGCCCGTGTCTTCTCCTGCACCAAACTCCGTGACCCCATCTCCCCCACTCTCGCCCGACTCCACTGGCTTCCTATCCTTCAGAGCATCCAGTTCAAGATCCTGGTCCTAACATACAAAGCCCTCCATGGCCTCACCCCACTCTACCTCTGCGACTTCCTAACCCCCTACCAACACGCCCGTTCCCTCTGCTCAGCCGGCTCTGACCTGTTCGACGTCCCCCGACCCATCCACCCCACCACTGGGGGAGATCCTTCAGCCACTCTGCTCCCAACCTCTGGAATTCCATCCCCCAGTCACTCCACCTCGCCCCCTCTTTAGCCTCCTTCAAGTTCCGCCTCAAGACCCTCCTCTTCAGCCATCGGCCACCCCCCCTTCCCTTACCCTCCCTTACCCCCCCCAACTCCAGCTCGGGTCTGAAATGCTGTACGCTGTCCAGCGCCTTGGGACGTTCTCCCGACGTGAAAGGCGCTATACAAATGTAATCTTGTTGTTGTATGTGTCATGTGAGCAACGTGAAAAAAAATTATATGCTCTGTGTAAACCTTGTGCTAAAGCTGTTGTGCACACCTGCAAAACCAGATTGCATTTAAGATCTTCGTCCTCATGTTTGAATCCTTCCACAACCTCACCCTCCGCCTCTGCAACCCTCTGCAACCCTACATGCTCTGCCAATCCCTCTGTTCAGTTTACAGCAGCTTGCTTCATGTCCCATTGCCCAATTCATCCCATCATCAGTGGGTGAGCTTTCAGCCATTCTGTCTCTCTGCCTTGCCCCCTTACTCCCACTTTTAAATCACACCTTAAGACCCATCTTTTTGATCACACTTTCGGTCCTCTGTTCCCACATGTAAGTAAGAAAGCAATTTCGCAGCCTACTTGTTCAAGACAACGTTTTCACTCGACAGACCTTTCTTGCATCAATATAACCTATGTTCAGCACATTAAAGACCCATAGCACGTTCCCTTGTAACCCTCACTGTGGTGGGAAGAGCTTTACTGATTCAGACACCATTGAGCTATGGGTGTTTGCTCGCTGCTCAGCAGATCTTTGACGCAACACAGATCAGCCCAAGCTCTTTTTATTACACAAGTACAATATTTCAATCTTCAGGTTTTCAATTGGCTGAAAATCATTCTCCCATCACTGCCAACTCTTATTGAGGACAAAGTTTCATAATAAAACATGTAAACTAGAAGGATAGTCATGGGGCTGGAATCAAAACCTTGCATTGTGCCTTACCATGGCAAAATACTTCAAAGTGCTTCACAGTAGTTCAGTTTCTGACAAGTGTAGTGACTATTCTCATCAGCTAACACAAAAAACATTTTGTGCTCAGCAAGGTCCCACATACAATCATGAGGGTGAATGACCACTTTATGTGGAGAATTGTTGGCTACAACGTAGAGAAAAGAACCTCTTTTTGAATATTGTAGTTGTCATGGGATATAATGCAATACGTATTCATATTTGTACTTTACGTTGGGAGGATGTCCCACAAATCTTTAATGTCCAAAAGAACAGGCAGATTGTGTAGATATGTGCAGTGGAAATGTGTGAGCGCATGTGTGAGTGTTGTAGAAATGGACAGCAGAGACTGAGTAATATTCTGTGTATGGATCATTACAACATCACAAAGGAGGACAAATAAGGCTTTCCTCTGGCACACACGCCTCACAATTTTTGTTTTTAAACTAAAAATATTTCTGCAGTGAATTTGACTTTAATGATTGCCAATTGTAATTAGGTACTTATATAATAAATAATAATAATCCTTGCATTTGATATTGCGCCTTATCACGTCGTTGAGATGTCTCAAAGCACTTCACAGGATATATTGTAAAGTGAATTGACTATATTTTGTGGGTGAAACTCGGCAGCCAATTGTGCACAGCATTGTCCCACAAACAGTTGTGAATTCTTATTTATCATTAGTATTATAAATTATTATTAATTATGAACATTTTACTGAGTGTATTTTGATGAAATACGTTTTTCGTACATAAATGGTGTTTTTACCCCAACACGTTATAATTGCTTATACAGTAATTATAACAATCTATTTGTCCAAACCAAAACCAAGCTCCATATCTGCCAATAATGATCAGAGAGTCTTCAGTTATAAGATTCCTCAATGCCTGACATTTATTTCAGCTGCCAGATTTTACTGTCAAGAAAGCTCTCTGTCTCGACTGTCAGGAATTCTTACAGGAAATCTCAATACTGTAAAATGCAAAGGCGTTTTGCTCTCCACCTCCAGGTAGATATGGAAAATCTGTGCTTTCAGTCATATATAATTTTACCTTTTGTGGTATCTATTTTAACTGTATCCTGTTTACACTGGGACCAAATTCAGCCTCCAATTGTTGACTACCATCTCCTGTGAGTGTAAGTTGACAGCCCCTTTAAGAAGACGGATTAAAAAAGTAGGTACAAAATGAGAGAGCAGCCAATTTCCTTTCTCCTTCCACATTGCCATTCTGAGCAGGTAGGTGAATGGTAGGTAGTTATTCGCTACTACTCCTGAGTTTTATCATTAATTTTAATATGATAATCCTGAGTAGTCTATAGATTGTAACAGACTGTTTGCAGTTGTTTAGAACTGTTGCAACTTCAATTTTACTTTACACCCCAGAGGGAGATTCTTTGCTGAGTTAGTTTGTTGTATATTCTCAATCTGTTTATTAAATGCACCTTTACTTTCAGACCACTTGGTGTATGATTGATGAGTGTGGAAAATTTATTTTGGTTTTTAATCAGAATGCCCTTGGCTCTTGCAATCTCTTGGTATTTAAGTCTGTAAATTTCTTATGTGAGACAGGTAACGTCGCTTATTCGCTAGTTCAGGGTCCAGTTCTGATCTCTCCGATGCATTAACAAAATGCGGACCAGCTCAAGTCTGCTGCACACATTCAGGATTATTTTAGTATAATAATAATCTTTGCATTTGATATAGTGACTCATCACGTCGTTGAGATGCCTCAATGTGTTTACAGGATACACTGTAAAGTAAATTGACTATATATCAAATATATTGATTTATTGGTCTAGTATCTTCACTGCACTGCTGACTCATCAGTAGGACTTGGGAGGGGCAAACTAATCACTCAGACCAGGGATTCTTCCTACTCAGCTCTGGTTAACCCAACAAACTAATCCCTAACACATAAGGTGGTCCTAGCTGAACAAACAACGAGAAACTTGCCAAACAGTGCTCTCAATCACAATCTATGTAATTTATCTAGTTACACTCTAGCAGTGCCCCAATTTATTTTTGATGAGAGAGGTTTTCCCCACTCACCCCCACTAAGCCAAATTAAACTGAATCGGAGTTCCAACCTAAATCTGAGTCCCAAATCTTTAAAAGATGACATGGACCCATTTCCTTGTAGAGTTTCCAGGCTGCAGATATCCAAATGGGCCTGAAACAGAAAATTAAAAACAAATTCCGCAGGACCCGGCATGTGTGTAGACTCTCAACTATATTAGTGCCAACACTACATTGAGCAGTCTACATGATTTGTTTGCATTAAAAAAAGTGATAAAATTTGCTGGTAAATGCCAATACTGGCAATGTAATTGCACTCAACTGCAAATTCCAGCTAGCCACACTAGATTCCCCTCCTTCCCATTTGTCTGGCTAGCCAGGGTTTATCTGTATTCCAGTTTCTCTGCTCTTTTTGAGGGAAGATCAAACTCCTCAGATCAGGACCCTCTGATATCCCGATCCCAGCCAACAAAGGTCTGAAGACATGGCTTTCCTGGCAGTAGCTCTGCCCTCCATGAATAAATCATGTGAAGGTTTGGTTCGTGGTATCCATACACGATCCAAACCTCAAAGGGGGAGAACTGATCCTAGCCAAAAGGCTGAGAAGCAACCCAGCAATATCCTAATACAAGTTCTGCAGTCCACAAGCTTTGACTCTTGCCAGCCTGTAGCTAATACTCTCTGGAATTATGTAAATGGGATGCATCCCACCTGGGATAGAGTGCATTCCATTACAAAGACAGAAATGTCTGTGTGTAGGTGGTATACATATTGCAAGGAAATTTTGTATTATTTATTTAATGATGAAATTTGGATGTTAAACAGTTGTTTGCTATATTATTGTGGAGTCCTGTAGCTCAGTGGTTAGAGCACTCGCCTTGCAAACGAGACATCTGGGTTCAATTCCAGGCAGAGGGCGAAACCTTGGGCAAGTTTCCTTACTCCACACGCCTAATAATAATCCCTCCAAAACAAAAAACAATAATAAATTGTTCATTTTCAATCCACGACTGTTTGTGGGACGCTGCTGTGCGCAATTGGCTGCCGCGTTTCGCCCACAAAATATAGTCAATTCACTTTACAGCATATTCTGTGAAGCGCTTTGAGACATCTAGAAGATGTGAAAAGCGCTATATCAAATGCAAGGATTTTTATTATTATAGTTCAATAGTCAACAGTTATGCAGAGTAGTGAACCACTATCACTAGCAACCAGGTTTCAGAGAATAAAGTACTGATCAGCTCCCTATCCCTTGGAGAGGAGCAGGCAGCTGAGAGTTGGTCAGATCTGACACTAAACTCCTGCTTTTATTCCCCCAAATATGCCCTTTATGCATTGGTCCCACCATCTATCACATTCGTGCATGTGTCAGCAGCCTTCCCACCACAAAAACACTCCTGACCTTCAGTCGTAGTGGTGGTAACCCACTTCCTAGTTACAAGTTCTTGTTCCTTGTACAATAACAAGATAACGAGTGTTATGTGGTCATCAGATGTCCTTCAGTAGTTCCCCTTTTTCAAGGTGATGTGTACGTTTTATTGTAACAACATCTTGCATTTATATAGCAATCCTCACACAGGGTAGCGCCCCAGAGCGCTTAACAGTGGTGGAGCATGACGCTGAGCCGGGGTAGGGGGATATGACCATAGGCACGGTCAAATAGGAATAAGTCTTCAGGCGTGACCTGACGATGGGGAAGGAAGGGGCAAAGCAGAGGGATAGAGGAAGAGTGTTCCAGACTTTCTGGGCTCAGTGGTTGAAAGCATGGCCACGAGTATGAGGGACAAGCAGGAGGCTGGAGCCAGGCGAGCGGACGCAGCGTGTTGTGGGTTGGGGAGTCAGCAGGTCGGAGAGGTAGGGAGGTGCCAGGACATGAAGGGATTTGAAAACGAGTACGAGGATCTTGAAATCGATCCGTTCACCGATGGGGAGCTAATGGAACCGAGCGAGAGCTGGGGGAGCGGGGGGGGGGTGGGCTGGGGAGCGGGGGAGCTGGGGGAGCTGGGGGGCAGGGAGCTGGGGGAGCGGGGGGCTGGGGGCAGGGGGTTTGGGGGGCAGGGGAGGCGGGGGGCAAGGGGGCAGGGGGCTGGGGAGCAGGGGGCTGGGGGGCAGGAGGGCAGGGGGGGCCGGGGGGGCAGGGGGCTGGGGAGCAGGGGGCTGGGGGGCAGGGGAGTAGGGGGGCTGGGGGGCAGGGGGGCAGGGGTTGGGGGGCAGGGGAGGCGGGGGGCTGGGGGGCGGGGGGGCTGGGGGCAGGAGGGCAGGGGGGGCGGGGGGGCAGGGAGTTGGGGGATTGGTGGATGGCGGAGAACAGCGGCTTTGGGTTGATTTGGGTCTCCACGATAATAGGGGAAACCCTCCACACGCAGCGCAGATGGAGCCCGCGCTCGAGGGTCCGGGTTTTAGTTTTGAGGGCGCTGAGGTGGGCCGCGTGACGGGGGCGGGAGGGCACAGCACAGGGTGGGGGGGAGGGGGGAGGGGGGGGGGGGGGAGGGGCTCTATGGCTTTGTTTGGACCATTGCTTTACACAGAGCCCCAGAGGCTCACAATGAGGGGAGCCTGTGCTCCGATCACGTGCTGAGGGGCAGCCTGCAGCATGACGCATGGTTGGGGCGGGAACAATGGTGCGGATCGCGATCACGTGATCTGGGAGTGCGCCAAGCCCTCGAATGGCGTCTTCCAGTCCAGCTTCAGGACCCGGCGTTTCCGCTTCCGTTCCCGGCTCGGCCGTTCTCGCACCGCTCCGCGCTGCGCAGACCAACCGAGCTTGGTGGCGTCAGCTGGAGACCCGCCCACATCGATCCCTGATTGGAGAAGCGTGAGCCGGTCCGGCCTTCTGTCCTGGTGACGTATGCGATATCCGGGCTCCGGGTTGGTGTGGGGGCCACGTCCATCAACCGCCGGCAGCAGGTTAGGGTGTGTGTGTGTGGGTGTGTGTTGGCCGCCGGATTGCATCAGCTGCAGTGGGCAGTGAGACAGGATATGGCGGCTGATCAAGTGACCGAGGAGCTTCGGGAGCTGAGCATGGAGACCGAGGTGAGGGAGGAGGCTCGCGGACACATGTACACCGGGAGGTAACGGGCCGGGCCGGGCCGGGCTCCCAGCCGAGCCCGTCACTGAAAACCAGTCGCTCACCGCTGGACGGCCTCCGCCAGTGTCTGAGGGACGCGGCTCAGCGGCTCAGCGGCTCAGCCTGACCCGGGGAAGGCGTCACCACTAACCTGCACCCAACTTACCTCCATCAGATACATGTGCATATCGCCATCATATATACATATATATATATATGTGTGTGTATGTGTATGATACGATACAATTGGCTGCTGCGTTTTGCCCACAAAATATACAGTCACTACACTTTACAGTATATCCTGTGAAGCGCTTTGAGACGTCTTGAAGGTGGGATATGGCGCTATGTCAAATGCAGAGATTATTATGTACGTCTCCATCACGTGTATGTGTATATCCCCATTATATATGTATGTATAGCCCTGTCATATATATATATATGTGTATATCTCCATTATATATACGCTTTGCCCCCTTCTTTGCCACTTTCTTTGCCTTTTTCATTCCACGACTGTTTGTGGGACATTGCTGTGCGCAATTGGCTGCCGTGTTCGCCCACAAATATACAGTCAATTCACTTTACAGTGTGTTCTGTGAAGCGCTTTGGGACGTCCTCCCGACGTGAAAAGCGCTATATCAAATGCAAGGATTATTATTATTATTACTTTCGACACCTGCCTCAAGACCCTCCTCTGCGATCGTGCCTTCAATCCCCCTCTTCACCCCCTGCCCTCCAGCCCCCCCGATCCCGACCCCCAGCGCGGGTCTGAAAACTGAAACACTGAGTGTCCAAATTGTTCAGCGCCTTGCGATGTCCTCCTGACGTGAAAGGTGCTCTACAAATGTAATTTTGTTGTTGTTGTTGACGTATATAGCCCCATTTTATATATATATATGTTTATATCTCCAATATATATCGATATATAGCCCGCAGTGTCAAAACTTTGAGCCGTTTCCCAACCTGCAAGGCGCTATGTAACTGTAAAATGTATTGTGTGTATATATATGTGTATGAAAAATTTGCCCACAAATACAATCACTAGCTCTGAAACTAGCTGTGTGAAGGTGCTATGTAAATGCAAGTTTTTATATATCAGCATACACAGATTATTATTATAATGTATGTAACTGTATAGGTGAGGGGGATGGGGGAATGGAGGCTTGTGCGGCCTGTATCTGTGCTGTCTCATTTTATCTCATCCTATCTTTCATGTGCTGGTTGACTTGCTGAGCCTTTCCACACTCCTACCTTTTATGTTAAATTTCGGTCGAAGTTGGGTACCAGACCTGCCAGACCGAGAGGATTCCCTTTCACATATGACACAAGTCTTTAAATGCTTCACAGAGATGATGGGGATACCTGAGCAACGAGGAAAGGATGGTGAACTGAAGGATGTGTTAACCAGAGGCACTGTCAAAGAGATGCATGTTGAGGGTTTTGAAGGCATGGAGAGAAGGAGCAAAGCAAAGGAATTTGGGGAGATAGTTCCTTAGTGGCTGCAAGCTCACTGACCAATAATGGGACAGAGAGAGAAGTTGACTAAGATTGGCAAATGGAGGGCACTCAGGAGAATAGTGAAGATTGTAAAGGTAGACAGGAGCAAGATCAGGAAGGAATTGAATGTGAGGATGAAGATCTTGAAGCCGATCACCTGGTAGTCTTGTGAGGATGCCTTCCGTGCTATCCCCTAGTTCTGCCTACCTCTGTATAAGAACCAAATAAATGGAAAGAATGGGTATGAAAGCTTTTCCGCATGGATTAAGCATGGTACTGAGACCTTAAACAATATTACCAGCCAAACCTGCATTGTAGATTTTAAATAGGTTATTGATTAAGGGAGCACAGAGAGGAAACATTTTTGGATTATCATTCAGCATCTGTAATTGCATTTTTTTACTGTTTCCAGTCTAAAGCCATTCCTGCAAAACGTAAAGATGGAGGCAAGAAGAAGAGTAATAAGGATGATGGTGATGCAAAGAAATCCGAGGTGAGAATGTTCTGTGTTTTTGTAATATACTAGCACCTTGAGAATGTACACTAGTAGGTAATGAAAGTTATTTGGAGTCCTGTAGCTCAGTGGTTAGAGCACTCGCTTTGCAAGTGAGAGACCTGAGTTCAATTCCGGGCAGAGGGCGAAACCTTGGGCAAGTTTCCTTACTCCACACAGAGCCTAATAATAATCCCTCCAAAAACCAAAAACAATAATTAAATTGGTCATTTTCAATCTACGACTGTTTGTGGGACATTGCTGTGCGCAATTGGCTGCCGCGTTTGCCCACAAATATACAGTCAATTCACTTTACAGTGTGTTCTGTGAAGCGCTTTGGGTCGTCCTCCCGACGTGAAAAGCGCTATATCAAATGCAAGGATTATTATTATTATTTCTTGTGTTTTCAGTTTCAAACTAATAGGAAGCTTATTCAAGTGAATTCACTGGTTTGAATATGTTGCAGGTGCAACAAATATATCAGCACCTTGGGACGTCCTCCCAATGTGAAAGGCGCTATACAAATATAATCTTGTTGTAAATTGGGTGTGGATGCACTTGTTAGACTAGAACCAGGTGACAGAAAATGATCCTCCTTTATTGCATCAGACTGCTTTGGAGATTGTGGAGATCAGGCTGGACAGTAAAAATGTGATTAAACATTATTTCATTCATCTTCTATATTATCTGCAATTGAGTTTGATCGTACTGTACTGCTAAGAATTTTAAATTTACAAAAAACCCTGACCAACAATGTTGGTTTAGAGGGTAACCAGAGAAGTGTTTCTGCTTAACTTTCTGTCCTCCTGTCCCTACAGTTGGATCCATGGCCAGACTATATCAATAAGCGTCTTGAACTGTACAATAAACTAAAAGCAGAGAATGATACGATTCTAGCGGAACGAGCTGCAAAAGATAGCAAGCCAATTACTGTCACTCTGCCAGATGGCAAACAGGTGGAGGGAGAGTCATGGAAAAGCACTCCATACCAGATTGCTTGTGGAATCAGGTATTCTTCTATATCTATACTGAATGCTTCTGTTTTTACCAATCTATTCACATTTCAAACTGGAAACTACTGTGTCCTCTTCCATTTAAAGACTTATTATTTAAAACTCACATAATCTAAGCACCTACTCCAATGCAGTGTTGGGGGGTGTTGCATTGTCAGAGGTGCCGCCAGCTGATGAGATGTTAAACCGAGGTCCCATCTACCTGTTCGTTGGCATTAAAGGTCCCATTGCATGATTGGAAAAGAGAAGGGAGTTTCTTGCGGTGTTATGACCAGCTATCCTCAATATAAAATTGGTCACTTACAGCATGACTGTCTGTGGGACGTTGCTGTGTGCAAATTGGGTGCCACATTCACCCACAAAACACTGTCAGTGCACTTTACAGTATTTCTTGTGAAGTACGTTGAGACATGAAGTGAAAAGTGATTACCAAACTAAGGATTATTTTTTATTATTTTCATTGCAATTTGACTCTTGTGCAAGTAAGTTTACAGTATTCAAGTTGCAATTTCCTTCCCTTTTTTATTAAAATGTGCAGATCTTTTTGAATAATTTTTGTAAAATATCACTTTCAGAAAACTGATTTCAAGTGTTGGATAAAGTAATTTTATTTTTCACTGGGCTATATACAATGACCTTTTCTGGCTCAAACTGTTCTATGAACACTGCAGAAGGTCTGTACATATTGCTGATGCCAAAAGGCATTAAAATTATTTAGGAATAGAACAGCTCAGCTATCTCTAGCCAGAAAAGCCTGAGGACTAGTATATCCAGTGGGTGGGGTACATCACTTGCCCTAATGTCCCAAATACTGCCTAATATTTTCCTTCTCAACCTTCAATCTTGTCCTCCTATTCAGACACGTTTGAAAGTATTACTGTTCCATAATTTTTAAGCATTTTGCAGATCTCTGTAATGTATCTTGGAACCCTTGGTTTCACCAACCTGTGTCTAAACTCTCGAGGGTTAGGTAAGCAGGGTGCCTCTCTTCTGGGGAGAAGAGTGTGCACTCCATATTGGACACTTGGAGTTCTCAGTAGTTTGGTTTGGAGACTCTTAAGCACTGTGATGGGTTTCCTTGTGTATCAGATACCCTGTGGTAATCGGCCTCGCTGCTTTCCTCAGTAGTGATATCAGATTGAAAGCGGGTCACTTATGTCACGATGCCTAGAACTGCGCACATTCCGTTAGGTAAAACCTGTCTGATCACAACCATTTGAACCTAACTCCTGGAAGATTGACCTCTACTGATTTCGCAATGTGTACCAGGGTCCTGTTGAGCTTGTTTATTTCTGCCTCACATTGTTTAGATATGGTGAGTGACGTGTAGAGTCCCTTAAGTTTCTTTCAACCCCGTGGCAAGTTTTAGTCCATCCCTTTGAGTACACAAGTCTCTTTAAGTTCACTTCCCGTACGCAGTACCTTGTAATTATCTGCATTGAACGTCATTTGCTTATCAGCCCAGTTAACTCTTTCTTTGTAAGATCTTAGCTGCCTCATCTGTTTGATCCATTCTAACTGTTGTCCAAAGGATTGTTTTGACAATATTCTATTCACAGTATATACTTGGAATTAGTTCAGCAAGTATTTTCTGAATGATTAAATCTTATGGAATTGTGAAGTACCCTGTACTTGGCAACTATTACTAGTTTCATTCCCTTTGCTCGGTGGCCAAACTCCCACCCCGCCCTCCACCTCTCCTGACCCCAACTCCCAGCTTGGGTCTAAAAATCCCTGATTGTTCAACGCCCTGGAATGTCTTTCTGACGTGAAGGGCACTATACAAGTGTAACTTGTTGTTCATCCACTTTATAAGTTGGAGCATATTTAATTAAAAACTTAATTAATGTTTCTTAGATCTGTGCATCTCTTTGAGTCTTGATAGTTTTTGGACCTTGAGATATATTTCTGTCACTGAATAAGTGCTTTTCTTGGTCAATTCAAGTTCTCTTGTAAACGGTTTGGCTGGATAACAATCATTAGTGTCCTGGGTATCTGTTTTAATTCAAGCTTGATTAAAATTCAAACATTCAAAGCATGTTAAAAAAGCAAACGGAATACTAGGTTTTATAAATAGGGACATAGAATACAAAAGTCAGGAAGTTATGATGAACGCCAAGTACGACTTCCTTACCTCTAAAATTGACAACATCCGCCTGGTAGCTTCATCCTTCTGGCCCGTGTCATCTACCAGTCCCGTCTCCCTCACCCATCCCGCCCTCAGCCCCTACCACGGCTCCATCCTACATTCATTGGTCCCCATTTCTCCTTTCTTCCTCTCATCCACCATCACCACAATGAAACCCACCACCTGCTGCCTCGACCCCCTCTCCACCCAACTGCTGGCCTCCCTCTTATGCTCACTGCTGGCAGACACTATTAACCAGTCTCTCTCCTCAGGATTAGTCCCACTACCCTTCAAAACCACGGTCATCACCCCCCTCCTTAAAAAACTTACCGTTGATCCCTCCAAACTTGGTCACTACCATCCTATCTCAAACCTGCCCTTCCTTGCCAATACTCTGGAACATGTTGTTGCCAACCAACTTTGCGCACACCTCTCCCTCCACACCCTACTTGAACTCCTCTAGGCCTGTTTGCGCCCTACCTGCAGTACAGAGACAGCGCTCGTGAAAGTCACAAACGATATCCTCTCTATCTGTGTCCAGGGCTCCCTCTGCCCGCTCATCTTCCTGGACCTCTCCGCCGCGTTCGACACAGTTGATCATGCCATCCTCCTCCACCGTCTATCCTACCATCATCCACCTCAGTGAGACCGCACTCGCTTAGTTCGAGTTCTACCGTACAAACTGCCAAAACTAATTTCTACAGATGGTCAACATCTTCTGTCCCACGGTTCCGATCTCTTCAACCTATCCAATCTGACCTTAAAACTCTCTGTACCTTTGCGCAACTTACTCAACTCGATCCCCAGTTATCCTTCCTCGCCCACGTCCAGTTCCTGACCAGCACCGCTTTCTTCCACCTCCGCCACATTGCCCGTCTCTGACAATACCTCATCTCAAAAGCTGCTGAGACCCTTGTCCATGCCTTTGTTACCTCTTGTCTAGACAACTCTAACGCCCTTCTCGCTGATTTCCCATCCTCACTATTTACAAAATTCAGCTCATTCAAAATTCCCCCGTCCGCATTCTCACCCATACCAAACTTCGTACCCAATTACTCCAGTCCTTGCCAATCTCCACTGGCTCCCTGTTACAGAGCGGATCGATTTCAAGATTCTCACTCTAGTGTTTAATTCCCTCCATTCCTTGGAACCCGCCTATCTCTCTAACCTCTCTCCCCACAGCAATACCCGCTGCCTCTGCTCTACTGTCCCTTGTATCCTCCGCACCACCATCAGCAGCCGTGCCTTCAGCGCCTAAGCCCTGAAATTTTGAAACTCCCTCCCTCAACCCCTTTGCCTCGTCCCCTCCTTCCCCATCTACAGGTCGAGCCTGAAGAACTTCTTTTTTGACCGTGCCTACGGTCACCTTCCCCCTCTCCTGGCTCGACCTTGGACTCTGCCATAGTTAAGTGCTCTGAGATGCCACCCGGAGTGGAGGGCTCTATGTAAATGCAAATTGTCGTGATGAACCTTTCTAAAAACACCGGGGACGCCTCAGCTAGAGTACTCTGTCCAGTTCTGGGGACCACACTTTAGGAAGGATGTCAAAGCATTGGAGAGGGTGCAAAGATTTACCAGGATGGTACCAGGAATGAGGGACTTCAGTTATCAGAAGAGGCTGGAGAAGCTGGGATTATTCTCCTTGGAGCAGAGAAGGTTAAGAGGAGACTCATTAGAAGTTTTCCAAACTATGAGGGGATTCGATAGGGTGAACAAGGAGAAACTATTTCCACTGGCGGGTGGGTCGGTAACCCGAGGACACTGATTTGAAATAGTTGTTAAAAGAAACAGAGGGGAGGTGAGGAAAACATTTTTTGCACAGCGAGTTGTTTGTATCTGTGCCTGAAAGGGTGGTGGAACCTGATTCAATAATAGCTTTTAAGAGAGAAGTAGATAATTATTTGGGGAGGACAAGTTTGCAGAGCTATGAGGAGAGCGCAGCGGAGTGGGATTCAATTGGATAGCTCTTTTTAAACAGTGGGCACACAATTGGCCGAATGGCCTACTTCTGTGCTGTATGATTCTATGGTTATTGTGTTTTTGAACAAGGTGATCGTGTTTTCTTTAAAATGTGTATATCTTAATACAAAAATATTCCTTCTTCAAAAATACAAGTTTTAATTTTAGGATATATAGCTGTGTAAAGAATGTTCTGTTCTAATGCATGACATTTTATTAAGTTTGTGTTTATATATTAAATCAGTCAAGGTTTGGCTGACAACACGGTTGTTGCTAAGGTGAATGGGGTGGTTTGGGATCTGGACCGTCCATTGGAAGATGACTGCATTCTAGCACTGCTCAAGTTTGATGATGAAGAGGCTAAGACTGTAAGTAATATTTATAATATTTACAATTAATATTTGTATTTTAGTATTTTTACCTTTGTAGTTTACAACAACAACAAAATTACATTTGTATAGGGCCTTTCACATCGGAAGACGTCCCAAGGCGCTGGACAATCAGTGTTTCGGACCCGAGCTGGGGGTCGGGATTGGGGAGGGTGGAGGTCAGGTGGGGGAAGGAGGGTGATCGAAGGCCTGGACGAAGAGGAGGGTCTTGAGACAGATCTTGAAGGAGGCAAGGGAGGGGTGAGATGGAGCGACTGCGGGATAGAGGATGGTGGCAGAGTGGCTGAAGGCCTCCCCGCCAATGGTGGGGGACGTGAAGCAGGCCGAAGCGGTAGGAATGGGCAGATTGGTAGGGGGTTAGAAGGTCGCAGAGGTAGGAGGGAGCAAGACCATGGAGGGCTTTGAAGGTGAGGACCAGGATCTTGAACTGTATCCTCTGTGTGATGGGAAGCCAGTGGAATGGGGTTGATAGGGAGCCTAGTGTGGGGAAGGACACGTGCTGCAGAGTTCTGGATGATCTGCAACCTATGGAGGGAGGAGTTGGGGAGGCCGACGAGCAAGGATGGTATACATGTGCGTACGAGGGTTTTGGTGGCCTGAGGAACTGCACAAGATGGTGCGAGGGCTAGAGGAGAAACCATTTGCGTAGGTGAAATGGAGATGGTGTGAGAGGTAGGATCTGAACCATTCAAGGACAAGGTGAGACGAGGATAGAGTGGTCAACGATGTTGAACTGTTTACAACTGAATACAAGCGCTCCGGGACACTTCCCCATGTGAAGGGTGCTATATAAATGCAAGTTGTTGTTGTTGACTAGGTTTGTAAATCAACATACTCATTTGGTGTAATATGGTGCCTAACATTTGAATATACATATAAATTTTTAAAGCATTTTTGCAACATTTGCACTTAAAATGCGCAGTGAGTAAATACTGCATTTATCTTAATATTCCTGAATAGTTTGTTTTATATAATTTGATAACAGTGCAATTATTAGAAAAAAACCTTTAAGGTACATGACCTTCTCAGATGGCCTCGTGGGCATATGCACCACCTCTTTCAGCCTTGAGCTGAACAGACAAGAAGATTGCAGGTTTGATTTCTGGACTCTGCATTTTGCTGATCTCAGCTGGAGCAGTATTCTGAGCACATTAATTAGCTTTGAATCCCTTAGATTAGGGACTGGAGAAATCTCCCAGGGTTTCCATTGCTGATCTCTGTTGGAAAGTGCATGTATGTGAACTTCAGGAGAGAACAGGGCTGGACTTAACTGTGCTGAACGTCAGTGTACCTGGAATCCTGCTGATATTCACTATGTGCTGTTGGGTATGATAGGTCACATATGGTGAGGACTATAACTCATGAACTATAACTCAGCACAATAGTGTGATTGTTACATAAATAAAAGCATGCATGATTCCCCCTGTTCATGATTATTTTCACAGGGTTTATGTAACTGTTATTGCTGTTAATTATTCATTAGACTAGAAGATGTGAAAAGTGCTATATCAAATGCCAGGATTATTATTATTAGGGCAAAATTGATCAATTATAATTTCTAGTCAGATTGAACTGGGTTAAATTAAGCGGATTGTGGAGCATGTGATCTGATCTGCCCCAGACTTGTAGTAAACTGATTTTGAATTGAGCTAGATCTTTGTCTTTGCTCTTGATGGATTGCCTTGTATGTGCAGTATCTGCTTGAAGAAAAGATTAGCTGAACTTGTTTTCTATGTGCCAGGTGTATTGGCATTCGAGTGCCCATATCTTGGGAGAGGCTATGGAGCGAATCTATGGAGGGTGTCTCTGCTATGGACCGCCAATTGAGAATGGGTTTTATTATGACATGTACCTGGAAGAGGAGTATGTTATTTTATGAATCTACTATTTTCAGTGTGCATCGATTTTTATCCTTTACAATTTTCTTGAAAGGTATCTGGCGTTTAATCATTTTAAACTTCTTGTTTGCACCAGAGGTGTGTCCAGCAATGATTTTCAAGCTCTAGAAACCCTGTGCAAGCGGGTTATGAAGGACAAACAACCATTTGAGAGACTTGAAATCACAAAAGAGACGCTGCTTGAGATGTTTAAGGTGAACCAAAAGTTTTATTTTTTTACATCTCATATTTCCATTATATACCAGTCCTTGGATTAGAATGAGCCAAGCGAACAAACTTGAACTGGCAACAAGAAGGTCAACAAGACTAGTATTGAAAGATCTGTGTTGAAACCATCTTACCTTTAAATATTATTAGACCTTCTTCTCCCAACATTCTGCACGAATGTACTGAGCCGACAGGGCAGTGACTAATGCTTATCAAAGATGCATTGTTCATGGCCTTGGGCTACAATAATATGACCAGTCCCTTCAGAAATTCATGGCAATTATATGGCCACTATATCTTTCTCTATTCACCCAGCTTGGGTATCCAGCTAGGTGTGTCGAGCACTTTGAGGTGTATTTTTGACAGGAAAGGGGCTATAAATTGTATAATAAATGCTGGAAAATTGCCCACATCCTGATTCAGAGCTTTTGAAAAGCACTCCCAAGACAACCCTCCAACAATGCGGTGCTCAAGATCAAAGTGGAAAATAAGTTGAGAAAGAGTCATAGTGGGACACAAAGCACTAATAATGATTGACATTTACTTTGCTTCATTTTTGATCTATGCTTTTTTGGCGCTAATCCTATATTTTGTTAATTAATGTTGATAAATTTATGTGAGAATTAGCTGATCTTTTTCTATCTTTTACAAGAATGTAATGAGTGATTATGAATTGCTTTCTGTTATGTCCATTGCAATACTTTTATGTTGGTTAGTAATCATTACAGTATTCACTTTTGTTTTTGTTTTTCATTTTTAGTATAATAAATTCAAATGCAGGATTCTAAATGAGAAGGTGAAGACTGCAACTACCACAGTGTACAGGTAAGTACCAGAGCTTCTGTAACTTTAGAGGATTTATCTGAAGAACATAACATTTTCTGTTTACCTAATTTGGAACGCTGACATCCAATTTGAAACTGAATAATATATATCACAAAGGTTCCACTTTTGGAAGAAACAGGCTTATGGGTTTGTTTAAATAGGACAGTATAAGGGTCTACAAGTGTACAGAATAATCTTCAATATTAATGTGAGAAATAAAATGGGTTGCAGTATGCACAAATTAATAATAATCCTTATATTTGGTTTAGCGCCTTTAATCTGGTGAAAGAAGTGGTGATGTTAAAAATACTAGACCCAATATACTCCCACTTTATGACCAGTATAAGTACATAGTTGATCAACTGAGGACATTGTCCTGACCTCCTGTCTCAAATATTTTACCTCCAATGGTGAACCGTTTACAACTTTTTCAAGAGCACATTCAGTAATTGGCATTGAACACTGGTTTTCTTTATTGTTCTATTTCAGGTGTGGACCACTAATTGACTTGTGCCGAGGACCTCATGTCAGACACACTGGTAAAATAAAGGCCTTGAAGATTCACAAAGTAAGCGTTTCAACTGGTGATGGTCCTGTTTACCAGAAATCAGTTTCATCCTAAGGTTTTCTTTGTGCCTCTTGTTGGAAAATACCAATAAAATGACAATAATTAAATTTATTTTTTAATCAAAATAATATTTACCAATATTAATAATAGTAATTATATTTTGTGTTCTTGAAATAACATGCTAATTGTGTTTCATGTATGAACGTTTTGTTCTGATCTCCTAAAATCCTTTGATGTTCATAGAATTCCTCAACTTATTGGGAAGGAAAGGCCGATATGGAGACACTTCAGAGGATTTATGGAATTTCTTTTCCAGATGGAAAAATGTTGAAAGAATGGGAGAAGTTCCAGGAAGAAGCCAAAAACCGAGATCATAGAAAACTGGGAAAGGTCAGTTTACATATATTAATATTGACCTTGTTGCTTGATGTTGGCAACTAATGTTTATGGCGTAAGGCTTAAACTGGTTGCTGTAAATCATCTAACTAAAACCTAAAATGGGTATGAAAGTCCAAACATTTTGTGATTGAGATGCTGTTACTTTAACTTGAAAATTCTTAATATTTTTTGGCTTTGAAAGTTATTGGCAATGTTTTTTGATACCAAAAAGACCATAACTGTAATTGTATTTTCGAGTACATCTATATCACATCATGGTTGAGCAGTTGGGAATATACTTTTCAGAGCAGAATTTTCATATTCATAAATGCCAGAAAAATACCATGCGTTTACGAAAACAGCTACTATTGGCAGTTTTAGCAGCTACATTTATTGGTTCAAAGCAGTATGTTGTAACAGGATCAACCTTTATGAGGATTGGAGAGATAATTACATTACCCTTTGCAAATTTAACATTCTTTTTCCATCCACTAATTTATCCTCTCAATTTTTCCCCCCTATTTTCACTTACTCCTTTTCTCAAGGCAGCAGTGCATGATGATACATTGGAATAGTTTGTGGTTTAGGCACAGGAAAACTCCTGAGATTTTCTTCTTCCCATTTTATGGGTGGAAGGTTAAATGTATTAACCTGCCACTGCTCTAGCGAACCAGAAATTAAACCTGATGCTTTTTAAAAAATGTATATTTTCATGTTTGAAATGTTTCCATTTTGAATTTTGTTTTGTAGGAACAAGACTTGTTTTTCTTCCATGAGCTCAGCCCAGGAAGCTGTTTCTTTATGCCCAAGGGAGCTTACATCTACAATGCACTCATTGACTTCATTAAGGTATGTGTTATTCGTTTGACGTATGAATCACAATAGAATTGTTTGCCTGATGTAATTGTTCGGCTGATTAAATATTTTTGTCATTTGGAGCTAAAGCTCAGCATTCTGTAAGTTCAGGCTTTCTAAAAATTCTGGAAGGGCACTGCGCAAAATATTTCTTAATGTTGAATAATTCAAATTCTTCACTTTATTTTCAGTTTAAATGTTAGAAAAAAAGGGCAATATTTCAAAGTAGTATAATAGATCCTGAATTATTCAGCAGGTGTCTCCACTATAATGGTACTTTTTTCTCTGGGACGCTACCCTGCGTGAAGGGCGCTATATAAATGCAAGTTACTGTTGTGGTTTCTAAAGATAAAGGCCGTATTAATTTGTAACTAGAGAGTTCTGGGCTTGATTGGATATATTTATTTTATTATACTGCCATCCAGTGGACAGCACACAGCATTGAATAGTATGTTCAGCTTCTCAATAGTGGAAATCATCCTTGCATTTGATAAGCCCCTTTTCATGTCAGAAGAACATTTCAGAGTGCTTCATAGGATTTACAATGAAGTGCAGTGAGCGTGTCATTTTGCAGCCGAATGCTATTGCCGAATTCATAAATAATTTAAAATATCTGGACAAGGTCATTTCTGGCCTAGTTGTAGAGACTGAAATATTTTAGTCTAGGAAAAGATGAGAAGCTGGAAAAATTAAGCACTTTTCAAAAAATATTTCTTTTGATCAGGCATTAAGTTTTGTTGTGCTTCATGCAGCTGTGACATTAGAAGAAAGGAACTTGTGCAGAGTTTGCTCAATGCGGAATAGCCATAAGAAGAAAGTGGAAGAATCTTGTTCAGCCAATGCTCTTGAGATATTGAAATAGTTTTTTTTATGAGAACAAAAGAAGATAGAAATTGGAGTAGACCATTCAGCTCTTCAAGCTTGTTTCACCACTTTAATATTAATATTTTCCCATCTTTTCGTGATATCCCTCTATCTCTGCAAATATTTATCCCTCTTAATCAAATGACCCTCATCTACAATCTTTGGGGGTAATGAATTCCACGTTTCCACAACCCTGCATGAAAAAAGTTTCTAATTTCACTCTCCATTGCTTTAATCATCAATCTCAATTGAGTGTGACGTGGAGGGAATAAGAGGTAGATTATTCCATTATCACGGCTGACTATCAGTGACAGCGTTGTAAGAATTATACAGGTCTTGCTTGGTTGTGTATTTTTTTCTGTTTCTAGTACTTCCAGTACTACGCTCCCAGTTTTAGAATCAGACAGGTTACTTGCTCCTACCCTGTGGTCAGTACTGCTACAGATTAGCTGTTGTATCAGCAAGAGATGCTTAGGGTGTATTTTTCTGTCTTTTGGGAAGTGCCTGATTTCCAATAAGTGTCTCTGCTGCAGACTTGGGAATGATATGAATTTGTACATGGAATTATAATCTTAAAATTAGAGCTAAACTGTTTAAAAGTTTTTTTTAAAAAATGTCTTCACTCACGTTGTAGGAATATGAAATGCATTCTCCTACAAGGCCATAAATTTAAAATTGACTGAAACATTTAATAGAGAGATTTACATAGGAAGTAAAGATATTAAACATTACAAAGAGCCAAAGAATAGGTTTCAAATATAAAGAGAAGCCACAATCTCTCAAAGCCACAAGCACTTTGAAATGTTCTTCTGACATGAAAGGGGCTTATCAAATGGAAGGATGATTTTACTATTGAGAACCTGCACACTGGGCCATATGATCTGATTTTGTTCCTATGTTTGTATCAGACCAGAGCACTGAAGACCTTTTGTGTGTTGAAACCTCTCAAGTCAGTTGTCATTGCTATGAATTTTTGTCCTGTTGCAGAGTGAGTACAGGAAGAGGGGTTTCACAGAGGTGGTAAGTCCCAATATCTACAACAGCAAACTCTGGCAAACCTCAGGACACTGGCAGCACTACAGTGAGAACATGTTCTCTTTTGAAGTGGAGAAGGAAATCTTTGCCCTAAAGCCTATGAATTGCCCAGGACACTGGTAAGTACTAATTTGAATTGTTGAAATTTCACAATCATCCTTTCGGCTTAATTTTATGGTGGACTGGATTGTATGGAGATACTTCTTATTTAATGCCCCTTCTTGATGCACTTTCCCTCCCTAGCCCAGACTTTAGGACTGAAGTCTCCATGATTTAAGTTTCTCTTGTATGCATCAAAACCCTTTGTAATCATGTATTTTCATGATGCGGGAAATGTGGCAATCTCTTCACTCTATCCTGAAAAAGAGCACTTAATTTGTTTGTAACATGTTTGTATACGTCATGTTTGTATTTTTTCCCTTCATGGCTTTTTGTATGAATGGATTTTGTTTTCAAATGCCTTCTTGCCCTCGCACCTCCCTACCTATCCGACTTGATTATCCACCCCCACTCCACCACCGACTGCCTCCGCTCAGCCGGTTCCGTCCCTTGCCCCCTTCGCTCTACCGGGCATGCTTTCAGTCACTACGCCCCGAAACTCTGGAAATACCTCCGTCAATCCCTCTGTCTTGCCCCTCCCTCCTCATTTTCTAATCCTACCTAAAGACCTTTTAAGATCATGCTTACAGACACCTTCTTCTGCTGGCTCAGGGTCAGACTCCGGCATTGTCAAGCACTCCGGGATGCTAACCCACATGAAGGCTGCTATATAAATGAAAGTTGTTGTTGTAGGACCTTGCAGTTGCAGGACATTAGCAATTGTGCTTGCCGAGGAATACACTTGACGTTAAATTGCACTCAACAAAAATTATATGTGAATCACTTGTTTGAGTGCTGTAGAATTTATATGAGTTGCACAGATTTATAAAATATGCTGGTGCATAATGCCCACAAAATACAGTCACTACATTTTACAGTTCAAGGATTGTTATTCAGTACAACAAATGAAGTACATGAAATTAATATTTCTACAAATGAAATTATTTTCATATATTAACTTCATATTAACTTGAGACGTCTTGAAGACGTGATAACACTCTAAATCAAATGCAAGGATAATTATTTCTTCGTTATTTTAATTGAACGTTTTTAAATGTAGGATTTTTTTTCCCTTCTCTGTGTTTTAGCCTTATGTTTGACCATCGGCCTCGATCTTGGCGAGAGTTACCGTTACGCTTTGCTGACTTTGGAGTGCTCCACCGTAATGAGCTGTCTGGAGCACTGACAGGCCTGACTAGAGTTCGCAGGTTCCAGCAGGATGATGCCCATATTTTCTGCACCATGGAGCAGGTTTGTGATTGTGATAGTCACATGGGATAATTGATGGCTTCTGCTAGTCACTTGCATGGGCATTGTGAACAACTTTGGAGTAGGTCCTGCACTTGGCCCTTTCATCTGCCATTATTAGCACAGCGAGACAAATGGGAGATTAAAAGAAAAGCATGGGAAAATTGAGCAGCTAATTCCTAAGGTATTGTGGAAGGTTGAGATCAAATGAGTGCACGGTTTGGCCTTCTTCATCCAAACCTCTCTTCTGATATGAGTGTGAAGTGGTATTTTTCTGTGAGAAAAAGGAAATTAAACTGCATAAAAGATATCACTTGTACTAATGCAATGGAATTGCAGGAAATGTTAGCACTTTGCATAAATAGGATCGTTTGCTGGTACTTTTTCCCTTTCACATTATTCTAGTGCTCTTGAAATAGTTCTTGTTTTGTATGTTTTAGGTGGTTCACTTATAAAAAGGAGGCTTTGGATATTTAAAAAGTATTGTATATTAACGTAGATCTGTACATGTGGGATCTCATGACTACAATAATAATTTTTGTATTTACTTATTATTGTAAAGCTTATTGCTTCGATGAGACATCTCGGAGTCTTCCACAGAATATATTGTAAAATGAACAGACTTTTTTTGTGAGCAAAATGCATTCATAACCTACATTCATCACTACATTCTTAATCATGAGAAATTGTTTCATTTTACTTTTTTTAAACAAAAGATTGAAGCAGAAATAAAAGGCTGTCTGGACTTTCTACGTGCTGTTTATGAAGTTTTTGGATTCACATTCAAACTCGAGCTTTCCACACGCCCAGAGAAGTACCTTGGTGACATTGAGGTGTGGAACCAGGCTGAGAAGGTTAGTAATCCTACTTTGTACATTCTGATAATACTTAAATGTTTGCGATGCATTTTTAGCCCCTTTAATTATTATTTTACGATCTATCCTTGCAGCAACTTGAAACCAGCCTCATTGAGTTTGGTGAAAGGTGGACCCTGAACCCTGGTGATGGAGCTTTTTATGGCCCGAAGGTAATTACAAATTGTAATACGCTCTAACCCGTTTATGTCCACATCGCAGATTTTGTCGACATAAGCAGGTTTCAACAAAAAAACAATGAACCAAGTGCAGGTTAGTCACTGGCAGCCGAGGTGCACACCGGGAGTTGTAGTCTGCACAACAACAATACATTTGCATCGCGCCTTTCACGTCGGGAGGACGTCCAACGGCGCTGGACAGTCAGGGATTTGGACACTGCGCTCCACGCTCTGGAACTCCAGTGGGACTATTCATGTGCCGCATGGCCCAAAGCTCAAGTGCAGCATTTCAGCGCTTGTGAATGTCATAGCGTCAGGCAGAGCAGGGAGGCAAGGTTAAATCAACCTGTCTGTCGACAAGCAGTAAGAACACAATGTCATTTATGCTGTTAGAGACTTGAAAAATTTGTCGCTATAAAGCATGCCCAAATTTATGTCAATGACGTCAACATACACTGTAAATTTAATGTGTTCCGATACGGGGAGGGGCAGGGACTTCAAATGTTTGTCGGCATCCATGGGATGTCGATATAAACGGGTTTGAGTTCAGTGGGTATCACTATTACAAAAATAATTCATTTTTGGGAAGAGGTGCTTTATATTTTTACTGTTTTTATTTGCAGATTGACATCAAAATTAAAGATGCCATTGGGAGAGATCATCAGTGTGCTACAATACAACTGGATTTCCAGTTGCCATTAAGATTTAACCTGACCTATGTCAGGTAAGTACTTTTTATTCTAAGAGTGAAAATTGGGCTAATTTTTGAGTGGACCAGTTGATGAATTTACTGTAAATTATTAAGCTTCTGCAATTAAAAATGCAAAAATCACAAGGTCCATCTGAGGTAACTGATTAGGTAGCAATGACACTTAAGATATAGAGATATTTTGCTTGCATCACAATGCGGATAACTGCTTAGATGCTTGACACTCTGGGAAACAAACAATTACCTTATTGTGAATGATGCAATTGCTTCCAACAGTAATTACAAGAATTCCTGTCCCTAGATGCTACTGTGGAGCTTGTGCACTCGAGCAGAACTCTGATCAAGTGTTTTTAATATAAAGAATCAACTGTTTTAGAGTCGAGAGCAAATAATGTTACTTAAAAGCTGGATTTGCTTCTGTAGTTCAGAAGAACTACTAATCTGGTTCTGCTTCATTGCAGTCATGATGGTGATGACAAGAAGAGACCAGTTATCATTCACCGTGCAATTCTGGGTTCTGTGGAGCGAATGATTGCTATTTTGACTGAAAGCTACGGTGGCAAATGGTAATGAAGAGCTCCATTTTCTTTGTATTTGTTATCGGTTTTAATAATGTACGGATTAACATATCAATTTATTATGTGAGATTAAATGGGAAATATTGTACCTATGTTGTATATAATTATATAATATATATAATATATAATATATATAATATATATTATATATAATATATATAATATATATTGTATATAATATATATATATTTAAACTCAGTTAAATGAAGGTGAAAAAGAATATCTGCAACGTCTTGCTCTAAGGAAAACTATGGGGTGATTCTGTTTTATGTTGGATTATTAGATTTCTACATCTTAAATTTCCATTACAGGTCTCAATAATAATTTTGCATTTGAAAAAGTAATAAATTTGTGACAGAGCGATGTGGGCTCTCTAACTAATGTAATTCCTGACCTGACATCAATAAATCTTGGATGGGAGAGAGAGCATCATTGCTAAAGAGTTGATTTGAACCCTGGTAGAATAGCATTGGTAAAAATAATTTTACAGTGCCTTGCAGATCTATAATTGTTTTGGGTTTACCACAGTGGTGGCCAACCGTTAGGGTGGCCCAACAAAATACATTTTCTTGATTTATGCTATAAATCAAGAAATAATCAATCAAAAAAAAAGAAAACACTATTGATCGAACACGGACTTACATAGACTCGTGCAAATATTCGTGAGGCCACTTCCGGCCTGCGGGCCACAGGTTTATCATATCTTAATTCTAAATTGTCTCCTAAGACTTCTATTTTCAGGGCTGAGGAGACTGAGTTTATGTAGTTGTCCCAACAGTGGGTATGAACCTCGTTGCTCTTCTGCATTATATCTGGGATTGAACAACCCCCTATATCAGCCACTAGAACTGTATTCATTCCTCCAGATATTACTTGACCTGAGTGATTTACATCTTGACACAACTTTTGATGGCACCATTAACCCTTTTAAAGTTGTTGTGTGCAGGTTATAGAGAGACTTCTAATTCAGTAATATTCAGAAGGTTTGTGACATTCAAAAACTGCTGAATCTTGGATCTCATTGATTGAATTGATATTTGTAATATCTGAAATATGTTGTCATTTCTATTTTTCAGGCCTTTTTGGTTGTCTCCCCGTCAAGTTATGGTTGTACCTGTGGGACCCATGTGTGAAGACTATGCACAAAAGGTGAAGTTTTTTTATGTATATATAATTTATGTTGTGAAGTTTAGGTGTCAATGATGTGGCTTAGTTGGTAACACTATCACTTTTGAGTCAGAGGCTGTGTGGTTTGAGCCCCACATTGGGACTTTGAACTCACAGGTCCAGGCTGACACCCCAGGGCAGCGCTGGGAATGCACTGCAATGTGGGAGGTGCCATCCTTCAGATGAAATGTTAAACCAAGGTCCCGTCTGCCTATCTAGGTGGACATTAAAAACCCCGTAGCGTTATTTGAAAAGAGAAGCGTGTCATGACATATCCCCCGAATAAAATTGGTCATTCACTTCATGGCAGCTTTTGGGATATTGTTGTGCGCAAATTAGGCTGATGAATTAGCCAACAAAAATACAGTTACTACACTTTACAGTGAATCTTGTGAAGCTCTGTGAGGCATCCTCTTGAAGTGAAAGCTGCTACATCAAACGCTATATGAAATTCTTTAGATTTGTAATAGAATTTTAAGAGTTACAAGCGAAATTATATTTAGCCACGGACTACAGGGTCCAATGTTTCAGCGATCGAGTTCCAAATGAAGTCCAAAAAAACAAATGGCCGTTGGAGAAGGAGGGAACAGACTGGGTACTTTCCACAAGGGAGACAAGGTGTAAAGGTGTTTAGATTGGCTTTTGTATTGTGTCTATGTGTATGGAAGCAAATATATTGGTTCACTTTGGTTTGGGATTGGTGTGTGGACTTGTGACCAAGGTAAAAAAAAATATGGAAATTAGTCTGTTAAATATGTGCTGGTTACGCTTTAGCAGGAGTTGCACATGTATGTACATAAATTCAGAGGGATCTAGAGAAGCTGGGTATGTGGGCAGAAAGGTGTCCGAAGAGATGCAATTTAATACAGAATTTGGGCACAATTATTTGTTGATTCAGAAATCTTTGCAGTAATGAAGTTTCTTTCAAATTGATAGGTTCGGCAGCAGTTCCATGATTCAGGACTGATGACTGATGTTGACCTTGACCAAGGAAGCACATTGAACAAGAAGATCCGAAATGCACAGCTTGCTCAATATAACTTTATCCTCGGTAAGCTTTGTAAATCTTGCTGAAGTGCGTCTGAGAGTGTGTTCAGCGTTGTCAAACCCAGATTTGTACTGGCCCACATGTGTGACTCATGAACAACAGTGAGCCACACCGTCGAAAAAGTTGCAACTATTTAACCGACAGACATTTACATATGAGCTGCAAGTTATATTATTTAAATGCACGGAAAACAACTTGTGGGAATTGTGTGTTTAATAACCAAATCTGTCATTATATTGTCACTCAAAAAACATGTGTATACTCAACTGAGTATACCATGTAGCCATGCACATGTCTGTAAGCAAATTGTCAGCAGAAATAATCTGGGACAATTTCTACTGAAGCTGAGTTGCCTGTGAGCCTCACTGAAACCCTACATCTGGCTTATGGCTTTGTGGTTCAACAAAACTGTTCTGGGAGATCTCAGGAAACGTTTCACTGAGGTCTGTAAAAGTGTATTGAACACAGCACCATTTTCACTAAAGTAGCTCCATTTTGAGGATAGAAAGATGGCATTGGAGTATCCGTTCATAGTGCCAGAATAGTGGGACATTTATTCAACTCAGCTGCATCTTTGTGGCACACAAGTTGAGCTCAGGTGTTTCACTGCAATAGTAGGGAAAAAATAGGCACTGAGTTAACGTAGGATACAAACTGATATTGTCTGGCAGCTAGACAAGAGCAGTAGTGGCAGCTGCTGATGTCTAAATAGCACTGTACATAAAGGGAATAGCCTGAAAATGTTTATTCAGATCTTACATAGAATGATATGGCAAAGAAACAAGCCATTCTGCCTAACTTGTCCATGCTGTGTTTATATTCCCCATGGGCCTGCACACCTCATATTCTCTACTTATCTATATTCTCTCTTCCCTTGTGTATGCATCAAGTTTCCTCTTAAATACATTGATGTTTTTTGCTTCAGCCATAGTTTCTGGCAGTGAATTCCATATTCTCAGCTTCCTCTGCATTAATCACACATTTAGTTGAATAAAGAATGAAGAGAGCAACCCACCACTTTTATTACTTTTGCTCATAGTCAAAATACCAAAATATAGTTACGTTTGGTTTATCAAGTGTGTGTTCACAGTAACTGGTTCAAAAATATAAGTGTTTCATAATTTAGTAATTAACTACTTGTAGGTCTTTTTAAAAATAAAATCTTTAGGATATCACAGCAGTTTGCCATCCAGCCCATTGTCCTTGTGATATACTTGTCTTGCCACTGGAGTCATTTAATCCCACTCCTCTTTTCCTCATATCCTAATGGTTTATTCTTCCAAGTATCCATCAAAGTCTCTCTTAAATGACCTAATGAAGTACCGCTTTTCAGTCAGCTTTCATCCAGTATTGTCAAGCGCTGTGAGACAGCCTCCTGACGTGAAAAGGGCTCATTTGTGGACTGATGATGGGCAATGTGTGTCAGACAGAATAATTGCTTCTTGATGTAGTACCGACTTGGGTAGATCTTTGCTTCTTGAATTTCAGCCATTATTAATGCATTGATGAAATATGGTTATGTTTTCAGTGCTTGGTGAAAAGGAGAAGAGTAGTGAAACCGTGAATGTACGCACAAGAGACAACAAGGTGCATGGAGAGCGCACAATCTCTGAAACCATTGCGAGACTTCTTCAGCACAAGCAAGCCAGAAGTAAACACGCTGAGGAGGAGTTCTGAGAAGAATTGTTCTGCACTACATAGTAATACAGGGAAAAATGAGCAATTTGTGAAGTAAAGCTGCATTCTGTAAATCTGGTAACCTTATTCCCCAAGCAGGAGTCTGGAAAAAGACTCAGCAAAAAGTACTCATCTCATGGCTTGTCTTTAAAAGAAAAACAAATTGCATGTATGGAATATTGCCAAAACATTGGTTTCCATGTTGGGTTAAAGATAAAGAGGTAATAATCCTGGTTCAATCCTGTCCATAACCGTATATACTTGTACTAGTTTTCACGTTTTACCCTTTTGTCCTCTGATAAATTGTTTGTTTTAATAAATGCTGTATCATGCAATAAACAAGGAGATTCAATGCTAAATAGTTTTAATTTGTTTCTCTCATTGTGTTTCCATATAATAGGATAACCACAGGAGGGGTAACGGGAGAGGTTAAATGTTAACGAATATGGTGGTGGAATTGTATATTGTGTAGTGTCTGACCTGCTTGATGGAAATTATTCCTTTCCCACTTGTAAAGTGCAAAGTTGTGTCCTTAGATTATGTGATGGATACCCAGTTGAAACACACATTTGAAAATTAGGTTTTATTTCACTACATCAGTCATGTATTTGTGTACAAATCAGAAATGTTGAAGGATCCAATCACTCTGTGTTACAAGCTTCAAAGGCAACAATCACTTTTAAATAAAATATGACCAATGCTAGACGTAATTCCTCTTTAAGTCTACACTCCCCATAAGTGCGTGACATTTAAAAAAAATATTTCTAACTTTGTAAATAAATTCAAACAACAATCGAAGATAAACTACTCTTAAATTTACTCACCTATTATTGTTACCAATAAATTTACAATGAACAGCGTATCAGGGTATTTGTAAAGGGTGATCTGCCAACATTGGTGAAAATATACTGGCGAGGACCGAAGTAATTAAACAATTGGAGAACCACTGTTGAACGGGAGGTATCATCAGGTGCTCACAAAGAAGATTATTGTCGTGGTAGTTTAACTGGCAGTTTTATAATACATAGTGACAAACTAACAATAAACCAATCTTAACACAGCCCTTTGCAGTCTGTATACAAAGCAATAAGTACACAAATATTTTTCTTGTTTGTTAACAAAAATAACAATTTCAAACAGGATTTGACCTTTGATCAATTAATGCTACCTTTTCCACTTGTCTCTTATTGCCCTTACGTTGAAGCTTTTTTTGAAATTTAAAAATGGCAAAACATACCTACATCTAACTTTATAATTTCAAACCCATCTATCAAGTCTGATGAGGCAAGGCAGAATGATTTGCAGGACAAGACTGATCTTCAATTACAGTTCAGTCCATCAATTATTACCATTTCAGATATGTAATACATCAGTTTTTTTCCCGAATCATGAAATTAGTTTAATTTGTGGATTCTGCTTTGTATTTCATGTTAAGACAAAGTCCCATCTATCTGTTCCAGTGGACTGGTTCAGGTCCTATCTTTCACACCGCCTCCACTTCATCTCTGCAAACGGCTTTACCTCCAGCCCCCGTCTTGTGCGGTGTTCCTCAGGGCTGTTCTCGGTCTCCTCTTCACCCTCTTGGTGACATCATCCGTAGACATGGGGTAAATTTCCACATGTAATCGGATGACACCCATCTCTATCTCTCTGCCTCCACCCTCAACTCCAGGACTACTGGCGTCCTGATCGACTGCGTGTCCGCCATCGAGACCTGGACAAGGGACAACTTTCTCCAACTGAACTGAGGCCCTCCTGATTGGATTGCGCCATTTCCTCCACACCTCAGGCGCTGGCAGCATCAACCTCCACAGCTTTGCACTCAACCTCACAAAGCCAGTCAGGAATCTTGGTGTCTTTTTTGACCTGAACTCCTTTCTCCCCCACATCCGTGCCATGACTGGCACTGCCTACCACCACCTCGGCAACATTGCCAGACTCCGCCACTGCCTCACCCCTCAGGCTGCCAAAACCCTCACTCATGCATTCATCACATCAAGGCTCGATTACGGAAACTCCCTCCTCATCGGCCTTCCCAACGCTTCCCTTCACAGGCTGCAGATCATCCAAAACTCTGCAGCTCATGTACTCTCACGCACCAGGCTCCGTGACCCCATCATTCCCACTCTCACCCGACTCCACTGGCTCCCCATCCCTCAGAGGATCGAGTTCCAGATCCTCGTCCTCACTTTCAAGGCCATCCATGGCCTTGTCCCCTCCTACCTCTCTACCTGCTGACTCCCTACCAACCTGCCCGCTCCCTCCGTTCAGCGGGCTCCGATCTGCTCCATGTCTCCCGCCCGACCCGCCCTACCATCGGTGGCCGGGCTTTCAGCCTCTCTGCCCCCACACTCTGGAACTCCATCCCACGGTCCCTTCGCCTCTCTTCCTCCCTCGCCTCCTTCAAGGCCGGTCTCAAGACCCTCCTCTTTAATCATTATTATTATTATTTTGACCCTACGTGGGGGGGGAGTAAATTGTCACCATTGCAATTTTTGTGTTCGTGCCGCATTTGTTGCAATTCTAAAAATGTTTTTAAATCGGTGCACGTACATATATATATATATATATGTGTGTGTGTGTATATGTGTGTGGGTACATATATGTGTTGTATATGATATACCTGTGTGTGTATATGTATATTTATGATATATGTGTGCAAATATATATCTGTGTGTGTATATGTATGTACATTTATATGATATTTATGTGTGTGTCTGTATATAAATGTGAGTGAGTGAGTGAGGACCACAGCCCTCAGGTTGACTGATCACGTGGCTTATTGACCTTTTAAGGGAATTATTTCTAGTTCCGGTTACAAAGTTCAACAGGAAACCACCGGCTCCCGAGAGGCCCCGCCCCCCCCTCCCCTCCCCCCACACCCAGCGGCCCCGGCACCAGCACCAGCCCCGGCACCAGCACCAGCACCGGCTCCACTGCAGGTCAGTGTCTGTCACTGTCAGTGAGAACTGCATCTGCACATAACCTGTCATTTATTGTACATTTACTTGGCTTTTCAGATTTGTGTTAACCCCCTCACCCTCACCCCCCTCCCCTCACCCCCACTCTCACCCTCACCACAACCCCCTCACCCTCACCCCCCCACCCACACCGACTCTCACCCTCACCATCACCCTCACCCCACCCACCCCCACCCCCACTCTCACCCTCACCATCAACTCCCCACCCTCACCCCCCACCCTCACCCCTCACCCTCACCCCCCTCACCCCTCACCGCCTCACCCTCACCCCCACTTCATCTCACCCTCACCATCAACTCCCCTCACCCTCACCCCCACTCTCACCCCCCTCACCCCCCTCACCCCCTCACCCCCCTCACCCTCACCCCCACTCTCACCCCCCTCACCCCCTCACCCCCCTCACCCTCACCCCCACTCTCACCCTCACCATCAACCCCCCTCACCCTCACCCCCACCCTCACCCCCCTCACCCTCACCCCCCCTCACCCTCCCCTCACCCCTCACCCCTCACCCTCACCCCTCACCCCTCACCCTCACCCTCACCCCTCACCCCCTCACCCTCACCCCCTCACCCTCACCCCTCACCCCCCTCACCCCCTCACCCTCACCCCTCACCCCCTCACCCTCACCCCCTCACCCCCTCACCCTCACCCCCTCTCACCCCCCTCACCCCCCCCCTCACCCTCACCTCTCACCCCCTCACCCCTCACCCTCACCCCTCCCCGTCACCCTCACCCCCCTCACCCCTCCCACCCTCACCCCTCCCCCTCAACCCCCACCCTCACCCCCTCCCACTCTCACCGCCCCCACCCTCACCCACCCACTCTCAACCCCCCCCTCACTCACCCACCCACCCCCCGCACCCCTCCCCTCCCCCTCACCCACCCCACCCTCACCCCCTCACCCCCCCTCCCCTCATCCCTCACACCCCTCACCCCCCTCACCGCCGCCACCCTCCCCACCCCCCACGCTCACCCCAATCCCCCCACCCTCCCCACCCCCACACGCTCACCCCCAACCCCCCACCCTCCCCCCCCCACGCTCACCCCCAATCCCCCACCCTCCCCACCCCCCCACGCTCACCCCAATCCCCCACCCTCCCCACCCCCCCACGCTCACCCCCAATCCCCCCACCCTCCCCACCCCCCCACGCTCACCCCAATCCCCCCACCCTCCCCACCAACCTCCCCCACCCTCTGCATTCTAATAATTCATAAAGCAGCAATATGACCAAACAGACACAGTTTCCATATGTTTTTAATATATCAGAAATATTGGTAACCACCTGGTTCCATACTTTGCACATCTTTTGATTATAATGCACGACATTATTTCTGCAAAAGCACTTGTTGGGTGTGTGTGGATGGGTGTTTGATTGTTGCATTTATTTCATTTATTTCAGCAAACTGTAGGTTTGTGTTGCAGATTGTAGTTAATGATAGATTCCCACCCAATTATTTGTGCAAAAAAAAATTGTGTGACTTGAAACCGATATAAAGATCGTGTTTATTTATATCAATAGTGTAGAAAGAGCAAGAGATGACTCACTGATATCAAAACTTATCCAGTTACAAATTGTGGTTATCCAGGAGAGTGAGTTATAATCAATGAAGGAAATGGGGGACAAATCTCTACTTTAATTGATACAAAAGCTAAAGTTGTGCAAAATGTTTTGGTTTTTAAAAACACACAGCGTTTGCTTTTCATGTGAAACAATTATACAAAGCTTATGGTCGATGCCCTGTGCAGGGTAACGTGTTAAATTCAGAGTGAAAGGTCACCACAGGCAATGAGTCTGTCCTTGTGAAGCCAATCAATCAGTCAGTCACTCAGTCAGTCAGCAATCGCTGCTCTGTGCTGAGCTCCTGCCTCACAACATGAATGTCCATCCATCCCGCAGTCAAATCAGTGGTGCTCACAACTACTAGATGAGACACAGCCAGAGAGAGAAACAGGGGAGCAGGTACCAGATGAGTCAGAGAGAGCTACAGATGGACACGGGAGAGGGGCAAACCAGATACTGGTGAGAAGAGAGAGAGAAGGTAGATGCAGCTCAGGGAAGGCAGGTGCAGGTGATTAGAGAGAGATGGACAAAGACAAACGGGTGCAGGTATAGAGGAGTGAGAGAGACAGACAGACAGGGGAAGGTGTGTGTGAGAGTGAGGGGGAGGTGAATGCAGGTTCAGCTGAGTATATATTGGGATGTTCTTCCTGTGTGAAAGACACCATAGGAGTGCATAATTAAAATAATAAATTGAGGTTGTTTAAAAGGGGCTAAACTCAAGTTTCAGGATACATTCCAGGGATATTGCAACTGAGCTAATAAAATTACCCCTGTATTTGTACATTTTCCACTAAAAGTCATGAATTCTTTCCAAGTTGGGTATTTTGCAGATAATGCAGAGTACAATTTGCTGACCCCTACTTACTTGCATTTTTTTCCTTCTACTTTCTCTTCTTTCCAATCTCCACACTATCTTTTTTATTCATGTATTTTCTTATCTTTAACAACTGTCTGAATTTTTTTGCTCGACCTACAATTTTTATGCCAAATAAAAGCTTGAGACGACTGACAGGGTTGCATTGCATACATTTAACTTTAATTCATGACGTGCTGTTTGCATTTAAAAACACAGGAGAGTGAATAAGTACTACAGATTGAGAGCTCGCATTGCTCAGACAGACGAACTCCAAAGGTTAACTTGAACAACTTTGAAGAGGTGCGGAAGAGCGACATAGCAATCTAAGGATTAGAAAGAAACCACTTGTACTTTATCCTGAGTAGGTCATTCACCTCGCCCTCACTTATTCAAAGCATTTTAAAGATAACTACTATCAGTTGTAGTGCCTTTTGTGGGCAAAAAATATTTGTGCCCCTGGCTAGTTCCCACAAGCTAGTGATCAATTAATCTGGACCATTGGTAACCAGGATACCAGCAGAAACTCTTTTTACTCTTGTTATAGAATGAAACTGTGATTCAGATGTCGATGTGCTGTATTGGGCAGAGGATTTTCATTAATTAATTGTTTGTGATTAGTTTTAAAATAATGAGTTTCCATTGGTATCTTAAAAAATTCTGGTTGTTTGGAAATCTGGCTCAACACAACAACAGCAGATTACATTTGTAGAGCGCCCTTCACGTCGGGAGGATGTCGCAAGTCAGGGATTTGTACCCAAGCTGGGGGTTGGAATCAGGAGGGGTGGGAATCAGGAGGGGTAGAAGGCAGGGAAGGTAGAGGTAGGAGGATGACCAAAGGCGTGGTTGAAGAAGAGGGTCTTGAGACAGTCCTTGAAGGAGGCAAGGGAGGGGGCGAGGTGAAGGGAATGTTGGATGGAGTTCCAAAGGGTGGGGGCAGAGAGGCTGAAGGCACCACCGCCGATGGTGGTTGGGGGGGCTGGCAGGGGACATGGAGCAAGCCGGAGCCAGCTGAGCGGAGGGAGCGGACAGGTTGATATGGGCTCATTGAAATACTGATGAAATTGTAACACAGCTTCTTGTGGGTAGTGTTATTGGCTGTTCTCATACAGAATGTGTTTTATGTTATACTAAAAGAACAAAATTACATTTGTACAGCTCCTTTCACATCAGGAGGACATTGCTAAGTGTTTGACAATCAGTGTTTTGGACCCGAGCTGGGGGTCGGGATTGGGGAGGATGGAGGGTAGAGGAGGAGGGTGATCAAAGGCACAGTCGATGGGGAGGGTCTTGAAACAGACAGGAGAGGGGGCAAGGTGGAGGGACTGCGGGATGGAGTTGCAGAGGGTGGGGGCAGAGTGGCTGAAGGCTTGCCAGCCAATGGTAGGAAACGTGAAGCAAACCCGAGCCTGCTCGGCGGAAGAAGCGGTAAGATTGGTAGAGGATTAGGAGGTCGCAGAGGTAGGGGGAAGTAAGGCTTTGGAGCGCTTTGAAGGTGAGGACCAGGATCTTGAACTGTATCCTCTGTGTGATGGGAAGTCAGTGGAGTCGGGCGAGGATGGGGGTGATAGGGTCACAGAGCCCGGTGCGGGAGAGGACATGGGCTGCAGAGTTCTGGATGATCTGCAACCTATGGAGGGAGTAGTTAGGGAGGCCGACAAGCAGAGAGTTTGAGTAGTCAAGCCTGGATGTTATGAATGCATGTATGAGGGTTTCGGCGACCTGGGGTGTGAGACAGTGTCGGAGTCGGGCGATGTTGCGGAGGTGGGGAACGACAGAGCGGGTCATGGCGCAAATGTGAGGTAGAAAGGATAGTTGAGGGTCAAACAGGGCGCTCAGGTCCTGGACTGGCTTAGTAAGATGAAGTGTACATCTGTGGATGGTGATGCTATCAGCACCTGAGGTGCGGAGGCGTTGACAGGAGCCAATCAGGAGAGCCTCGGTCTTGTTAACGTTCAACTGAAGAAAGTTTGCTCTCATCCAGGACTTGATGTCTGACAGACATTCTGTCAGGACAGCAGTGGTCCTGGAGTCAAGGGTGGAGGCAGAGAGATACAGTTGGGTGTCATTCGCCTACACGTGGAAGTTGACCCCATGTTTGCGGATGATGTCGCCAAGAGGGAGCATATAGAGATTTGAAGAAGAGAGGACTGTTCTATGTGTGGTCATTTCAAGGCTGCAGGGTTGTGGGAAAAGAGCAGGATATGTGAATCACAAATTCTTGCTCAATGTCACCCTACAAAGTATAGCTAATACCAGGGGGCATAAATGTGCATTTCTGTTCCTCTTTTAAAATGCATAGTTTTTATTTTCTTAAGCCTGCTGAACAATCGAGTCCCTTTTATTAAAAAAAGTTGATAAGAAATATAAATAAATAAAAATGTGGGAATCTTATATTACACATTGCAATAAAGACTTCACTACAACTGTAGTTACAAATAGAGTAACAATTTCAGGCAGGTACAGGCCATTATTTCATCTGGCCAGCCCACCGAGCTATCCTACTTACCCTCCATTAATACCCTCCTACTTAACCTTATTAATAATAATTCTTGCATTTGATACAGTGTATTTCGCGTCAGGAGGAGTTCTCTAAGTGCTTCACAGGATTTTACTGCAAAATGTAGTGACTATATAGCCAATGCGCCAGCCAATTTGCATGTAGCAAGGCCTGGCAAACAGTCGTGAAGTGACCTACCAACTTTCATCCGGGGCACTGTTGGTTCGGACACCAGGAGAAACTCCATTCTCTTTTTGGATAGTGCCATGTGATCGTTACCTTTTACCTGAATGAGGTGCAGTCGAGTCCTGTAGTTCAGTGGTTAGAGCACTCGTCTCATGAGAGACCTGGGTTCGATTCCAGGCAGGGCAAAACGTTGGGCAAGTTTCCTTACTCCATACGCCTCTGTTTACTTAGCAGTAAGTAGGAACCCGGTTGTTAGTCAATTGGTGGATCGCTTTTCCGGGGGTAATAATTCCTTCAAAAAAATAATAATAATAGATTGGTCACTCAATCCACGACTGTTTGTGGGACTCTGCTGTGCACAATTGGCTGCCACGTTTCGCCCACAAAATATACAGTCAATTCACTTTAAAGTATATTTTGTGAGATACTTTGACACGTCTCGAAGACGTGATAAGATGCTATATCAAATGCAAGGATTATTATTATTATGAATCATCTAATCTAATCCCAATCTCATGTTTGCTCCTATAATATTCTTCTTAATATGGAGTAAATCAGTTTTCGTTTTTTATATATCACACTAGTTATTTAAAAGTTACACCAGGTTGCTCGGTATAAAGGGTTAAATCTGAATTTCCAAACAAGCTCTACTTTAATATTTGCCTGAATATGTCACCCAGCAGTGCTATTGTAACTACCCATACAAGTAGCTCCTCATCCTGTGAGTATTTCAGTAATGAGGCCACTTGATCACAGTCTGCTTTTGTCTTTTGAAACTAATGGTGATCAGAATACCAAAGGCATTAATGAGGACAGTTGCCTTATAGGGATAAAATATTATGTTATTAAACTAGGCCACTTATTTGACTGTCCTTCATACCATTGGACCTTGTCGGTAGCTGTTTGGAGCTGCAGCTAATGGAGGCTCTGAGAATATTTGCAAGGCAGCAGTGGGAATTTGCCACCTGTTCTTAGAAGTCTTATTATTCAGCTATAGAACTGCAAAATAACACCCTTACTTTACCCTCGTGCAAATTTTATTGCAACTGATTAAGACAATGTAATAGCCTCACAGTCTTTAATCAATGTAATCATTTATAAACGAAAACTATTTTAGTGCTTTGGGACATCCTCACAATGTGAAAGGCACGACACAAATGTAATTTGTTGTTGTTAATCAGCATTACTTTGCTTACTGGAGTCGGCACTGTTTATTTTGTTGAAACTCAAGTACTTAAAAGAAAGTTAGGTGTTAGTCTGACGATGATGGCAGCAATCTTGCCTCTGAGTCAGAAGATTGTGGGTTCAAGTCCCATGTCGGGACTTTGAACTCGCTTCCAGTGGTGGGGTAGGGCTGCATTGTTGAAGGTGCCGACCTTCACAAGTGACATTCAACCAAGGTCATGCCTTCCTATTTCAGGAGAGGTGCTCCCAATGTGAAAGGCACTGTGTCAAATGCAAGGATTTCTAAAAAAAAGTTGTAGTTAGTAGGGCTATTATTTAGTCTTTGGGTTCATAAGCCATTCGAGCACTGTATCATGACCCACGATCTCATGTGATTGTTTAAATTATAGCCTTGCTGTTTCCTGCCATCATGACAGATATGCGTAGGAGGGAGCTTTAAAGCTGTAATACAGTTGGAAGGAGACAGGTTATAACAAGGTCGAGTAGTTTGAGAATGGGACCAGCATAAATAGTTTTTAAAACTCTCCTCTGATTTTTGTTGTAAACTTTTTGAACTTTGATCCAATTGTTTTGTGTTTTCTCAAATCTCCTGGTGATATTTTATCGTGAGTTTTGGCTACAATAAAACCACAACAACTTGCATTTATATAGCGTCCCTGAGCGCTTGACAGTGGGGGAGCACGACTCCGAGCCGGGGGGAGGGAGAGGTGACCATAGGCACGGTTGAAGAAGGAGGTCTTCATGCGCGACCTGAAGATGGGGAGCGAAGGGGAAAGGCAGAGGGATAGAGGAAGAGTGTTCCAGAGTTTCGGGGTGTAGTGGCTGAAAGCGCAGCCACCAATGGTGGAACGGAGAGTACGAGGGACATGCAGAAGCCGGAGCTAGTTGAGCGGAGCGTACCCTATATTAAAGTCTTACGGTTTTGTCTGGTTACCTCTTGAAGGCCAACATGTTTTTTTCCTATACTATTAATCCTAGTGGGGCATTCCATATCCTAACCTCTCTGCGTGAAATTTCTCCTAACCTCCCCATTTGTTTGTTTATTAACTAGAGTCAAACCTGTTAAAGCATCCACCTCTGTTCAGCAACCACCTGCTGTCAACAACCACCTTGGAATAGTCCTGACCGATTTTCCATATTAAACCACCTTTATTCAGCAACCACCTCCCTCACGCAACCAGTGGCCACTCTTTTTTGAGCCCTGTCGCTGTACAGACACTCTTTACAGCAGCAGTTCTAAGTGAATTTCCGTGTACTTGCTGGTAATGCATTACCAATCTCCGCGGGCCTGCGTGCAGACTCCCGCTAGTCTCTCAAGTACATTTGTTAACGCCCTGCTGAGCAGCCCACAGCTTCCCCCCCTCATTGGTCATTACTTTGAAAGCTATTTAGTCAAATTTTTTTTTAAAGATGCATCAGAATATACGCAACACCAATATAGAAAACCCATATGGGACATTTCTGAAGCTGACACATGGTTGGGTTGTCTTTGGGGCAGATAATAACAGACAGGGAAGGATTTAGTGTGGTTCAAGGGAATCACTCGATGTTTACATTAGGATCTGGTTTTCTTATATTTCCAAATGAGAGAATCTGACAAATGGAGGAACGATTTTGCTTTTGTTTGTCTACAATTAATTAGAATATCCCTCTTTGTAAATATGACCATGTATTTGATGTTGGCATACGCAAACAAAATGAATTAGTGCAGTAAATTCATCTATTAAAACTACCTGTAATTCAAGCGCTCCGAGAGGCCGTCTGGCGTGAAGGGTGCTATATAAATGCAAATTGTTGTTGTGGTGGTTCGAATTATGAGTTTGTGTGTGTACTGTATTTTTCTAATCACTTATACACTTAGAAATTCTACACAAGGAACCCTTCCTCGGAGGCCACTTTGGTCCAGTCCCCTGAGTGTTTGCTGGTAATGGGTTTGACAGTATCTTAAATTGCTTCCCTCTGCTTAGTGACTCAGCGGCCAGTGGAAATAATTTCTCTCTGTTGATCATCAATGAAGGGAATGAACTTGAGATGTGACTATTTGTTTCTTCCTATGGCAGGAGGACACTGGGGTGGCAGTGGCCTTGGTTTGTCCCTTTTCAGAATGGCGAGCCTCCTACGCGCAGTGGTCACCAACTGCTCCAGCCCTGTGTTCAGTGGGGCGCTACCATTGAATCTGAAGACAGTGAAGACCACAAGCTTACGGTTATTCAGGACACACCAGGGCCTTTTGTGTCAGAAGCCAGTAAAGCCAGGTACCCTACGGATAATTACAGAGAGCTTGGCCGCCTGTATCTTTATTTTTCAGGAAATTCTATGTGAAGATGTGAACTCTTAAACGTTGAGAGTGAGGAACCTTTTGCTTTGATGATTTGTAAGATTTTTGTGGTTGCTTTTGACAAAGATATTTTTTCCGGTGAATTTTTTTTCCTCCTAAAAGTTCTGCTCTTTATAAGTGTTTAGAGTGTCATACAGTAATGTATTTATTTTTCTTATGCAGTCAGAAATATTGACTAACCAGTTAGTTCATCCATTGAACCCCTCACATGCCCTTTAGCTATAATTATTTCACTGTAATGTACTCCAGTTTCCATGCTTAATATTTAATACTATAGGGATTAATATCCAAAGATAATTTCTCTCAAACTAATGTATTAAATGCAGTCTGTCTACATTATATTGCAATTTAAAGTGATGGCACTCTATGCGACATCTGGTATTTTTAATTCTTACTACTTTCCCTTCGCTGCACCTGCACTTCTGCTGGATTAGGAAGAAATGTGTATCTTCCCAAAAGGCCCTGTTGTGATTTTGAGATAAACACGAATACTGTCAAATACACGACAAATGTCACATAGGAGATTACTAGATTACTTCATAAGATTCCAAAACATTGAACAGTGGGGGAAGAGATGACTTTGAATGGCACGTCAGAGTCAACAAGCAATGCTGGTTCATTGACTACAATTTGAATGGAAGCTCGTGACCACCCAGTTTTAAAGTTGGAGCTAAATCTAAAATATAGATTTGTTTGGCTGAAAACAGGCGGAAAATAGGTGGTACTTCCAGCCACGTTAGGTCCGATAGTCTAATAGGTGGATCTTGTTAAATAGAAGACGTGATTAAATCTTTCTTTTGTTGCGCAAAGTAAATAAATTCTACTGTTCAAATAGATAACTGTTGGTAGTGGAGCAAACATTATCAGTGTTTAATATTGACTCTGACTGGAGTATGTACTTGCAAATTTGGCTTAAAAACAACATTGGCTGAGATGATCTTAGTCTTCCATATGAAGATGGTTCACCTAAATTGCAACCCTTGTGTTTGAGGTTGTGTGTGTTTGCCTATAATATTTACATTGTTATCTCAAGTGACGTTTCCTGGAATGTGCACATTTCAAAGTTTCCTGGAATGTGAGCCATGGAATATAAAGTTTAGAGGATCTATTCTTACAGCTCAGCAGCAAGCATTGAGCTACAATTCTAATGTGATTTTGTTTGATTTTGTGTGATGTATGTGGGATTAACCAAACCAATGAAGACTTAATTAATAATAATAGTATAGGAGCATATTTGGTCCAACATTTTATAATCTATCTTTGGCATTTCCACGTGTAGGTGGGATGCCTGGAATTCTCAGTTTGGTTTGGATGTTCTTGAGCACGGTGGTGGGTTTCCGTGTGTATTAGACACCCGGCAGACCCAAAAAAATCACTTTACAGTAAATTCCTATGAAGTGCTTTGAGACGTTCTCCCCGCGTGAAAGATGTCATATCAGACGTAAAGATAATAAATATTAATATTAATGAACCATTTGTTGCCAGACAATGGTGACATTTAGAGAACGATTAAAATACTTGCAAATCGTCTTGACATGACTGCTGTAGTAGAGTCCTCTAGTGACATTGTGTGGCTAATTCTAACATAATTTCATCCAAAGTGATTCAGTGTCGCTTAGCTTGGGTCAGGATTCACATTTGTGCCATTAGGTGCAGAATTGATAGAAATATTCCATCCATTCCTGTTCCATTGTATGTTTTCTTACAACATGCTTGTGATTCAACTTTGGTGCTTGGTGCCACGTTTGTCCATAAATTATTCTTTAACAGCACTGTAGGATTTTTTTTTACCCCTCTAAGCAATGAACAAGATTATGCTTTCTTCAGCTGTGTGCTGCATTAGATGGTGAGAATGGAGTGCAATAACATGCTATTACAGAGAAGGACAGGTGAATGTTTTGTGCTTTTATTATTTCATGATTTGCAATACGAGACCATAACCAATGTTGCTGTTTTGTGTTGCCAGGTATTCCCTATAAACAGCTGACGGTAGGTGTTCCTAAGGAGATCTTCCAGAATGAGAGGCGAGTGTCTTTGTCACCAGCTGGGGTCCAGGCTCTGGTCAATCAAGGATTTAATGTTGTGGTCGAATCTGGTGCCGGGGAAGCGTCCAAGTTTTCTGATGACCAATACAGAAATGTCGGAGCCAAAATTATGGGGACCAAGGAAGCCATGGGTTCAGATCTCGTTGTCAAAGTAAGTTTATTTTTGTAAGTTTGTTGAGCTGTTTTGTATTTCAGAGTGAGCTAATTATTTTTTTCCCGCTAATATTTTATCCTATTTCTTTTCTCCTCTCCTGAAATACAATACAAAATTACATTTGTAAAGCGCCTTTCATGTCAGGAGGACATCCCAAGGTGATGAACAGTCAGGGATTGGAACCCGTTGTGGGGGTGGGGTTGGGATCAGGGAGAGTGGAGGGCAGAGAGGGTAGGAGGGTGGCTGAAGGCACGGTCGAAGAGGAGGGTCTTGAGGCGTGCCTTGAAGGAGGCAGGGGAGGAGCGAAGCGAAAGGAATGTGGGATGGAGTTCCAGAGGATGGGGGCAGAGAACCTGAAGTCTTGTATGCTGATGGCGGGCCGATGCGGGGGACGTGGAGCAGGCTGGAGCCTGCTGAGCGGAGGGAGCAGACAGGTTGATTAAGGTTAGCAGGTTGGAGAGGTAGGAGGGGGCAAGTCCATGGGGTGCGTGTGATGGGGTTACGGAGCCTGGTGCGGGAGAGGACATGAGCTGCAGAGTTCTGGACGATCTGTAGCTTGTGGAGGGAAGATTTGGGGAGGCCGGCAAGCATTGACATAGTCGAGCCTGGTTTTATTGAAGGCATGTATAAGGGTTTCGGTGCCCTGAGGAGTGAGGCAGTGGCGGAGTCGGTGGGGACGGCAGAGCTGGACATGGCACGGATGTGGGGGAAATGATCCAATTTCTTGTTCCTTCTACTACTAGGGTATAGTTGCTGGGTACTTAGACCATTGCATTGAGGGCAAGTGTTAACAGGCTATTTAATGATTGGGGGCAGTGGGGTTATCACACCAAGCACAATCCCTAGCTCAGTGGTTAGAGCACTTGCTTTGCAAGCGAGAGACCTGAGTTCAATTCCAAGGAGGGCAAAACCTTGGGCAAGTTTACTTACTCCACACGCCTAATAATAATCCCACCAAAACCAATAATAAATTGGTCATTTTCAATCTACGACTGGTTGTGGGACATTGCTGTGCGCAGTTGGCTGCCGCGTTCGCCCACAAATATACAGTCAATTCACTTTACAGTGTGTTCTGTGAAGCGCTTTGGGACGTCCTCCCGACGTGAAAAGCGCTATATCAAATGCAAGGATTATTATTATTATAATCCAGTAACGTGTGTAAGATGTTGCAAAACATTTTCAACAGCAGGAGGTCTGGTTGGTGCAGCAGGTTGTTTCTCTGTGATGCATACTCTTTTGGGACTCCAGTCTTTATTGTAAAAATTCAGATGTTCAGAGTTAACTTCAGGTCACTCAAGAGGAATATTGGGACATCTAGGGCAGTGTGGCGCTCTTGTGGGTGATCTCATCAAAATTAACTTCGTGGCAGATTATGCCCAAAACATATCAGACCAAAGAAGCCTCTAAATATACTTTTGCATTTAATACGGTTTTATCTTGGCACTTTTGCACATTGTCAAGAAGAAATGGATTTCAAAGCATGATTTGATTTGTGTAAGTATTTACCTCCAACTTAACTGACAAAGCGCTAACTTGTGAAATGCGTTTATTTCTGCTTCTTTTCAGGTCCGGGCTCCGATCTTCAACCCTGACCTGGGTCTCCATGAGGCAGATCTTCTGAAAGATGCAGCAACACTTGTCAGCTTTCTGTACCCAGCACAAAACCCAGAGCTGCTCGATAGACTCTCAAAGCGAAACGCTACAGTCTTAGCGATGGACCAAGTTCCCCGTGTCACCATTGCCCAGGGTTACGATGCACTCAGTTCGATGGCCAATATTGCAGGGTAAGAAATCTTTCTCCGATTACTTCCATTGATGTAATTTAGACTGTATAATAATAATTCTTGCATTTTATATAAGCGCCTTATCATACTTTATAGACGTCTCAAAGCGCTTCACAGAATATACTGTAAAGTGAATTGACTATGTTTTGTGGGTGAAGCGCGGCAGCCAACAGTGTCCCATAAACACTCGGGGATTGGTGACCAAATTATTATTATTTGACCTGTTACCAATTTCTTTACCTCTTTTCTTTAAGATCTGATATGTATTATATGTATATCACCCACAAAATACACAGTCGATTCACTTTAAATATATATTCTGTGAAGCGCTTTGAGACATCTTAACAATGTGATAAGACGCTATATCAAATGCAAGGATTATTATTATATTCTGACCCAGAGGGTCGGTGGGAAAACAGCTGTTTGACTTCAGTCTGTGTTGCTCTTTGGTTGGTGCTGAGATGCATGTTGCTTTGGGAAACTCTTTCTTCGAGCTGCGGGAATAATGATTTAGTGCCTTTTCATCCAATGGGGGTCTAAAAATCACTATAAAAGTAAAAATAAATTAACCAGTATAGTAACTAGGACTCAAAACAAGGATTTTGTTGCTATATTTTGAAACAGATAGCGCTGCAAGGGCTGGAGGGGAAAACCATTGTGGTGGTGAGGAGTGGAGAATGGGATCTAGTCCTAGAGAGAGTTATGGACAGGTTGACAAAATGACCACCTTTTCTTGCAATCATTTTAAAGATTATACTCCTTATATTTGATATGATGTCTTTAACATCAGGAGACTGTCTCAGGAAGTACTTTACAGGATTTACTGTGAAGTGTATTGACTGTATTTTGTAGATGAACACATCAGCCATTTTGCATACAACAATGTCCCATAGGCACCATGAAGTAAATGCTTAATTTTATCTGGGGGGATTGTTGGCCAGGACACCGGGAGAAATTCTCCACTCTTTTTAAATCGTACCCCGTGGTCTTTTAACATTCACCTGAACAGACAACCTTAGTTCTAATATCTCTGCTTAAAGACAGTATCTCGTGCAATGCAACACTCCCCCAGCACTGTGTTAGAGTGTCAGCATAGACTGAGAGCACAATGCAGGGTTTGACCCCACTACCTTGTGAATGAGAGGCAGGAATGCCTAACTTTTCCCCACTGAATGTCTGTGGAAACCCTTCTGTTGTTAACTTTAGTATCTAGAGTTAACAACAGAAGGGTTGCAGAGATGTGCTGCTTGGAAAAAGTTCTGTTCGCTGTAAATGTTTGTTCAAGGTGAGGGCAACCATGCTTGACACTGGTTATTTGAACATAAACACTGCATAAAAACCACAGCAGTCAGGGTACGTTTTGGAAGTAGAGCGCTCAAATCTAATTGGAAACTGATTTATTGTCCCTTTGGATCTGACAGGTACAAAGCCGTGGTGTTGGCTGCAAATCACTTTGGACGTTTTTTCACTGGCCAAATCACAGCTGCTGGCAAGGTTCCTCCGGCAAAGGTAATTGGCAGAACTTGACAGGTAAATGTGCAGCTGTTTCTGTTGCAGGAGTTGAGTTCCACTGCAGATGCCATTGGGATTGTACCTTTCACTTTTACTGAAGGTCTTTCCTTGTTTGATCAACTTCTCAGGTTGCTCACTTGAATGTGATCTTTCCCTGTGATCTTTGAGAGAAATCGTTGCATGAGAAAAGATCAGTTTCTGTTTGAACAAAATGTAAATCAGGTTTAGAAACAGAAAAAAGACTGAACATTTAAGCGCTCAGCCTACTTGGATGTAGTCACACCCAAAATATTAGCGTTGCTTTCCTCTTTCAAATACTGATAGATTATCTGCATTTTCTGATGTTTCAGATTTCCAGGGTTTGCAGATTTTGTTCTTAAAAAGTTGCTTGGATGCAACAACAACTTGCATTTATATTAGCGCCCTTCACGCCAAGTAGTGTCCCGGAGCGCTTAACAGTGGCAGAGTTTGACCACGAGCCAGGGGGAGAGGGAAGGGGGAGGTGACCGTAAGCACGGATGCAATATTTCTTTGAACAAAAATCACACGTGGAATTTGAATAAATATTGTTACATTTGACATATCCCCTTTAAGGTTGGGAGTACAACTCGAAGGATTCACCGCAAAGTACGGTTTAATACCATTAATACCTTAATACCATGTGTCTGATTTTCTCAACCAGTCTTTTATGCGACACCATATGAAACTCTTAAAAATCAAAATTTACAACATTAATTGCATTCACTTTATTCCCTGCATTCCACTAGATGACTTTCTCTTAAAGCAAAATTGTTCAATTAACTTTATTGAGCACATCTTGTCTTTCACAAATCCATGTTGTCCCTCTGACTTTGGGTGTCTTTGGGTTCTCTTTACTGTCTACGGCTCTCACCATCTCCCCACCTTGTATGGGTGCCAGTGAGCAGTGTTAAACGCTTTGTGATACCCCTTAACGTTAAAGATGCTGTATAAATGTAAAATGGGTACATGAATGTTTGCACCATTGACTCTTTATCTCATGACGTAGGTGCTCATTATTGGTGGTGGTGTTGCTGGTCTGGCTGCAGCAGGTTCTGCAAAATCAATGGGAGCCATTGTGAGAGGATTTGACACCAGGTACAGTGACTTTATTTTCCCACGGAAGAGGCTGTGATACAGTAGTGACTTGTTATAACGCAGTAGTTAGGCCCCATAAAGTACCAAGCTATGCTGCAGCAAGGCTCGTAGGTCGGTTGTGCTGTGCATGTGTTCAGCCGGGTAGCTTGCTCCCTGTGCCAGTTCCTTTGCTTAAAAAACAGGTTGACTCCCAGGTCATTGGGCAGCCGCTGACATTGCTTCCTGCTTTGCTCGTGCGCAACAAACGGGAAGTGATATCGGGGGCAACCTCATAAGTTGGCCATTTTAGCGTGAAAGCCAGCCCGCACCCAGGACTGGGGTGGGTCCACACTGCAACCACATTATACCTGAATACTCGCTATAAAAAGGGTGTTATCACGAGACTGCGCTATACTGATAACTTAGAATTGACACCTAAAAATTACCCAGAGGTAGAGTTTTTAATTGTTTTCGGTTGGTTGGCCAAGTGTGGACACATTAAAGTCTGCAAAGCAATCAAAAGGAATTCTTCGTGATATTTTGATGTCACCTCCCGTTGCGCAGGCCCGATAGGAAAATTTAAATCCTCAAGCCTATCTCTTATTTTTGAACAAGCTCTCTGGGAGGACGCAAGACATTCATCCCAGTGTAACAATAAGGGTATTTGACATTTGTGTTATCCAACTTTTTAAAAAGTTGCTTTCAATGTGTATTTCTTTATGTCATCCAGAGTTGCCCCTACCACCTCGAGATGTTATTTTACATAAACGGCGCTGTACAAGTATGGCTGTTACTGGAAAACCTTTCATGACAGGGTAGCCTGGTTACACAGCAGATAGCGAGCTGAGTTGTGTTCTTGTGCCTTGGGAGGACGTTTCAAAGAGCTTCATAGTATTTAGTGCAAAGGCATGGTCGATGAGGAGGGTCTTGAACGAGGCAAGGCAGAGGGACTGCGGGATGGAGTTCCAGAGGGTGGGAACAGTGGCTGAAGGCTTGCTCGCAGGCGAGGCAGGAAATGTGAAGCAGGCCCGAGCTCGCTCAGCGGAAGAAGTGGACAGGTTGGTCGGGTGTTAGGAGGTTGCAGAGGAAGAGAGGAGCAAGGGGTGGAGGGCTATGAAGGTGAGGACCAGGATCTTGAACTGTATCCTCTGTGTGATGGGAAGTCAGTGGACACGGGCTGCAGAGTTTTGGATGATCTGCAGCCTGTTGAGGGAGGAGTTGGGGGGGCCGACAAGCGGAGTTTGCATAGTCGAGCCTGGATGTGATGAATGGGTAAATTTGTATTGTAGAAGGAAACTGAATGTGGTTACAGTGGAGCCTCATTATAACATGGTGGCTGGAATCCATAATATCCCAGCCCAAGTTATAACAAGACACAACAGTCTGTGTCTGTGGTGACCTAATGACATGGAAATCGGCCATTTTTGCATAAAAGAAGGGCCTTTGCGCAGGAAAAGGGCTGTCTGTGCGTTTGTAGCTCAGTGAACAGGGTCTGCAGTGCAACCGTATTTTACCAGACTGGTATTGTAAAGATTTGCATTGTAATGGGGTTTACTCTGCAGTAGGGTCAGGAGATGTCCTGAATTGCAAGAGGAAAACTGAAGGGATTTTCACGGTTAGATGAGTCGGGGTCTTCACTCCCTAGGATCTAACGCGACAATTGCTATCACGAGAAAACATTTCTTTGCATTTTTTTTGTGGCATTCCCCAGTTATAAATGTGGAACAAATATTAGCATTAATGATAGCTGCAGATTTGATTCAGCTTTCAACAATTGATGCCAACTGTATTGAACAGGATATGATATAATTTGAGACAAGCAGCCCTGGTTGGGTGTGGGTGAGGGGAGGAGGGGACCTTGTAAAATACCGCTACTAAGGGACTGAGCAGACTGGCACAGATGAAGTGTAAAATGAGGCGGTGTTTATCAAGTGATGATGAACAGAGATTATCTTGAAAGAATTGTCATTCAAAAAGTATATCAACTTTGGATACATGGTGAAAATCTGAGTGTATTTTAACGTGGACTGTGCAATCAATGCCTTTCATAATCCCGAAACACATGAATTGACAGGAACATAAGAATTTGCTGGAGGAAAGAAGACCAAAGTCCATCAAGTTTATAGTTTTCTTTTCCTGGAAGCTCATTTGCTAATATTTCATGCTTTTCCCCAAGTAGGGCCTTAAAAAGTCAGTTAATTAATTTTTTTTTGTATAAAAAGACTGTGACAGTCAAACACTGTAATTTATATGTTTCTGTGTAGTAAATATTAAACAAAGTGAAACAGCTGCAAGTCTTTCCTGTCGCTAAACATTGCCAACCACACCAGTCGCTGGCTGTTTAACTCCATCGTTACAACTTGGTAGAACCAAGGAACTGATTGCAAAACCAGATAAATAGTTTAAAAATGTATAATTTCGCCGACTTATGTACTGGGGAACATTTAAGCTGTAGTGTGTTAGTTGTAACTGATTGAGAAGAGCAATGTCATTGAGTGAAGCATGCAGTCTGTGCATCCTTCCAACCGCTCATAATGTTGTGTTCTTAAAAATCCTGTGCCCATGTTAATGAGTAGGGTAAGCTTTACGCTGCTCCTGCCATCAAGCCCGTTTGGTGATTGTGGCTTTGATTGTTAGCAAGATTGAGGCACATTAGGTGTAGCCGCATGTTATATTCTGTCTGACTTATACTTGCCGGTGTTGTACCGTGTGGTTTCAAATGAACTGATGTGGGATTTTATTTCACTGTATGCGTGGGGGGGGGGGGGGGGGGGGGGAGGAGAGAAGAAATCCTTTTGTGAGCATTGTGTTCCTACCCTCATGCTATTCTCCATCAGCTCCGAGGCAGGAATAACAGAGTCATGGACCTATAGACACACACACACACAAATGCTCGCTCACCTGACTGTCCTGTGGTCACAGTGCTTGATCTGACTCTCTCATGATTCACGACTCTGTGGGGTTTGTGCCCCACTAAGTTTGTTCAGTTCTGTCTCAATCTCTGGTTATGACTTTGCTGTCCTATGTCTGTCTCTGGCTATTTGGTCCCTTCGTATAGTGTTTCACAATGTCCCTCAGGAGTGCAGTAAGTTTCAGCAGCCAATAGGTGGTGCTCAACACCAATGTTTCCGAATGCGAATACAGTCCCGTGGACAAACACCTGCACAGATCATTAAACATAAAGAGTGCTGTGCTGTTTTTCTTGGTCTGTGTATCATTGTGATTTTTCCCCCAACTATAGTTCAAGGTTTTGCCCTGATATATGAGATGTTTGAAGGTGACGATATCAGTTGTTTTTTTTTTGCAAGCCAAGTGTGTGGCACAAATGGAAATGTGAAACAGGTTGACTGTCGGGGTTTGGACAAGGGGGTAGGATTGATTGAGGGCAGGAAGAAGACGATGCAGGGAAGCCAGATTTTGTTGCTTTTTTCACGAGGAAGTCCATGACCTCTTCATATTTGGTATCAGAGATAAGAATATTAATAATAATAGTATTAGCACCTTTCACTTCGGGAGGATGTCCCAAAGCGATTCACTGAATTTACTAAATTGTTGTTATACTATAAAGTGGAGTGACTGTAAATTTGTAGGCGAATGCGGCAGCCCAGTTGGGCACAGGAGTGTCCCACAAACAGATGATCAATTTATCTGGGGGATTGTTGGCCAAGACATTCGTGAGAAACTCCCTTTTTTTGAATAGTGCACACCAGCGCTGTATTGGAGTGTCATCTTACACAATGAGTTTCAGTCCTGATGTACGGGGCTTGAACCTGCAAGCTTTTGACTCAAGAGGCGAGAGTGCTACCAACTGAGCCAGACTAGCACAAGGTGGAGAAGAGGCTTTGAGAGAGATAGAGGATCTTTGAGGTTCTCCTTTGCCTCCAGGATGACCTTGGGATGGAAAGAGGTTTTAGCTTTGGCGAGGGAGGCAGAGGTGGTAGTAATGTGTAGTAGAAAGAACAAAGACAAGAGAATGAACGAGAGCAATCCAGATATTTTTCTTTGCTGCAAAACTTTTCTAGGTTTAGAATGAAAACTTCTGTCGATTGATTCTATTAGCTTTGTCTTTATTTCTTAGCAAGGAAGTGTTTGATATTGCAATATGTGTATGAGTTGCGTGCTTGTTGCAAAATGATTTGTAATAGAACAAGGTTGCACAATGCATTACGTCAACTTTCCCTTGACTATCCAGCGCCTTGGGAAGTCTACAGGACATGAGAGGCTCTACATATAAATGATTTGTTGTTGTTAGCAAGACAAAATTGTTTGGTTTTGTAGTGAAATTGCCCTTGTAACTAAGGATATCAGTCATGCCTCTTGTTGCACATTTTAACAGAATGCTCACTTTCTTTCCTGGCACGAATCATACCATTAAACTAGAGTCCCCAGTTCTGCATTGCCACTGAGTGCACAGAGCTATCTCTGCTGGCCAATTTGTGTCTTTGTGTTTTTCCCCCCCCAAATATGGTTTTCAAATGGTGGATTCAGAGTCAAATCCTTATCAGTTTTTTTTATATATAGTATATATTTTTTTTAAATGTGTCCACTGTGATTTTCTTTTCCAGTCTTTGCCTTATTTAATATTGAGCTCCACTTAAAAACTATTGCTGCAGCTTTTGACGACCAAAAGTTTTGCCGTTCAAATAAATATGAACAGTGGAAAATCCACACCAGTTTTCCACCCAACTTTCAGTGGCTTGCCTGACGGGCAGTGGACAGATGTTTTACCAACACTGGATAGAATTTGCACTAAAGTCAACCCCTCCCTCCCCCACCCTCCAAGGTTACAACATTGCAACAGAATTAATGATTGGAGTTGGCTGAAGCCCTCTACCCATATTTGTGTCTCTTTCCCCCTCCCCCATTAACATCAGTTTACAGATTATTGCTGGATGGTAGATAATTTTCTGGGAACCTTTTCCATTGGGTGACGAGGAATAGTTGTTTAGACAGCAGGTACCACATGCTTTAACCTGGTTTTCCTGGAAGTAGGTTAGAAGAAGAGCTCATTGAGTATATGAGAGGTAACTTTCTAGAGCAGCATGCCGAGAAACCAACTAGGGGACAGGCCATCCTAGACCTTGTTCTGTGTAACGAAACAGGGCTAGTTGGCAGTGTAGGTATTAAGACTCCTCTAGGGCAGAGTGATCACAATATGATTGAATTCTGCATTAAGTTAGAGAGGGATATAGCTAAATCCGAGGCAAGTATTCTGAATTTAAATAAGGCTAATTTTGTAGGTATGAGGAAAGATTTAGGTAAAATGGACTGGAGAATAAGATTAAGAGGTAAAAATGTAGACCAACAGTGGCAAATATTTAAGGATGTAGTACATAATTCTCAGCGGTCGCATATTCCCTTGCGGAATAAGAGTACCACAGGGAAAGCAATTCATCCGTGGCTAACTAGAACAGTTAGGGAAAGCATCAAATTAAAAGAAAAAGCTTATAAAACTGCCAAGAAAAGCAGCAAATCCGAAGATTGGGAGTTTAAGAAACCAGCAAAAAAAACCTAAAAAAGTATGAGGGTAAGCTAGCTTTAAGTCTGATTGTAAAAGTTTTTACAAATACTTTAAGAGGAATAGGCTATTGAGGGTAAATGTAGGTCCACTTCAGTCAGAGACAGGAGAAGTTGTAATGGGGATAAGGACATAGCAGAGTCCCTAAATGGGTACTTTGCATCTGCTTTCACCCTAGAAGACACAACAAGTCTGCCAACAATAGAGATGCACCAAAGGGATAAGGACAGGGAGCAACTTAGGGAAATTTTCATTAGTAGAGAATTGGTGCTAGGGAAACTGTTAGCACTAAAAAGTGACAAATCCCCTGGTCCGGATGGTTTGCATCCCAGGGTTTTAAAAGAGGTAGCTTATGAGATAGTGGAGGCCTTGTGTCTGATCTTCCAAAATTCCTTGGATTCTGGAACAGTCCCCATGGATTGGAAGATCGCAAATGTCACACTGCTATTTAAAAAAGGTGGAAAGGAAAAGATGGGGAACTATAGGCCACTTAGTCTACAATCAGTGATAGGAAAAATGTTTAGAATCATTAAAGATGTGGTCGTGCGGTATTTAGAAGAGCACAATATAATTAGGCCAAGTCAACATGGCTTTACAAAAGGGAAGTCATGTTTGACAAATCTCATAGAATTTTTTGAGGATATTTCGAGTAAACTAGATAAGGGTGAATCAGTGGATGTGGTCTATTTGGACTTCCAGAAGGCATTCGATAAGGTGTCACATAAAAGGTTAATCCAAAAGATAGGGGCCCGTGGAATTGGGGGGAGCATATTAACGTGGATTGGGGAATGGTTAACGGGTAGAAAACAAAGAGTAGGGATAAACAGGTCCTTTTCAGATTGGCGGGATGTGACTAGTGGAGTGCCAGAAGGATCAGTCCTTGGGCCTCAGCTATTTACCATCTACATCAACGATCTAGATGAGGACATCAAATTTAATATATCTAAATTCGCGGATGACACAAAACTAGGAGGAAGGGTCAACACAGAGGATGACATTCAAAAAATGCAGCGCGACATACATAGGTTAGGTGATTGGGCAGGTAGGTGGCAGATGAAGTATAATGTAGGGAAGTGCAAAGTCATCCACCTAGGTAGCAAAAACAGTAGAGCGGGTTATTTTTTAGAAGGGGAGAGATTGGAATGTGTTAGTGTCCAGAGGGACTTGGGTGTCCTTGTACACCAATCACAGAAAGTTAGTCTGCAGGTGCAGCAGCAATTAGGAAGGCGAACGGTATGTTAGCATTCATTATGAAAGGATTAGAGTATAAGAGTAGGGAAGTCTTGCTGCAACTGTATAGGGCCCTGGTGAGACCACACCTGGAATACTGTGTGCAGTTTTGGTCTCCTTATTTAAGGAAGGATGTACTTGCCTTGGAGGGGGTGCAGCATAGATTTACTAGGTTAGTACCAGGGATGAAGGGGATGAGTTACGAGGATAGGCTGACCAATTTGGGCCTATATTCTCTAGAATATAGAAGAATTAGAGGGGATCTTATAGAAATCTATAAGATCATCAAAGGGCATGATAGAGTAGATAGTGGGAGATTGTTTCCCCTGGTTGGAGAAACTAAAACCAGGGGTCACAACCTTAAAATCAGAGGCCAGTCCTTTCGCACTGAGTTTGAGGAAGAACTTCTTCACTCAAAGGGTGGTGAATGTATGGAACTCACTGCCCCAAAGGGCTGTTGACGCTCAGTCCTTGAACATATTCAAGACTGAGATAGATAGATTTCTTATTGCAAAAGGGATTAAGGATGTGGGGATAAGGCAGGGTCAGGTTATTAGCTGGAGTTAGATTAGAAGATCAGCCATGATTGAATGGCAGGGCAGGCTCGAAGGGCCGAATGGCCTACTCCTGCTCCTACATGTTATGTTATGTTTTGTTTTTGATGAGCTGTGTTGTGCTCGAGGTACCAGAGTTCAAATGTATACTTGTAGGATGTCAAATGATATCAAATGAGAAAGTTGGTCCCGCAGGAGATGACGCTCAGGTTAACCTCCTATGAAAGACTTGATCAGCAGATCTTTGCTCTGATGTTGAGCTTTGTTCAGATCTCTCGCACATGTTACCTTGGACTGCTGATGGGCAAATCTCAATTTAAGACAAACAGCTTGTCATACAGATTGTTGAATTATCTCTGCTCTGAGGAGAGACCGCATACTGCGCTAAGCTCTGTAGCTTGTGCTTATGGACAAAGTATGTTCTAAAACAAACTGGAGCTTCAGTGCTCAGCAGGAAAGTTTGAAGCAGTAAAGGCTCTATTCTCTTTCCTCCTCCCCCTCCCCCACCACCACCACACACTTTACATGTAACCTGTCTCTCCTTGGGGGGATTTTAATATCAGCTAATTGCTTTCTCCGGCAGCAAAAAGATAAAACAGAACAATCTATTCAATATTTCCGTGGAAGCTAGAAATACATATGAGTGAGAGGGACTAGAAGCATATGGGAGAAAGTAAGGAATGGGTGGAAACTCACGTGGCGTATAAACACCACCTGGACTAGTTGGGCCAATGGCCTGTTTCCATGCCGTACCCTTCTATGTAAATCTATAGATGCATTCAAGGTGTATACTTGAAAATACCACTGCTTTGAATTGGTGTCTAACTTGTGGGTAATGAGGGCTTTAGCAGTGGATTGTGAAAAGTTTGTTTAACCTGATTTGTGGTTTCTTCTGCAGGGCTGAAGCTTTGGAACAGTTTAAGTCTCTGGGTGCAGAGCCCCTGGAGGTCGAGGTGAAGGAATCTGGAGAAGGTACAGGAGGATATGCCAAGGTGATGTCCAAGGAGTTCATTGATGCCGAGATGAAGCTATTTGCTAAACAGTGCCGAGAAATAGACATACTCATCAGCACAGCCCTCATTCCTGGTAGGATATGAAAGTGCGAAACGTTGGGTTGGGCCTTGTAAGGGAAGGTATACTGCTTTTGTTTCTTCGTTAGCAAGCTGTTGGCAAAATCTCCACCACCTTTGTCAAAATGGTTTAGACCTGAAGATTTCAGTTCTGCTATTGCTGTTTTTGATCGTGGAGAGTGGCCGCTTCAGGGCACAATACCAGCTCGACTCGCGTTGAGTTAGTCCGCGAAACCCTGTTCTTCACGATTGGAAACAATGGTGCTCGCTCTCTGGGACTAAATAATAATAATAATCCTTGCATTTGATACGTCTCAAAGAACTTCACAGAATACAATGAAAAGTGAATTGACTCTATACTTTATGGGCGAAGATAGCGACCTCCAGCGGCTTTGGGTCAACTCTTACGTCGACTTCAAGGAGGGAGGAGAATTCGCACCTGAAGCTGATTGATAATCGTCGAGTGAAATTCCCACCTTTGGCCGATCGTGTGATAATCTAAATCTGTGGTGAAACGTCACACTTCTCATCCCAAGATTCCTGGGAAATAAACTCACAAATTAAACTCAAGGTTTAAAGTACACCCCTGTCAACACAGGGCGCAGTTATTCAGAGATTGAATAACTAAAACTGAAAACTAAAATGCAATTCATACTTTTTTTTCTTGGTACAAGAAGTACTGAAGTACGGCTTAAATGTTCCTCAGCCAGTAAGGTTTGATATGTTGAGGTTGATATTTTCTGCCTGTAAACTAAACAGTAGATGTGTCTTCTGTGTAATTTGTGTTTTAAGGCAGTAGTTGTGGCCCATAAAATCTCAGCACACCTTATAGCAGGGCCTCAATAGTCTGTCAGACCATCCTCATTCACTGGTGTGTGCGCTTAGATTTTTTTTTCTCGATTGCTCTCGCTGGCCAGCTTTTGAGCTAAAATTGCTGATTTCCAGGTCATTCACCTGCGAAAGCCACTTCCTGCTTTCCTGCGCACATGCAACAAACAGGAAGTGACATCGTCGTTGCTTGGATAACCTGGATGTCCACTATTTTTCTTCCAATGCAAGACCTGTCCAAGGGAGCGAGCCAGCCGGCCAGCCGTGTGCATGCACAGTGAGCCTGGCTATCACGCCTCATTAAAGCGTGGGTTGCAACTTTATGGATCCCGAAACACCACGTTTTAACTCGGCTCCATTGTAGTTCATTATTCCACCATCTGCGTTTGTAGTTTGCTCCACCCGCCAATCACCCTTGAAGAATCATTTCATTTGCTAAACTGCAATACCAACAACAACGACTTGCACTTGTACGGCGCCCTCCACGCAGGGTAGTGTCTCAGAGGTCTTAACAGTGGCGGAGCCTGACTCCGAGCCGCGGGGAGGTGGCCGTAAGCACGGTCGAAGAGGAAAGTTTTCAGCCGGACTTGAAAGGGAAGATAGGGGGCAAGGCGGAGGGATTGAGGCAGTGTTCAAAATCCTCGCCCTCACCTTCAAGGCCCTCCATGACTTTGCCCCCTCCTCCTCTCCAACCTACTAACCTCATATCAACCTGTCTGCTCCCTCTGCTCATCAGGCTCTGACCTGCTCTATGTCCCCCATCGGGCCTTCAGCTTCTCTGCCCCCACCCTCTGGAACTACAACCCACATTACCTTCGCCTCACTCTCTCCCTTGCCTCCTTAAAGGCACTTCTCAAGATCCTCCTCTTCAACTGTGCCTTCGGCCACCCTCTCAGCCCTCCACCCTTCCTGATCCCAATCCCTGGCCCCCACTCGGGTCCTAATGCCTAACTGTTCAGCGCCTTGGGATGTCCTCCCGAGGTGATAAACGCTTTAGAAAATGTAATTTTGTATTGTAATAAAATAAACCTGTATGTTTGTCTGAAATTAACATCTATTGCACAAGTCAGCAATTCCAACAATAATACTTGCATAAATAGACACCTTGTATAATATTTTTGCAGGCAAGAAAGCTCCTTTGTTGATTTCCAAGGATATGATTGAGTCAATGAAGGATGGATCTGTGGTTGTGGATCTCGCAGCTGAAGCTGGAGGGAACATTGAAACCACCAAGCCTGGAGAGATTTATGTTCATAAGGTACCGGACTTCCAGTAATTATGATAATCTAATAATAACCATTCGTATGTTTGATATGGTGCCTTTCATGTTGGAAGGACATCTCAAAGCTCTTCACAGGATTTACTGTAAAGTATAGTGTCTTGTGTACTCTGTGGATGAAATGCATATATTCCTAATCTGTTGTAATTAATAGGTATTTGTGAGTGAAATGGCTACGTTTGTAAAGACTTTATCCAGCACATGTCTTTGTGAGAACAGTAGTTTGTAAATAATAATAATAATAATAATAATCCTTGCATTTGATATAGCGCTTTTCACGTCGGGAGGACGTCCCAAAGCGCTTCACAGAACACACTGTAAAGTGAATTGACTGTATATTTGTGGGCGAACGCGGCAGCCAATTGCGCCCACAAACAGTCGTAGATTGAAAAATGACCAATTTAATTATTGTTTTTGGTTTTTTGGAGTGATTATTATTAGGCTCTGTGTGGAGTAAGGAAACTTGCCCAAGGTTTCGCCCTGCCTGGAATTGAACTCAGGTCTCTCACTTGCAAAGCGAGTGCTCTAACCACTGAGTACTGAAGTTGGCCTGCTGTTTGACCTCACATTTTGTCCAAGCACAAGCCTTGTTAAGTCTGAATTCTGGATCAAAGCATAATATTGTTAATATTACTCAGTACATTTATTGGCTTAATCTGGTTTGACTAGCGTACATTTCTGTGACTAACTTCCCCCAAATGTTTCCTTCTGTGATGAATGTTTCTTATAACTGGTAAAATTACTGTTTCCAATGGCGAAATAATATAACCTCGGATTCTCATAAAAAGCTGAGGGAACTTGTAAGTATTATAAAACCATATTAAATGTTTTTTTAAAAATCTTTTGAAAATTTGTAAAGTGACATCAGTCCAGAGGAAATTATCTGTGTTCTTAATTATGGAATTAACAAGCAATGAAAAGGATTGCTTTAAAAAAAATCTGTCGTTTTATGTTAATAACTTAATCTTACGTTGAAAATCCCTTCAAAAATAAAATAAAAATAATAATTTCACCCACAAAACATTGCTGTGCGCAATTGGCTGCTGCGTTTTGCCCACAAATATACAGTCAATTCACTTTACATTATATTCTGTGAAGCGCTTTGAGACGTCTTGAAGACGTGATGTGGAGTCCTGCAGCTTAGTGGTTAGAGCATTCGCTTCGCAAGCGAGAGACCCGGGTTGGATTCCCGGCACGGTGAAACCTTGGGCAAGTTTCCTTACTCCACGCGCCTGATAATAATCCCTCAAGAAAAGAAACAGTACTAAATTGGTCACTTCAATCCACCACTGTTTGTGGGACACTGCTGTGTGCAATTGGTTGCCGCTTTTTATCCACAAATATACAATCAATTCACTTTACACTATATTCTGTGAAGCGCTTTGAGACGTCTAGAAGACGTGAAAAGCGCTATATCAAATGCAAGGATTAATTATTTAATTATAAGGTGCTATTTCAAATGCAAGGATTATTATGTAATTGAGGGCATCTGAAGAAAAAAAGAATTACTCCACTTCACAGTATCTTATGAAGTGCTTTGAGATGTCCTCTCGATATGTACCAAATATAAGGATTATTATGGTATTATCGGTCAGAATTCGCATGAATATTTCACCATGGGTAAGTAAACTTATAACACTCCTCATTGTGTCTATTCTGCTAGAACAGCAGCGAGGACATCTTGTGACATCTTGGATCTTGATGATAGAACTGAGTGGATCAGAAACAAATCATCTCTCTGAGAAATTTGATGTATATATGAGGGAGAAGGGAATAGGAGGAGCAGGGGCTCGTGTGGGTATAAACCCCAACATGGACTGGTTGGGCCGAATGGCCTCTTTCTGTCCCATGTTGTTTGGTGTAATTTTTCACCCCTGTCATCTTAAAAATCAAATCAAGTCAACCCTGTTGACACTATTGTATCGCTTGCATAAGAAAAAAAACTGTTCATTACTTGTTAAAAGTTTTTTCTTTGTTTTCTAAATAAAATCTCTGAAGGGAGTGACTCACATTGGCCACACGGACCTTCCGAGTCAATTGGCTTCTCAGGCCAGCACCTTGTATTCCAACAATATCACCAAACTGCTGAAAGCCATCAGCCCCGACCAGGAGAACTTCTACTTCAACCCCAAAGACGACTTTGATTACGGCACAATGGACCACGTGATTAGAGGGACAGTGGTGATGAAGGTGAGTGCTGGACTATTCAAGACCTGTGTTGAAATGGAAAGCCTGGGGTGTGCAGGACTGGAAAACACCACTGTACTCGATCTGGCTGGTCTGATTTCTTTCTGGTGAATTGCTGTTTGTTTCACATCACTCCCACCCTTGCTTGCCTCCACTGGCTCCCCATCCCCCAGAGATCCCAATTCAAGATCCTCATCCTCACCTACAAGGCCATTCATGGCCTTGCTCCCTCCTACCTCTCTGACCTACTATCCCCCTACCTTCCTGCCCGTACCCTCCGTTCCTCTGGCTCCGGTCTGCTGCATACCCCCCGCCCCAACCGCCCTACCATCGGTGGCCGGGCCTTCAGCCTCTCAGCCCCTAGGCTCTGGAACTCTATCCCCCAGTGCCTTCGCATTGCCTCCTCCCTTTCCTCCTCTCAAGACTTTTCTCTTTGACTGTGCCTTCAGCTCCCCTCTCGACTCTCTACCCCCTCCTCGCTCCCTCCCTTCCCTCCCCTCACCCTGACCATTTCCCCCCTGCTCGGGTCCTGACCCAACTGTACAGCGCCTTGGGACGTCCTCCCGACGTGAAAGGCGCTCTATAAATGGAATCTTGTTGTTGTTGTTGTTGATGACTGTACCCATTGTTATAATAAATAATTGTGTGTGCTCGGTTGTTCAAACTGGATTTGAGCCTTGGTCCTGGTAAATGAAAGGCAGAATACACAGTGCAACCAAGTTCCTAAAACGCACAGATTTTAGACCTAGCTGAGAAATAACCAGAATAAAGTTATGTCTTCCTGCTATCCAGGTAATGAGCAAGTAATCTCTCTGTGTATAGAACACCTCTGTTTTGTTTGCAAGCTTATTTTTCTATTTCTACATTGACAGGACGGGAAGTTGATCTTCCCAGCACCGCCACCTCAAAATGCCCCTGTCAGTGCTCCCCCAAAACCACCGAAAGTGGCAGAGTTGGAGGCTGCGAAGGAAGCAGCAATCTCTCCCTTCAATAAGACATTGACCACAGCTTCCCTTTACACAGGAGGTGAGTATGGCTAGCAGAGTATTCATAGAAACAAAGTTGCAAACTTTGTCAACATTTTATGGAATTCCTCAAAGTAGTGGACTATTTCAGTGCAGAACTGAATGTTTCCTGTCAAAGTACTATTGCCCTGCAGTATCTACTTAATCCATATTGGGAATAGTATTGTGTGAGACTGCTCTTTTGCAATCTGGTGTTCTCCTAATTTTTAAGATTCTAACTAATTCTAAAGCTTTGAAAAAATGATGTGCCTCAATTTATATGCATATGTAATTTATATATTTGTAGAAATTTTCAATTGTGAAATTGAACATAACATAACATGTTGGAGCAGGAGTAGGCTATTCGGCCCTTCGAGCCTGCCCCGCCATTCAATCATGGCTGATCTTCTAATCTAACTCCAGCTAATACCATAACCCTGCCTTATTCCCATATCCTTAATCCCTTTTGCAATAAGAAATCTATCTTCAATGCTTGAAGCCTTGAGATCCAGCGTCAAAGATGTTGCCCTTCAGAACAGCATTGGGTGGGGGTGGAGGGAGGAATCCATAACATGGACACCTGAGTCCATTCAACATGCTAAATATTTGAGCAGGCTGCTGAACTGATCCCAATCTGCCTGTAATATGGATGATCTGAACTTGAGCTTCATTTCCCTGGCTCTGTATTCTTCACATCCCTCCTTGATGCCTTCCCAACCCGCACACTGATCCCTGCCAAGAATGTGGTTTACAATCCTCTCAAACCTCTTAACACTGGGGCCCATGAACAGACTAAGATGACTTGGGGTACTGCCTGGTATTTTAGAGTGTTCTCGAGAAAAAATATTCATTTGCTACTTTCGCTTTTGTATCTCAGTGGGGTATCAGCATCCTGTGCCATCATATTTTCTTGCTTCTATTTTTTTTAAAGGAATCTATTCCCTTTTTTTGGTACCATAGCATAATGTAGAATCCTTTTTTTATTTCTATCCATCATAGTCTTTTCAATGCACTATTACAATTGTCCTGATCAAACCTGGTTCAGATATTTTACATAGGTTCATTGCAAGGGAATATATTCAATATGGCATCTTTGATTTTTAACTGGCAATGCCTTCCTTAACCTTCTGTTTGCTTCACTAAATGCAATCTAAAGTTTCCTGAGATCTAATCAGTAAATAACTATTTCCAATTTTTTGAATTGTGCTCAGTCTTTCTTCAGTATGAGACCTTTTGTCATATTAGTTAGCTCATCCCTGTCTCTGCTCTCCTCCCCCCTTCCCCGAATTAAAAAGAAAACTTGAATAACTTTCATTAACAACTCGCCTGTTTTCAGTCTTCTGGTGGTTCATTCTCTGCTTTACTTGCTTGCAAAAAGAATGCCCTGAACTTTAGAGTCTGAATAATCAGTGCACAGAAGGAACATTAAAATGGACGCTTGTCTTGACTACGAGAAATGTATCCCTGGGTATAGGGGAGAGGTTGGAAGAAATGCCCTAGAAAGTAAGTTCAGTGCTTTGTTTGTGAAGGCTCTAATGGGAAACGGGAAGGAAGGAAGAGGCCAGGGCAGTTTTGGTTTCTACATCTCGGCTCTAATTGTCCTCTTGATATCGCTGATCTAGAGGAAAGTCCTTAACTGGAAAGGATTAAACCTGCAACTTTTATTGGAATGATCTATTTTGCCTGAGGTTTTTTTTAAGGTATGAGTGAGTGGCTTCCATATAAAATGTAATTGTTTTGAACTCCTGTGAAACCAGAAATCAGGAAATGGTTAGTCTAAAGACATAAACTTTCCTGCACAGTTTCCCACAGTCCTTGAAAGCCGCCAAAGAGGTTGTGACTGGTTGTAACTTCATGCAAAGAGAAACCATGCAAGTGTTTTGCCTGGAGGTCAAAGCAGCAGAAACCGATTTATCACAACCAACTCCTCTTTTAATTTTAGTTCATAGTATTTAACTGCAACTTTTTTTTGTTGCATAGACAAGTTGAATCTGCAGAATTGAGAGTTAAATGGAATGAGTAAAATGTTATTTTTTCCCCCTTTGAAAATAAAATGTTAAAATCAGTGCACATTTATATATTTAATAAAAAAAAATCCTGAACTGTTCTGGGTGCATGTTTACAGCTGCCAACAATTAGATGTTGCTTTCATAGAATTATACAGCACAGGAGGAGGCCATTGGGCCCATCGTGTCTGTGCCAGCTCTTTGAAAATAGCCATCCAAATCAATCCCACTCCCCCGCGCTCTCCCCTTGTCCTCCCCTAAAAATTATCTACTTCTCTTAAAAGTTGTTATTGAATCAGGTTCCACCACCCTTTCAGGCAATACATTCCAGATCCGAACAACTTGCTGTGTGAAAAAAAATTCTCTTCACCTCCCATCTGCTTCTTTTAACAACTATTTTAAATCGGTGTCTTCGGGTTACCCACCCACCCACCAGTGGAAATAGTTTTTGCTTTGCATCCTTAAACAGTGAATTTACAGCTTTTGGTATGTGCTTCATTGTGCAAAGTGCATGAAGCTTGTGGCACATGGATTGGCTGAATGTGCTGCAGTTGTACTTTGGTGTGCAACTACAGCTGTTCTATTGTAGTTAGTTGCCAGCCACTACAATTCAGAGATGTCTATGCCAAATATCTGTGGTTGCTACAGATTTGAGTTCCATGTTTAATGGTTTTACTGCTCTCTGATGACTTAATTATTGTCACAATGCAAACTATTATTGTCATGGAATGTGATCAGAACTTCTCCCAATCCAGCAATCTGCTCAGTTGCCAAGTGGCCATGGGTGGGAAGGGGGGAGGGGGGGATAGCTATTTTATTCTAAGTTGAAGCCTTGACTTCGTCTTCATTTTGATGTGCAACAAAAACACACAAGACAAGTTCTTATTAAGAGAGTACATTGCTAACTATTTCAAACATAATTAGTGTTTGTGAACTGAACATGGTTATGATTGAATGGCAGCAGTTGTCCTGTTGTGTGGAATTAAGGGTTGTTGTTAATTTGAAGATTTCCATTTACTGCCATCGTTCCTTCCAATTCTTCTCTCTTTTGCGTTACTCTACATCTCGTATCTATTACTTTATATGTGTAACAAAATGGACATCCCTGAAAGGTTAACCTGTTTTTTTCATGAGCCTTGTTGTTAATCTTTCTGTTTTTGCTTCTCACGTTTGTTTTGTTTTATAATGGTGTATATTATTTCTAGGTCTGGCTACCCTGATGAGTCTGGGGATCTCTGCCCCCAATGCTGAATTCACTCAGATAGTAACCACCTTTGGCCTAGCTGGGATTGTGGGATATCATACAGTGTGGGGCGTCAAACCAGCTCTTCACTCACCGCTCATGTCAGTCACCAACGCCATCTCAGGTCGGTGTTATTCAATGGAACAGTGATCGTTTGTTTTAATGTGGGGAGAAAGGGAGTCTGTAAATTAGTGTATCATTCCATTGCGGGGAACATGGAAAGCAAAGATACGATTGATTTTTTTGAATCCATATTAGGCACTGGGATAATAAAATTGACTAAATTCTTTTAAAATTTGGGATTGAGACCTTGTACTTGTATAGTGCCAGGAGGAAACTGCAAGGAGGAGAGCGTTCCGGAGAGAAGGGCAAAGTCACTGAATACTAATAATCTTTCCATTTGATATAGCACCTTATCACGCCATCAAGATGGCTTTACAGGATATCCTTTAAAGTGGATTGACTGTATTTTGTGTTCTCTTCCACTAATGTTAAGAGGAAAAGAGATGTAGAGCAGGCCAGAGTTGGTGGAATGGAGGGAGTAGGACAACAAGAGATACTGATCACAGAGGTAGACTGGGGCTTGGGACCAGGAACATTTTAAAGTTAATTGAGGATCTTAGTCATCCTGCTAGGAGATGGGGAGGGAGCCAGTGAAGTCTTGTGAGGATGAGGGTGATATTCTTGCGAATCCTGGTATATAATAATAATAATCCTTGCATTTGATATAGCGCTTTTCACGTCAGGAGGATGTCCCAAAGCGCTTCACAGAATATACTGTAAAGTGAATTGACTGTATATTTGTGGGCGACAGTGGCAGCCAATTGCGCACAGCAATGTCCCACAAACAGTCGTAGATTGAAAATGACCAATTTATTATTGTTTTTGGTGTTGGAGGGATTATTATTAGGCTCTGTGTGGAGTAAGGAAACTTGCCCAAGGTTTCGCCCTCTGCCTGGAATTGAACTCAGGTCTCTCACTTGCAAAGCGAGTGCTCTAACCACTGAGCTACAGGACTCCACGGTATGGGAATAGATATAGGCTATGAAGTTTTGGTTGAGCTGTACACCAAATGACTCATGTTCATTCTGCAATACTGTAAAATTGGAAATGTTCTTGAGGCAAAGTGACTTTTTTTCAACATGTTCACCTTGTGTGACAATTTAGTTTATGTTATGAGGTAGGAATGTCTGCAGTCACAGGCTTGGTTTAGATGAAGAATGACCCTTAGAACCATTTAGTCTTACCCTTTCAGAATATCAACCATACTGTTCACCCACAGTCACTCTACTTTACAGTATATACTTGTGCTTTGAGATGTCCTCCCAATGTGAAAGGTGCTGTATCAAATGTAAGAATTATTTTTATTTCCCTGTAGCAGTATGAAGCAGTTTCTTGAAAAAGTCTAGTGTCCTGGCCAATATCATTCTTCACAGTAATTCATTCCAGCTGTTTTACTGTCTGTATTTCCATCTGTTGAGCAAGGCAATCTCCTTCTGTCCCAGTGAGGATGGCCGGGTGCAACACTCATTCAACAACTTTTGAATTATTGTAGCCTGGGGATGTTTTGTACATCCTGACAGGTTGCATGCTTACTTTTACATACCAAAAGATACTTGTAATCTGAGAAAATAACCAACATTACTCTAGCACCATATTTCCGGAGAAGCTTCAAGAATTTGCTTTCTTTTATTTCATGGGTATACTATAGTAATAATACTCCTTTCATTTGATATATCGCCTTCTCAATGACGTGCGCTTTACAGAGATGGTGGGAGTCTGGGCAGTGTGGGAGTTCAGCGGGGAAATATGAGAGCTTTCAGCCACTTTACACACTGCTCTTTCCGGAAATATCTAGGTGAGAAGTGGCTGAGGACGTAGTGAAAGAGATATAACAATAATAATCCTTGCATCTGATGTAGCACCTTAGATCTTCGAGACGTCTCAAAGCACTTCACAGAATATACTGTAAAGTGAATTGGCTGTATATTTTGTGGGCGAAACGCAGCAGCCAATTGTGCACAGCAGTGTTCCACAAATGTGTTTTGAAAACAGAGAGAGAGGGGGAGTGAGGAGGAGATATTTACAGAGAGGGCAAAGTGGCTGAAAGCTCTCATATTTCCTTCTCAAACTTTCCCTTCCAACTTCTCTTCTCCCCCCAATAGGTTTAACTGCAGTTGGAGGATTGGCCCTGATGGGGGGAAGTTATCTCCCGAGCAGCACTGCACATACCCTCGCTCTGATGGCAGCCTTCATCTCCTCCATTAACATTGCTGGTAAGAACTCCTTGGGACCCTTTTTCTTAAAGTGTTGATTCTTTCAAAAGCAAATTAGATAGATTTCTTTTAGGAAATAATATCTTGGGATACAGTATATAATTTGGTTCATGACATGTGCATGTGACTCCCAGGATGGTGGAAGGCAAACTGGATGGACCTTGGTCTTCTTTCATCTAGCAATTCTTATGTTGACAACAACCAAAAGATTTAGTGGTGAAGCTGTTTCTTTCAGTTGCATTAAATTCCCTGTGCTGAAGACAACTAAATGTTCCACTGATGATGTCCTACTTTAATTTTAATTTCTTTACCAGACAGATGATGTATACCACATACTGAGTAACCATCCAGGGGTATTGTATAAAGATAGTACCCAAGGGTGTTGTTTTTTTTAGTGTAGTGATTTTGGAAGGGAACGTAGAAATGTGTGCATAAACATGTTCACATAAATCACATTTCACATAAATTAAAATATGACATTTTAAGGGTTTGGGTCGTAACATATGATAGATACATTATTGATTCTCTCTCTCTCTCCTCCCCCCCCCCCCCCACATCTCATTTCCAAGGTTGGTGGAGGTGGAGGGTGGTGGGTACCGTTCAGAGTTTTGCCCCATCCGGCCTGCTGCATTGAGCATTTGGGAGTCCAAGCACTTATTGTCCGAGCAGCCTAAAAATCTGCTCCACTTGCTGGCTTGCAGGGTTAAGAGGAGCTGAGTGAGATGATTTCCTGCCCCCAGGGACTGGTCTACCCTTCCAAGTCCTGCCAATGAGCCAGACTGGCTGAGCTATCATCAGCAGTGTCCTGAAATACTGCGGACCCGCCTGTCTCAGGAACCGGTCTGCTGAGACAGCCACAGAGGGCCGGCTCGATTCTGACATTCCTTTGCCAAGCATGTCAGCTTGGTACAAGTTCAGCTCCAAAGAGATCCTGAGAGTCTACCAATGGGTAGAGCTAGAAAGAGAAAGTATAATTGCTGGAAATCGGAAGCAAGATCAGAAAATCCAAAGCAAGTTGATTGGCATCTGAATAAGTATATGAATCAGATGTTAACAAGCACAGTGGCTAAGTTTGCAGATGGCATGGCTGTGTAAATAAATCTTGGGGGTCGGATAAATTGCATCTGAAGATCCTTAAGTAACTAAGGGTGGAAGTCGCAGAAATGCTGGCATAAATCTTTCAAAACTCACTGAATACTGGAGAGGTGCCGGGGGACTGGAGAAAGGCAGATGTTACTCCTATTTTTAAGAAAGGTAACAAAAGTGACCCAGGAAAATACAGACCAGTAAGTTTGTTGTCCATTGTGGGTGAAATTATGGAGACTTATTAAGGATAAAATCATAGAGCATCTGGACAGAAATAAAATCATAAATAATAGCCAATATGGGTTCATGAAGGGAAGGTCTTGTCAATCTAATTTACTGGTTTTCTTTGACAGTGTGACAAGGGAACTTGATAAGGGTAAGACTGTAGATGTTGTATATTTGGATTTCAGTAAGGCCTTTGATACAGTTCCTCTTGAGAGGCTGGTACTGAAAGTAAAGAAAGCGGGAATCAGTGGAGGTAGATTACAATGCGTATGCAATTGGTTGGCTGGAATAACCCAGAGGGTTGGATGTCATCAGATTGAGAAAATGTTACCAGGAGAGTTCCACAAGATTCTGTTTTGGGACATCTTTTGTTTAATATTTTTATAAATGATCTGGAACTAGGACAGTCGCAAGCACAGTGGCTAAGTTTGCAGATGACACCAAGCTAATGAAGGTGGTAGATAGCGAAGCTGAACAAGATAGGTTACAGGAGGATTTGAACAAATGTGGGAATTGGGCAGATCGTTCGCAGATGAAATTCATTGTGGAGAAATGTAAAGTACTTCACATAAAAACAAAAAATCCTGGAAGGGACTATTATTTGAATGGAAGGAAAATAATATGTAAGGAAAATGAAAAGGACCTGGGGGTCCTGATTGACAATAAATTGAAGCTCTCCCAACACTCCTCTGTGGCAGTGAATACAGCAAACTACATGTTGGGATGTATCAAAAGATCAATAGCAAACCAAAATAGTGGGTAATCCTGCCATTCTATAAATTACTGGTGAGACCATACTTGCCACAGTACAAAAACGATATTGGAGAAATCGAGAAGATACAGAGGAGAGCAACCAAAATGATTGAGGGGATGGAAGGACTGGACTACGAAGAGTGACTAAGCAAATTGGGCATGTTGACACTGGAAAAGAGAAGATTGAGAGGTGACATGATTGCTGTCTTTAAGATTCTAAAGGGGCAAGACAAAATAGATGATGACAGTCCAGAACTTGTGCAGAATGGTAAAATCAGAGGACACGGCCTGCGATTGAAGGGGAGTAAATTCAGAATGAATCTACGCAAACACTACTTCAGTGAGCGAATAGTGAACCTGTGGAACAGGCTCCATAGGGAGATGGTTGAAGCAGGAAGTGTTGATTCTTTCAAACACGGGTTAAATAGTTTTCTTTTAGGAAATTATGTTATGGGACAGTACATAGGTAGTTTGGGACATATGTGCATGTGACCGCCAGGCGAACTAGATGGACCTTGGTCATTTTTCGTCTAGCATTTCTTATGTTCTTAACAGACCTGCAGTGCAATTCCAGAATTTCTGGCTTTATTTCTGCACTAATGGCTACCTTGCATCCAGCCAGCAGGAGGCGCAAGACTCACAGTGCCACAATTGTGTCCTGTATAGAGCTGCAGCTTAAGGACTAGGTGTGTGAACAGCAACTTGTATTCACGTGGGGTAGCATCTTAGAATACTAAAATGGATGCCATTCCAAGTAAAATGGTAAATAAAAGTTGTGCACTGATGAGATGCCTCTCCAACTCTGCTGTGATTATTTTTTCCATGCCTCTCCTTCAGGTGGGTTTATTGTCACTCAGAGGATGTTGGACATGTTTAAACGACCCACTGATCCTCCAGAGTACAACTACCTGTACCTACTGCCAGCTGCTACCTTTGTTGGAGGTTACGGGGTTGCTCTGAACAGCGGTTACTCTATTGAACAGGTGAGGAGGACGTCAGTGGATTCGATCCTTTAGGTCTGCTCTGACTCGTGTTGTTTACTGTGCTGATCCTTTCTGTTCTGTGTATAAATGGATATTAAGCCTACTTAACCTCTCGGCCTGACTTGGCTAAGACTCGGATTGGTGCTGTCTGTCACAGAGGACAGCAGAAGTGGCTCATGTGTCCTGGGGTTACTGCAGAGAATTCCACCCAGGTTCCAATATTGTTAACAATTGCATAATAACGTGCAGTGGAAAGCTGGACTGGGGGGTTCCTCATGCTAGCCGGGGAGAGTGGGGGAGACACAAGATTGAGAATAAAGGAGAGACGCAGAAAAAGTTTGCTGTTTACAAAAATAAAGCCACAAACTGTCATGATATGCTTTAAAAGCAGCAGCAATTACACACAGCAGTGTCCCACAAGCAGTTGTTTGTGTTTGTATATTCTTCACAGAATATACTTTACAGTATATTCTGTGAAGCGCTTTGGGACATCTCGAAGATGTGTTAAGGTGCTATATCAAATGCAAAGATTACATTATTTATTACTATAATTTGAACCCTAAATCGCTAAAATAAATGCAACACCCCCTAACTTGAAAACTAATATTTAAATATTTTTACTGTGCTCATTTCATCCCTTCTTTCCATTCCACTTTCCCCTTCTTTCTTGTTCTCTGTGACCTGTTATTTAATGTTTTCTTTTATCTGTCTATTCTTCCTCTTGTTTTGTTTCTAACTATTTCTACTTGTAAACCTACTTTTTCTCACCTTTGTTTTTCTCTCCTCCAGCTTGGAAGCATCTTTTTTTTTCAAAGTAAATTTTATTGGCTCTAATGAAAACCTTATAAGGCAGATGATTGACAGCTTCGCCCACATCAACATCCTTATCTATCTTCATACGTGAGACTAGCAGAAAGCTGAGAGTGGAAGCCAATCTGGACTGTGCACATCGGCAGTACTCTGGGAAAGAATGTGTCCCAATGTAAATATACCTTTGTAGTGCTCTAAAGGTTAACATAATTCACAGAATCATAGAATCCTACAGCACAGAAGGATTCAGCCCATTGTGCCTATGCCGGCTCTTCGAAAGAACTATACAATTAAAGGGCAGCTCTGGTGAATTCCCTCTGTTCATTGTTTCAACAACAACAACAACTTGGATTTATATAGCGCCCTCCACGCCAGACGGTGTCTCAGAGCGCTTCTCAGTAACGGATCCCGGGGCTGAGCCAGGGGGAGGGGGAGGAAGGTGACCAAAGGCGCGGTCGAAAAGAAAGGTCTTCAGCAGAGACCTGAAAATAGGAAGAGAGGGGGCGAGGTGAAGGGAGTGAGGAAGGGAGTTCCAGAGCCTCAGGGCATAGTGACTGAAGGCACGGCCACTGAGGGTGGAGCGGAGGACTCGGGGGACAAGGAGGAGGCCAGACCCGGAGGAACGAAGGCAATGGGCACTGTTTTGAGGAGAGAGGAGGTCAGAGAGGTAGGGGGGTGCAGAGGAGTGGAGGGATTTGAAAACAAGGGTGAGGATCTTGAAGTCGATCCTCTCTGGGACAGGCAGCCAGTGCAGTCTGGCGAGGAATTTCAGAGGAATGACTTGGGGCAATGCGATCCACTTACAGGGGATTGGTCTCTAGAAGCAAACAACAATTTTGATTTAGTGACTAAATAACTAGTAAACGTTTGGGTGGATGGGAATAGGAGTTACACTTCCGTGGTTGCACTCTAAAGAGTAAATGCACAATGAGGAGATCCCTTCAGTGTGAATCAACTGAATGTATTGACTTCTCTGAAGAGATAAACGCAAGGTTCCCATGACTAGCATTATTTCATTAATGAATGGATTAAAGAAAATGTACTGATGATTCAATCTCTAGATTGTAACCCTGTTTGGTACTTTTTCTGTATGTTTAGATTCTCTTGTCAGTAGCTTCACACAGAAAAGAGGCACAAGAGTTTCTTGAGACTTGAGTTTTGGTAGTGAAAACAAGTCCACAAAAGAGCTCATGTTTGAAATGTAAATTCAGCGTTAAAGGTGATGTATTTCGGGAAAATCTCTTGTTGGAGGCTGGTGATCTCCCAGATTGGAACATAGATGGGGAGGAATTCCAACTGGACTTTGATTTACTTTATTTATTCATAGAATCCTAAAGCACAAGAGAAGGCCATTTGGCCTATCGTGCCTGTGCTCGTTGAAAGAGCTATCCAACTAGTCCCACTCCCCTGCTCTTTCCCCATTGCCTTGCAAATTGTTTCTTTTCAAGTAAATATCCAATTTCCCTTTGAAGTGCCCAGAATTGATGGATTCAGTCTGAACTTTGAAGTCTGGATTCGGTCGATCTTAAAAGAATTTGGTGAAAACCTGCTTCAAAATGAAGCCTGCATTTAAGAATTTGCCAACTTTTGGACACTCTGAAGCTCTACCTGAATAGCTTAAATCTATTTCTACCCCAGGGTGATCAGGCAGTAAATAACTTAAAGTGGCCATTATTCCAACAACTTTGAACACAATTTACAAAAAAAAATCATTTTGATGCAGATCTTCTTTTCATATTCAAAAAATGTGACCTCGTTCAAAAAGAAATATTAGTGTTTGGGAGCATCCAATGACAGAGAAAGATGTCTAAAAGCGATGCGACTGTGTGAAAATCTCATTTGAAAAAGGTGCATTACTAAATTTTGTTCGAATGTCTGCAAATTCTTTTCCTTTAGACTTGTAATTATATTCATCTGTAAAATATACTTCACAGTAATTCCTGTGAAACTGCATCAAATATAAGGTTATAATATTTACATACCCTTGATATTCAGAAGCATAATAACAACAGAAAACAGAAAATTATATTTGTATAGGGTCTTTCAAGTCGGGAGGGCGTCTCAAGGCGCTGGACAGATAGGGATCTGGAAATATTTATAATAGACATGTTTTCATAGTTCTCACCTGGAACAGCTAAAAAGTTGGTGGTAAGTTATGAAGTAATACGAGATGGCTTTACAATATCTAAAATTAAATTGAATACGTTTTGCGTTTTTTAGGGGCAATTGGTGTGTGAAGGAGTTGTATTTAATAATGTATTTTTTTTTTCCGCCCCATCAGATGATGTATCTTGGGTCAGGTCTGTGCTGTGTTGGAGCTCTGGCTGGGCTGTCGACTCAAAAGACTGCGCGTCTCGGCAATAGTTTGGGGATGATTGGTGTGGCAGGAGGTATTGCTGCTACCCTCGGGGGTCTCAAACCCTCTCCTGAACTCTTGGCTCAGATGTCTGGTGCCATGGCTGTTGGTGGGACAGTTGGTGAGTATATACATGCCGGGCAGGGCTTGTGTCTCTTCCTATGTTAAAGTTACTTTAAAATCATAACCACACCTTGTATGAGTATAGCACATAACATAACACCTTTTTGTGTAGGATAATGCCTCAGGTGCCTTGTAGGGATGGTGTAAGCAAAGTGGGATGATGGGTGTGGAGGGAAGAAGTAGGAGGGAGATAATCAAAGAGGGAGGGTTTTTCGAAGGGATTTGAAGATGGGGAGGGAAAGTGTGAGGTGGAAAGATTTTAGGAGGTCATTCAGAGAGCAAGGCATTGACCAGAATAAGTCGCGATAAGTAGGCACTGCTGAGGTCCGAGCTGTCTTGTAGGAGGAGGGGAAAGAAAGGAAACAATAACATAATGACGTGTACTTCAGAGCATAACTCAACAACAGACACCACTCTCATTCTCCCATTTCTACTCTTGCTGTTTTCTTGCTAAACCTGATCACTTATGACCTGTTGCAGTCCGTCACTCCCCTCGTTTTCTCCTTGAACATTTTGTGCTTTGCCCCTTTTGATCTGTGGGCTTCGGATCAGCTTTCTAACCATCGTGTCCACAGTGTTACCTCAAGAACGACCTCTGCTGTTCCCACCAACTGCTACAGAGCGACTTTGCTTGTTAAGTGAAGCTTAAAAACTTAATTAGAAATTACTGAAAACCACTCAGGTCCTTATCTATTGTGAGCCAATTTTGAACTTTCTCAAAGTTGTTTAAAGCAATTGTAGTTACCGTGGATAGCCAAGTAATCACTTTTGGCAGCTTGGGAGAAAACAAAATAGTTTCATGAGTGAAATAGCTTACTTATCGCAGCGTGCTAGGCTGTTGGAGTGAACAAGGAAATATTTGAAAATAGATCAAACTTGTTTGCAAAGGGAACTTGACTTTATCTGTCTTCCTGATTGGGTTCGTCTGTAAGGGGTTGTGCTCGTGCGTATTTATGTGTTTTCATTGTTAATTTTTTTTTCTCTCACTAAATTCTCCCACAGGACTGGGCATTGCGAAGCGTATCCAGATCTCTGACCTTCCCCAGCTGGTCGCTGCCTTCCACAGTTTAGTCGGTCTAGCTGCTGTGCTTACCTGTGTAGCAGAGTATATGGTGGAATACCCCCACTTTGACACAAACCCTGCAGCCAATCTCATCAAGATTATAGCCTACCTCGGCACCTACATCGGCGGGGTAACCTTCAGTGGCTCTCTCGTTGCTTATGGCAAATTGCAAGGTGAGTTCTTAAGAGACGTCACATTTTAAATGTATGTACGTTGTACCGTCCTTCAGAAGAAAATTGAGTTAACGGATATTTGAAGAAAAAGCAAAAAGAGATCAGATAGTGGAGTCAAATTCTCAGGTAAACTTTAGTTGTTGTATATTTGATCTATGTCGATGAGGTATTGCAAGGTCTTGTACTTTGTCTGTTGCATTTTATATTGGTATTTTTCTGAGATATGGGTACTTTAGGCTGAATGTGGACTGATAAACAACTTGGCTTCAAAAGATGCATGATGTTGCACTTAGGATATATGCTGAAACCAATTGATAATGCTGAAGCAGTTGGGGGAGGTGGGAGTGAGAAGAGAAGTGACAATATTGAAGCTCATCTTAATTGTTTTTTTCCATGCTGAAAGCCACAGTTGGTTTCTGAGCTGATTTTTAGACCTCGACTAGCAGTAAAATTAAACAAGTACAAAAAATGTTGGTTTTTGACTTCATGAAGGCAATCTTAGCCACCTGCAAGAACAAATTGGATGTTGAAACTGATTATATTGTATGTTTCAGATGGAGGTTCCCAACTGCAGAATTTAGCAGACTAACATACTCTCCTTTTCTTTCTTTCTCATTTTTTCTCTCATGTGTGCACTCACCTTTTTCTCCCCTTACCTGTTTTGTAAGAAAGCTGTTTGAACACCTAGAGGTACAATCAGAGAGTTGGGTAGCATTGACTTTGTGTTGTAACATACTATCTATCAGGCTTGAATTCAAGATCGTCATCCTCACCTACAAGGCCATTCACGGCCTTGCTCCCTCCTACCTCTCCGACCTACTAGCCCCTCTACTTACCTGCCCGTACCCTCCGTTCCTCTGGCTCTGGTCTGCTCCACGTACCCCGCCCTAACCGCCCTACCATCGGTGGCCTAGGCTCTGGAACTCCATCCCCCAGTACCTTCGCCTTGCCTCCTCCCTTTCCTCCTTCAAGGCCGGTCTCAAGACCTTTCTCTTCAGCTGTGCCTTCAGCTCTCCTCTCTACCCCCTCCTCGCTCCCTCCCTTCCCTCCCCTCACCCTGACCATTTCCCCCCTGCTCGGGTCCCGACCCAACTGTCCAGCTCCTTGGGACGTCCTCCCGACGTGAAAGGCGCTCTATAAATGCAATCTTGTTGTTGTTGTTATTACATATTATTACATACATATATTTCAGCGCCTTGGGACATCCCTCCAAGGTCTTGTCAATACTACATCTGCAACTGCTGCTCAATGTGCTAAATTCATACTATGTTTGTTCTCAAACTGATACAGCCCACAGCCTGTAAATCTTTTGCAGCAATCAGATTCGGGCACTCTTTTTGATATATAAATCTCAGCAATTTTTGCACAGAGGCCTTAACATTTATAATTTATTTATTTGGGTAAACATTCAAAGTAGAAGAGTGTGGTGAGGAAGAGGAGGGAATCAGGGCATGCCCAGAAGTGAGGAGCCCTCAAGTTAAAAGCAACCCAGTGTCTGTTTTTCTGATAAGTGTGTTCCTGTGGCATGACGTGTTAAATGTTTACGTCGTTCAAATCTGAATGGGCATCTTTGGTAACTCAGGCAGAATTGGAAGTGTATTTATCCCCCATCCCATCCCCCACGGGTGTGGCGGTCATAGCTGGACAGTGAGTGTGCTGTGCAGTTAACTTGTTTTATTTTATAGAATGTAGATTGAAAAGTGTTTGTTGCTGACAAACCGTGACCATTTGTACCAAACTATCATACGGGAGATCGAAAGCACGGTCGAAGAGGATAGTCTTGAGGTGGGTCTTGAAAGGGGTGAGATGGTGAGACTGCAGGATGGAGTTTCAGAGGGTGGGTACAGAGTGACAGAAGCCCCGTCCGCCAATAGTAGGACGAGCAAGGCGGGGACGTGAAGCAGACCAGAGCCCGCTGAGCGGAGGGAATGAACAGGATGGTAGGGTAAAACATTAAGATGACCAGGACCAGTAGTTATTTGAACTGACTGATCACTTTTGTTTTCTTTTGCTGTTGCAGGTATTTTGAATTCGGCCCCAGTCCATATACCAGGCCGTCATGTTCTGAATGCAGGTTTGATGGCAGCCAGCGTCGGAGGAATTATTCCATATATGATGGACCCGAGCTATACAACTGGTATCACTTGTTTGGGTTCAGTGTCTGCTCTTTCTGCTGTTATGGTACGTGTCGTACCAGACACTGGGCACTTGGGGTACAGTTTTGTGTTTGTTTTTGTACGAGGTGATTCAGTCATAACGCGGGGATTTGAATCCATAAAATTTAGATGCATTGTTGTAACGCATCAATGAAAAAAATGGCTGCCGGTTCCATTTCCGGTCATCAAGCTGCCTCTTCTTGCACAGGAAGCCGCAGCCCAGCTAGGCCCGGCCCAGCGAGAGTTTCTAGACATTTAGTGGCACAGAATTAGACTTTTTTTTTAAACTTCTTTGGATTCCACACGTTTTAAGTTTTTTGTGTTGTGATGTTGCTGGTATCTCTCTGCAATTCATCAATTATTCAATTATTCTCCTCTCCTGTAGGGAGTGACTCTGACAGCTGCTATTGGTGGTGCTGACATGCCTGTGGTCATCACTGTGCTGAACAGTTATTCAGGCTGGGCCCTGTGCGCAGAAGGGTTCCTGCTCAACAACAATCTGCTGACTGTCGTTGGTGCCCTGATCGGCTCTTCTGGTGCCATCCTCTCCTACATCATGTGTGTGGTAAGGGATGGATTTCTTTCATTTCAGTTGCAAGCAACAACACTGCTGTCTCGAGGCTGCAATCAGTCGCTTGGTTGAGTACTTCTTGAATTTCAGGATTTTCCTTCCTTTTCCCAAGATGTTGACGATGATAATCCTTGCATTTGGTATAACACGTTTTACGTCAGGACATCTCAGGGTGATTCACAGGATCTCAACAGTTGTGGGTGTGAATTATGTTGCCAATTGAACAAGGCAGCCAATTTGTACACAACAATGTCCCACAATCAGCCATGGAGTGAATGACCAACTTCATCTGGAAGAGGATTGTTAACCATAATCCTAGGAGAAACTTCCTTGTCTTTCAAGAAATGACCTGGGATCTTTAACATCCACCAACAAAACAAGTAGATGGGACCTCAGTTAACAATCTCTTGACAGACTTAACAGGAGCCGAATGGGAAGAATCCCTGCTCCCAATGACTGGTTTGCCCCTCCAAATCCTGCCAACGTACCAGGCTGGCTGATCTGTCATCAGCAGTTCCCTGATATACTGTGGATTTGCCTGGCTCAGGAACCAGATTACCAAGACCACCAGAGAGGGGTTATCCGATTCTGACATTCCATTGCCAATCATGTCAGCTTCGAGCTACCTCTTCTCTTCCCTTTCCCCTCCATGTGGGGTGCTTTGCATTAGGTTTATCTTACATCCTAACCTAATTGTTTCATTGTCAAGGTGCTATTATTTTTTTAAATTTCCCAGTAGATGCATTTTCATCTCCACTGACACATGAAATTAGTCATTCACTTAATGGCTGTGTGTGGGGCATTGCTGTGTGCAACACTCTTCCTCTATCCCTCTGCCTTGCCCCTTCCTTCCCCATCTTCAGGTCATGTCTGAAGACCTTCTTCTTCGACCATGCCTACGGTCACACCCCCTCCCCCTATCGTTGTGTTCCTTCACTGTCGAGAGCTCTGGGACGCTATCCTGCGTGAGGGGCACTGCATAAATGCAAGTAGTTGTTGTTGCAAAATAGTCACTGCGTTCACTTGCAAAATACAGTTGACCACTTTATGGTAAAGTCCTGTGAAGGGTTTTGAGACTTCTTGACGACGTGAAAGGATCAAGTGCAAGGATTATTATTATGAGCTGCTTGTTTATTGCAGTTGTGCAGAACAGCCACAGGGAGGCGTGCTTTTGTTGCTTTACCAAGGTCAGGTCAATCACCTTGTAATGTCCTCTCATTTTCACCCACTCGCCAAATTCTCATCAAGCACAAGGCATTTTGGTGTGATATCACAAGCAAAAAGCACCTTTATAAAACAAAGGGAACAAAATAGTTTTTTTTGTGTTTGTTTGTTTGTAGGCCATGAACCGCTCTTTAACCAATGTGATCCTTGGAGGCTATGGTACCTCAACTACTGGTGGTGGTAAACCAATGGCGATCACTGGCACCCACTCGGAAGTTAACTTGGACCAGACAGTTGAAATGATTAAAGAAGCCAACAGCATTATCATCACTCCAGGTCAGCGCTTAGATAAGAAGTCAACTTCAATTCTGGTCAAAATGTGTTCATCATACTTTTAAAAGGAAACTTTGGATTTAGTGTTGCTTCAGATGGCTTTGAATTTATGTGGTCAACAACCTTGCTTGTTGCTTGGTTGACTTCCATATTGCAACATGTTGTCTGTCTTCTTTTTGCATAAAGTTGCCGTGTGAAACCATGCTTGAGACCTTTCTAAGAATTATTTATTTTGTATTTAAAAAAATGCACACAGCATTAACCATGTTGGATTTGGCACATTTCCTTCTCTGTTAAGGCTTATTTATGTGTGTGTGTGTGTGTATGTTTTTTTGAATAAAATATCTTCTGATTTTTATTTAGCTAGTGTTCTCTTTTGGCATGTAAAAATACAAAGATGTTAATAATGACCGATGGGACTTTTGGCACAAACAGATTGTATACAAAAATGCAAAATGAAAAGCAACTATGTAAACTGTTTTCATAGTTGTGAAATTTGTTATTAATCCTATGTTTAAGGATGAACAAGGATTACTCTTCTTACTGCAGAGAAGGTTAAGTGGAGATTTAATCCCAATTATGAGGGATTTTGATAGCGAAGGAGAAACTGTTTCTAATGGGTCGGTAACTCTTTGATCTTTCAAAGAGCTGGCTCAGGCACGGTGGACCGAATGGCCTCCTTCTGTGCTGTAAGATTCTATGAACCATTGGACACAGATTTAAGATAATTGGCAAAAGAACTAGAGGGGAGATGAGGAGAGTTTTTTTTTTTACATATTGAGTTGTTATGATCTGGAATGCACTGCCTGAAAGGGTGGTGGAAGCCGATTTAATAATAACTTTCAAAAGAGAATTGGATATATACTTGAAAAAGGAAAAATTGCCAGGCTCTGAGGAAAGAGTGGAACTAATTGATTAGCTCTTTCCACAGCCACAATGGGCCGAATGGCCCTCACTGTGCTATAAACTTCTATGATTTAATTTAGTAATGAGTTTTTAAAAGACCAGTTATTCAAGTAAATTGAAATTGTGTAGTAGTGCTCAGTTTCTAAAAAAAATCCCTTATATTTAGTGACTGATCCTAAATTATTTGCCCACAAATATAGTCACTAGACTTTTACAATATATACTGTGAAGCACTTTCAGACATCCTCCTGATTTGAAAGGCTCTACACCAAATGCAAGGATAATTACATATTATTTTCTTCTTACAGGTTATGGGCTTTGTGCTGCCAAGGCTCAGTACCCCATTGCTGAACTTGTCCAACTTCTAATAAAACAAGGAAAGAACGTTCGGTATGTACCATCCAGATTAAATATTTAGTTTATTAACAATTGATAGGTTATTTTCCACATTTGTTGTGCAGTCATTCTATTCCAGACACAGGAGAGATTTCCATGTGTATGTGCCATAACGTATGTAGAACTTTGTCTGGTTTGGATACTCTTTAAGTATGGTGATGTGTTTCTGCATGTGTCAGACCAAAAAAAGCCAGCCACGCACTCCAGTTATAATGTCTGGCAGATTCAAACCATGTTTGATAGCCAGGCTTCCATATGATAAGGGAGTACAGAGTAGTATTGTGGTAGCTGGTGCAGAAGCCAATTCTGAGCCTGACACATTTACGTCCAACTCTTGGTATTCATTGCGCAATCAGAATCTGTGCACGTCCTCAGACATTTTATTCAATCGAAAACTAATGAATGTCATAGAAAGACCTGGTGGTGTTTGGATAAAGTTCCTTGTAATATTACTTACTACAACATCTGTCTTGTGCAGAGCAAAGCAGCATGTTCACAGACTACCGCCCAGCAGTGCTTTGAGTTTTGGTGGCTACTTTACCTGCTATAATTGTTGTACATTTACAACCACACTCCGGATGTAACAGTTGTTAATATTTGTGAGTTTCCCAGAAGAATACAAGCTGGCTGAATGAAAATTTGTATTCCAGACCTTTTATTTGATTAGTGCCTTCAAATATTTTGTTTTTGTACTGTGCAGACCAGTGTTCTGTCAAATTTCGAAATGCGTGCGTGCGATAAAGTACCTGCACCACATTTATAGGAATTGCAGTCAATTTTTTTAAAAAAAATCTGGCCTGTGAGCATCTGCAGCACATTAGAAGCATTTGAGCAGAAAACCTTGAGTGTATTGGTTTGTGCTCATCCCTGTTAGCTTTGTTATTAAATCATCCAACCTGCAAAGTATTAATGATGCCCCAATAACTCATTAGATCAAAGAGATACAAAGGTCCCCCTATTGTTAAAGACTGTCAAAATTTGTTACAATGCTTTTCTGCTATGAAATAAATTTTCCGTCAGTATTCTTCACCCCATTGTTGAAACGTGTTAGAGAGCTATTTGTTTTAAAAGTAATGAAACTGTCTTATTTCTGAAAGAGTACACAGCTCTCTTACTTCATTTAGGGCCTTCATTGTAGTTGTAACAGAACCAAATCTGTTTTTTCCTGTGCTTTTTCAAAGTATTTAAAAACACTGTTGATTTTTGGACAGTGTTTTCCATCCCCCTAAGTCGAATCTTCTCTCCCCCTGCCCCTCCACTACCCATTGTTTTTTAAAAAAAGAAAAAATCCAAATTATTCCTGGAACAAGAGTATGAAATATACTGGTGTGTAATCTACACAAAGAACACTAAATCTTGGTAAACTGTTGTGCTATAAATCTTATTAATACCTTTTTGTCAACGCATGGTTGCTATCCATCCACTGGCGGACAGTACTCCATCCATCTGAAATGAATCTGAACTAAATGCCACAAGTACAATTCTAAAGCTGATCTGTTTCCAAGTCAGTTCCAGAGACGATGGAGGAATCTGCCAGTCAGGACAAGGATTTTAAAGGCCATCTGCTGAGGTGGCTGGGAGCCAGTGTACCATGACAAGTCAGTGTATGGAGCTTAGCTTATAAGAGAACTTGAGATGGAGGTAGCGAGCCGGGGAGGAAGGAGGGCATTGGAAAAGTCTCTGTCCTCAAAGTGATAAAGACACAAAAGGCAATTAAGATTTCAGCCTAATTGGGAGGGGTGGGGGGTGGCTGAATTGGCTCCAAGGTGATGTATCTAACAGTGGGATATTAGAACCAAGTTTGACTTTGTAGGTTGTCGAGTTTTTGAGTCGGGGTGGTCCGCAGTATTCCAAGGCACTATTCATGACAAATCATCCAGCCTTGCTTATTGGCAGGACTTGCAGGGTCAGACCAGTCACTTGGAGCAAGGATTCCTTCCACTCAGCTCCTGTTAAACTGGCAAACCAAACTTCTAATGGTTCAGGTGGTTCTGGCTGGTCAAGCAGCCAGAGGCTTGCCAAACAGTGCTCTTTAATGGCAAGATCTGTGGTTATAACTGATAGCTGTATCCTGAAGCACGCTCTGAGGTCCCCGATCCTAGGCTCTTGGCGAAACTGCGCCTAATACTTTCCTGAAATGGGTAAGCAGGGTGTGTCCCTCCTGGTATTCCATTCCAAACCTAGGGAATTTTTGGTAATTTGAGCGACCGGCAGATTTTTCACCCAAATAAGAAAGCAAGACCTTCCCTGAACTCTTCTGGTTGTTCTTCCCCTTGTTCCCAGGTTTGGGATCCATCCTGTTGCAGGCCGTATGCCTGGCCAGCTGAACGTATTACTTGCTGAAGCTGGAGTTCCTTATGACATTGTGCTGGAAATGGATGAAATCAATGCAGACTTTTCAGGTAAGAATTTCACAAGAGAAAAAAGTTTTCTCGATGAGTCTCTTGTGTTCAGCCATCATGTCGGAGCCTTTACATCAAAGCTTTTAAACTCAACAAACAGACAAACAACAGCAACAAAATTACATTTGTATAGCGCCTTTCACGTTGGGAGGACGTCCCAAGGTGCTGGACAGACAGAATTGCGGACCTGAGCTGGGGGGTCAGGGTGGGGGAGGGTGGAGGGCAGGGGCGGAAAGCAGGGAGATCGAAAGCACGATTGAAGAGGATGGTCTTGAGGTGGGTCTTGAAGTGCCGAGGGAGGGGACGAGATCGAGGGACTGAGCCAATCAGGAGCCTCGGTCTTGTTGACGTTCAACTGAAGAAAGTTAGCTCTCATCCAGCCATTCAGTCAGGACAGCAGTGCTGAAGTTACTGTTATAGTTACCCTTGCAAAATGCAACAACTTCTCAATGACCATGAGCTATGCAGTGTGACTAGAATTGCAGGATTACCGTAGGAAATGCTTGTAATTTGAGTTAGAACATAAGAATTTGCCAGGCAAAAGACCGAGGTCCATCAAGTTCGCCTTCCAACCATCCTGGCAGTCGCATGCACATGTCATGTGTCCTGTATCCCAAGATATTATTTCCTGAAGGAAATCTATCTAATTTGTTATTGAAACAATCTACACTTACTGCTCTGTTAATTTACTAATTTCTTTCAAATTTGATGCAGAATGACTGAACCCTGAAAGACTTGAGGGCTAAGAACATGTCTTGCGCTGTGTGAATTATACTCTGGTTAGCTGTGGCTCACTACAGCAGCTGTCACATGTAATTTGAGTTCTCTAGTGCCTTTCAAGATGCACTAAACCATTTAGTATTTTTTTTGAGGGGGGGGTGGAGTTGAGTGACTTCAGTTTTGTGGTTTCATAGGCATTTTTATTTGCATATTTCCCGAGCTGAACTTTTTTGAAAACATTTTTATTTTTGTGAGTAATCTGATAGGTCAAACTTTATTAACTTTGGGAAACTTTTATTAGGCCTGTGCAAAAAATGTCAAACTAGCATATTTAAAAATGCATTTGGCTGAATTCTTGGCTATGCATTTCTCTCTCAGTTGTGAATTATGGCCATATAGTACAGTTAGTTTTTTTGGACTGACGCATATGGTTGTAAATTAAAACTTGGGAGACACAGCTATAGTTCCCTACTCAGTGCTTAGTCAGTCTGTCTGATACATACAAATCTCTTAGTAGGACAATACAATAAACAACAACAACAAATTGCATTTATAGAGCGCCTTTCACGTTGGGAGTACGTCTCAAGGCGCTCTTAACACTCGAGCGATTGGCAAAACTGTCACTTTATTCCATTCCATTCTTATTCTGTACATATTGCAGTTTGTCCAGGGAATTAATTTGATACCTGATCATTTTCGACAATAGATAAACATACCCATTAACAAGCTTCTTCTGCAATTATTCATCAAGTCATGACTACTTTGTGCTGTACCAGTAATGGGATAAATAATAATAATAAAAATAATAGTAGTATAATAACCTTGCATTTCATACAGCACTAGCTTGGTGGAATGTCTTGAAGCACTTCACATTAATTCCTGTCAAGTGTAGTAACTGTGTGTTTGTAGGCAGACTCAGCAAATAATTTACCCACAGCAATGTCCCACAAACATTGAGGAGGTGAAACACTAATATTATCTGGTGGATTGTCAGTTAAGATACTGGGAGAAACTCCCTTCTCTTTTTGAATAGTGTCATAGGGTTCTTTTAACATTCACCTGAACAGACAGGTATGATCTCAATTTAATGTCCCATCTGAAGGACGACACCTCTGACACTTCCAACACTCCCTCAACACTAAACTGAAGTGTTAGCCTAGGCCATGAGCTCAAAGTCCTGATCTCAAAGTCCTGAGGCAAGAATTACCCGCTCTCCCCCCCCCCCTTTTTTGCTCTGGTCCTAATCCCTGACTGTTCAGCGCCTTGGGGACGTCCTCCCAATGTGAAAGGCGCTTTACAAATGTCATTTTGTTGTTGTATTGTACCAACTGAGTCAGGCTTATTGTGTGGAACCATCATTGTGAATATTAGAAACATAGGAACTGACGTCGGCCATTCAGCCTCTCGAGCCTGTTCCGCCATTCTATTAAATCTTGTCTGATCTGTACCTCAAATCCATTTACGCGTCTTTGCTCCATATCCCTTAATACCCTTACCTAACAAAATTCTATCCACCTCAGTCTTGAAAATTTCAATTGATCCAGCATCCACAGCTTTTTGGGTGAGAGAGTTCCAGATTTCCACCACCTTTTGTGGGGAAAAAGTGCTTGTTGATTTCACTCCTAAATGACCTAGCTTTAAGTTTAAGATTATGCTCCCTTGTTTTGGATTCCTCCACCAGATATTCTTAAAGATAACATGCGTATAGGTGGTTGTTGCTTAAAGGACTGGTGGTTAATCTTGAATTATTTTCCTGTTGCAGACACTGACCTAGTTTTGGTTATTGGAGCAAATGATACCGTCAACTCCGCAGCGCAGGAAGATCCAAATTCAATTATCGCTGGAATGCCAGTTCTGGAGGTTTGGAAATCTAAACAGGTGAGTAAAGGAGGCAGGGGACCTTCCTGAGAGGACAGTTGCTCATTAATTTGTCACTATCAGTAATAGTCCCATTGTACAACCTGTAACAACAACAGTGGAGGAGAACGAAATTCATTCATACCTGTCAAAATAATATTTATGTTCTGATTTGAATACCAACATTTCCAAAAGTATCTGCGGAAAACCTTGGCACAGCTTCTCCAGAAAGCCCAACAACCCAAACCAACACTCGCTAAATAAAGGATCTTCACCAGATGTTCCCATCATAATCCAACTACAATTTAATATCCGTCCTTGAGCATTCTAATAATAATAATAATCCTTGCATTTGATATAGCGCTTTTCACGTCGGGAGGACGTCCCAACGCGCTTCACAGAATATACTGTAACATGAATTGACTGTATATTTGTGGGAGAACGCGGCAGTCAATTGCGCACAGCAACGTCCCACAAACAGTCGTAGATTGAAAATGACCAATTTATTATTGTTTTTTTTTGGTTTTTGGAGGGATTATTATTAGGCTCTGTGTGGAGTAAGGAAACTTGCCCAAGGTTTCGCCCTCTGCCTGGAATTGAACTCAGGTCTCTCACTTGCAAAGCGAGTGCTCTAACCACTGAGCTACAGGACTCCACAATTCTGTAAATTGATGAAAGTTTCCCAAATATTTGGTGTCTTTAGTAGGCAAGTCTGCGGTTCCTAGAATTGTTTTTGAGGATTCCATGTGCAAACAACACCACAGCTTTCAGCAAATGGGAACTCAATACATGAATGCATGAGAGGCAGTGGGAGCGCTTTAACCCTTAGCTTTAGTTTGTGCTCAATCAGTTTATGACTGGAGTCCACAAACAGGACATCTAAGTCTGAGCTTCAGTAAGCAGGTTCATCCTTCAAATCAACTTTCTCATCTTCAGTGTCCAGGCACAGCCGTTGTTGACAGGTTATTTGATTTCATGAACTGGAAAATTACTTTTTAAAAATGCTTGATAGCGTTTACCCTTTCTCTTGAGAGAGAGAGAAAAATCTATTCATTTAATTATTGCAGACTAACTGGTTTGGCTTAATTTGCTTGGGCATGATTTTTGCCAGTCAGTAATGCTATTTGAGCTTCAAATCAAACTCAGATCAACACATCTATGATGTTTTAGGATCTGAGGGTGGAGGTGTTGCTCTTGGAGCCTATCCAGACTTGCCCTAATTTCAAAGGGTGCAAAGGGTTGTGACAAAATTGATCTTTCAGTCACAAAGCAATTTGAGTTGTAACCTACAGCTGTGCTGAACTTAATCCAGTCATCTTTGAGGGTAAAGAGATTTTCTTAACTTTAGGAAGCTTTGTGTAAAATAAGGTCATGTCTGTCTTGATGGGTTTCACAGTTACTGTGGTCAAAATGAGATTATTTATTTGGATAAGGCTGTATCTTAAATGCAAATGCCACATTGTATGGCCCCTTTTCCTCCTGTTTCTGTGTTTTCCCTCACCCCCCCTCCCCATCCCGGTGGGGGTATAAATATTAGATGCATTATGTCAGATTGGGTCATTGAAAAATAAATAAGCAAATGTTTAACAAAAACGTGATTGATTTTTTGGCGCCTGCTTTCAGGCAGGATTAATTGGACACTGCTGGGATTAATAGCCTTTCGTGCACAAATAATTCCATTGCCATTATAAAAAATTGTTGTGCACAGTATATCAATGTCTGCTACCCACCTTTAGTTTCTGTGCTATTTCACATCAACAAGGATTTGTCCAATGAGTTTTTGGAAAAAAAACCTGGCATTGCTGATACTAATGAATCAAAAATTGCCTTGTGTTTCGCAGGTTATTGTGATGAAGAGATCTCTGGGCGTTGGCTATGCTGCTGTTGACAATCCAATCTTTTACAAACCCAACACTTCCATGCTTTTGGGCGATGCTAAGAAGACTTGTGATGCACTCCACGGAAAAGTCAGGGAGTCAGCTGAATAATGCTAAATACAAGAGAATGTTTGGCACTTAGTGGTTTATTTTGAACTAATCAGTGTTAATTGAAAGCAAATGGTTAGCAATAACTAAATCCAGAACTTAAATTCTTTGGCAAATAATTCTTTGAGAAAGGTGGCATTCACGCAGACTTATGCATCATTATCCCCAACATTTTTTTTGTACTCTTTCTCCCCTTTTTTTCCTTGAAGTGTGGCAATCGTACTATTGATAATCAGAATACAGTTCTCTGGGTTTTATACAAGGGAGAAGGGTGGGTCACAAATTTCATTAAATTGATGACGACCATTAAGAGTGGGAGGATCCATTGGTATCCAAGAGGTCTTGAGTAGTAGCATCTCACTATAATTCTGTGTGGCACTTCAACCACTGACCAACTAAGTGTTATGTATGGCTCTCTCACAGATAGAGAAGCTGTATGATATAGCCTATTTAGGATGTCTCATGCTGTATGGGCATTTTTGTTTGGATGCCAAAATCAGCATTATAGGGAGGGTCGACTATATAATATATTAAACAAGCTTATGCCAGCACTTATTGAAATTTAACATTTGGAATAAGTATAACAGAATAAATATTGTCAGAGGGCCAACAAAATGTGTTCAACAACACATGCATCAAATAGTAATTTTTGTTGAGTGCAAAAGAAATGTCAGCCAACATAATAAAGATCCCATAGAACCATCATTTTGTATTGCATTAAGCGACTATGAGTTGCATTTTATTACTATGTATGGTGATAAATAAATATGACAAATAGATCTTTCTAACTTAAGATGCTGTTTTCTATAATGAAAGATCATCTATTAGCTATAAAGTAGCTGTATGTTTGTTGTGCATTGTGCTCTCATGAGTTACAGTAAATGCCTGCAGATAAATTAAGTGTAATATGAGATTACTGTGAATCAACTATAGTTGCCATTTTTATAGTGTATGGGGATCCTGTAAAATCAGTCGGACAGTACATTTATGTAACGCATTATAAATCAGGACCATCATTGACAAAACCTCATATTCCCATAGCTACCTCCTAAGTTTCTTATTAGACCAATGTTTGTTGACTATCTGCTTCTGATGTGCAACATCTATGTGAGAATTGATATTCTAGGTTGCACAGTAAGCAATGAGCCTTTCAGTTTACTTGCCTCTGTAATGAACTCCACCAAATTGCATTTTGTTTCAAGACGTGGTTTACAAAATCCCTATAAAAATAGTACAATTCAACAGCAATGTTTAATTACTCTGCTGTACTGATGACTGAATGGTTTATGGTTCAGGGCATTATCTAATAAACTTACATCATCATCATAGGAAAAGATCCATCTAATAAAATGTAATATTGGTAAATATTTATAAAGGTTTGAATTGCTTATTTTAGGTTGTACTGTACTGATAGTAAAATATTTGGTTAAGTAAAGACTTAGTGGATGTAAAAAGTACTGTTTGTTATGCTGAGTTCTCTTTGCCTAACCATGTGTGTACATTCTAATGGTTGCAAAGCATAACTAGGATAAGCTGAGTTTTGCCATTTTAATTATGGATTCAGTATGTCGCAGTTTGAGAAAACGACTGAAATCTTTGCATGGTGCCTTGACATGGAAAGCAGCTCAATAAAGAACCTGACTAAACTTCTGTTTTGAATCTTATTCAAGCTGAAATTTTAAAATCAGTTCCATTTAAGGATGCTCGCTATAAATTGGAGACATTTAATGATGCTTTTCTTGCTGCTACCTTTCTTATAAGGGCAATTCAAGGAGTTGATTGGTATTATTGGGTTGGGTACTGACCTCCAAGTACAGGCAACTGGGTTTAAAAGAATTCTCTAAGTGTGCAGGGTTCTCTTTTTAAAAAACACACACACACTTGAACAGTTCAGGCTCCAGTATATAGGAAACCCCACAAACCCATTGTTTGTGATTTACACAAATTAGCACTTTTCCCACAAGCTCGTCACAATAAGGTTGTTTGGATCACAAAACATTGAAGCCGTGTTAAAAACAATAATTAGACCTTGTACAAAACAGCGGTAATGATTGGAAATGCAAGATTCTAAATTGAGGAGTTTGTATATAACTTCCTAAACCTTGAGCTAAGGTTACAGGCTTCAAGCCGGTCTCGGGTATGTTTTTATTTATATGATATCCTAGTTTGTTTGTGTTTGGGGGATTGAGCCCTCTGGTTTCCATTCCGCATTGGCAGATTGGATTATTGAAAAGCATGTGGATAATAACCTCATTCAAAGAAAAACTGAGCAAAGCATGTAATCAATCTGACACGACACAGCAAAATCTCTTAACAGAGAGATAGCTTTGGAGGTTAGCTTTGAATCTGTTCCAAATCAAGCTAATGTTTTGGGGATATAACTTTCAGCGTGCAGTCTTAATTTTGAACGCATTGCATAGAATAAATAAAATGTGATCCATAAATGTGTGATAAAGTGAAACTTATCATGGTTGCGGGTGGTGCTGGAACTGAACATGTTTTAGATTTTTTTCACAAAGCCTTTTGACTCTTGAAAAGATGGGGAAAGCAAGTTTTAAGACAATGTAGTTACTGTAAAATTTGACACCAGTGTTATTGAAAAGCCATGAGAATAGGCAACTTGAGAAGTGGAATTTGTCCCCTCTCGACTCTCTTCCTCCTCCTCGCTCCCTCCCTTCCCTCCCCTCACCCTGACCATTTCCCCCCTCCTCTCTCCCTCCCTTCCCTCCCCTCACCCTGACCATTTCCCCCTTGCTCGGGTCATGACCCAACTGTGCAGCGCCTTGGGACGTCCTCCTGACGTGAAAGGCGCTCTATAAGTGGAATCTTGTTGTTGTTGTTGTTGTTGTTGTTATACATTGGAATACAGCGAACAACAAATTGTATTTTTATAGCACCTTTCACAACGGGAGGTCATCTGGGAACCAGGTGGAGGCCATTCAGCCCATCTAACCCATTTCACCAGTTTATTAGTTCTTGGCCGATCACAATGTCTGCCCTTTCACCATACCCTTTATTCTCACTACACCCTGACTATCTACCTATCTTTTAAAGGTCCCTATTATTCCATCCCTATTCATTTCATCCACAATCGATATTAACCAATCAATAACCAATATTGATTGGTTTGCATAGAGTTAAGCGGTTGCTACTCAAGCTCTACATCTGCAAGTAGTGGAACCACCACTTAATGGGAAGGGATGTATGTCTGAGCTGTAGGCAGGAGGATGGTGGCAATACTTCCATGCATTTCTCATTTTATGCTGAGCTGGTTTGGCCACCAGTTCCTGGTCCCTGCCATCCACTTAGTGAGGGCTCAAACCCAAGCTTGTTTGTATCCAATGATGTGTCTGGTGACTATCCTTGGGGGGGACAGTAAGCAGTCTCCCCATGGAATCCCCAAGCCGTGGCTCTTGCCAACTTGTACCTGATACTCTCTGGAATTAAGTAAGGAAGAACCTGACTAAACTTCAGGGAGAGTGATTGCATTCCGTTCCAATGAACATTCTTCGGAAATTTCCATAGTGGGATGTGTGGAACTAATTCTGTTTAATAATAATAATCCTTGCATTTGCTATAGAGCATTTCACATCTTTGAGACGTCTCAAAGAGCTTCACAGAATATACTGATAAAGTGAATTGACCGTATATTTGTGGGCGAAACACGGTAGCCAATTGCGCACAGCAGTGTCCCACAAACAGTCCTGGATTGAGTGACCAATTTATTATCTTTTTTTCTTGAGTGATTATTATCAGGTGTGTGGACTAACGAAAATTGCCCAAGGTTTTGCCCCGCCGGGAATCAAACCTAGGTCTCTTGCTTGCGAGATGAGTGCTCTAACCACTGAGCTACAGGACTCCATTTTGGTTTGAATACTCCTTTATAGAATGGTCAACGGTGCTTTTGTCGACACTGTCGACCACTCTATCTTCATTCCTCCGTCTCTCCTCTCACCTCAACCTTCACAGCTCTGTTCTTGACTGGTTCAGATCGTACCTCTCACACCGCCTGCACTTCATCTCCACAAATGACTTCTCTTCTAGCCACCCCATCATCTTGTACAGTGTTCCTCAGGGCTCTATCCTTGGTCCCCTCCTCTTCAATATCTATATGCTCCTTCTTGGTGACATCATCCACAGACATGGCGTCAACTTCCACATGTATGCGGATGACATCCAACTCTATCTCTCTGCCTCCACCCTTGACTCCAGAATCACTGCTGTCCTGACTGAATGTCTGCCTGACATCAAGTCCTGGAGGAGAGCTAACTTTTGTTCAGTTGAACGTCAACAAGACTGAGCGTCTCCTGATTGGCTCCCGTCAGCGCCTCCACACCTCAGGCGCTGATAGCATCACCATCCATGGTTACAGACTCCACCTCACTAAGCCAGTCCGGAACCTTGGGGTCTTGTTTGACCCTCAACTATCCTTTCTACCCCACATCTGCGCCATGACCCGCTCTGCCTTCCCCCACCTCCGCAATGTTGCCCGGCTCCGACACTGTCTCACACCGCAGGCCGCCGAGATCCTCATACATGCCTTCGTTGCATCTTGACTCGACTATGCAAACTCCTTGCTTGTCGGCCTCCCTAACTCCTCCCTCCACAGGCTGCAGATCATCCAGAACTCTGCAGCCCGTATCCTCTCCCGCGCCAGTCTCTGCGACCCTATCACCCCCATCCTCGCCCAACTCCACTGGCTTCCCATCACATAGAGGATACAGTTCAAGATCCTGGCCCTCACCTTCAAAGCCCTCCATGATCTTGCTCCCCTCTACCTCTGCGACCTCCTAACCCCCAACCATCCTGCTCGCTCCCTCCTCTCAGCGAGCCCCGGCCTGCTTCATGTCCCCCGCCTCGCTCACTCCACTATTGGCGGGCGGGCTTTCCGCCATTTTGCCCCCATCCTCTGGAACTCCATCCCACAGTTCCTCCGCCTCGCTTCCTCCCTCGCCACCTTCAAGACCCATCTCAAGACCCTCCTCTTCATCTGTACTTTTAATCTCCCTGGATCCCCCCTGCCCTCCATCCTCCCTGACCCCTGACCCCCAGCTTGGGTCTGTAACTTTGTCTGTCCAGCGCCTTGGGACGTCCTCCTGACATGAAAGACGCTTTATAAATGGAATTTTGTTGTTGTTGTTGTTTAAGCAATGGTGATGGGTTTTCGCTTGTGTCAGACATTCGGCTGACCCAAAATAAATTTATAGATAATTTCCTAAAATCTCCAATCTTCTCATTAATGGGTTACTCATCTAATTTTGATGAAAAATAATTTTCATTATTACCAAAATGAAACTATCCTAATGTTTCACTACCTTAAATCTATATTATTAATGTTTTTTTCTTTATTGTCACAATTAATTCTTACAGAACCAGTCAGGTCCATGGTTTTTCGTAGACCTGCTGAGGTTAAAACATTCAATTTTCTTCTATTCAGTTTTGTAGATCAATTTCCTACTTATGTCTCCCTGAAACTATTACCATAACTGTAGAATTTGCTCCTGTAAAGCCATGCAGCTCTGTGTTGTTATTTTTGGCTTTAGACTTTAATAAGATATACAATCTCAGTTTGCAGTGATTACTGGAACCCAAATGCAACCCTTATCCTTTTCCAGGTTATAATCAGTTATGGTAGACTGTTGAATATTAAAACTAATGCAGCATCTGCTCTAGCACCACACTTCACATGCTGTGTTAAGAAGCAGTCGCTTATTACATCTGAAATTGCTTGTGCTTTCATCCCTCCTTCTTGTTTGTCCCTGGTCTGTCTGCATTACCTCTGAGATATTGAAATCCCCATGATTATCACAAATGAAAGAGGTTTGGAAGATTGATTCCTCTCATTAGGGCAATAACGCCTGGCTGGGAGTTGAATTTAATTGTACACAAGCTTCTACATCTCCTCTTTGAGTCTATGGCCTCCTGTGACTGATTGACCTGTTTCCACTTAGTACCAGAGAGCTCCATCCTATATATTTTTTTTGTTCCTCTCATAAGTCAGAGATGAAATGTAGCTGCAATTGCACTGATGTCTATGAAGACTAATGCATCTGCGTGGCTTGAACAAATATCATTAGAAAAGTTAATCAGCTATTTTTCTCCTTTGGTGAAAGGATTTAGGGAGGTGACTCGTGTCAAAAGAAAACAAGAGAAGGGACTTCAGAAACTCATTTTCCTCCTTCCATCCTGAGATTGAGACATTTTATTTCCTGATAACCTAGTCGCTTCCAAATCACATATAGACTGCTTGTCAAAATATTGCAACCCTCACTGGCTCCTGTGTTACAATTCGACAAAGATCTGCAATTTGTTCAGAATTTTTAGGTGGGTTGCAGGTGTGCAATGCGATAAGCATCTATCACAAAGCAATGCAAAAGGTCCTGAGGTACAGAACTTTCCTCACAGAAGTTGCTGTTATTTGAGCATCAACAGGACATTTGTAAGCGAGCTTAATTTGAATAAATTGGGCAAGTAATGAGTATTGTCAATTTAATCTTCAATTGAATGTATTCCCATATATTTTGATACTAAGTGTTCAAAGTTGAATGTACGCTACGGGCAAAATAAGATTCTGTAGTAACTTGCTCTGTGTGTTACTACAGTATCTTATTTATTTGAACAGCTCTGATCAAATAAACTACAAGAA